ATCTGCCTTGACCTCGAGATCACCGTGGGTCATACAGGCAATTCCAATTAGATCCTCGGCTAAGAGTCCGCTAAGGTGTGAGTTTCTTTTAAATGCTATATCTAGAAATGTTTGTAGAAAGAATGAGTGTGGTAAGTAAAGTTCCGATGAATCTTTGGGCATCTCACTTATATATAGATGCATCTCCATCGATTGCATGCCAGTCTCTCCAGAAATCATGCGGCAGCTTACGATTACTGGTCATTATGCAATGCACCCCAGCTTTCAAGAGTTTTGGAAACATTACTAGATACTTCCCGCAGATCTTGTCGCAACTATCGATTCTCACATCTGTTTTCGGTTCCATATCCTTGGAGCATCTAGATAAGTTTTTGCCCTCTAATCACTTCTCTAACCGAGAAATCTTGAGTCAAATTGGATTGATAGCTCAGTGTGTTGGTGTTGGTTTTAGGCATAGTTGTAGTTATCTGTCTCGAAATTCGAGATTAAAGATGATTCTGAAGTCCGTGGAGTCCCTCAAAAAATACAGTTTCGCGCGCTTTTAATCGTGTGATTAAAGTGCGGCACCACTAGATAAAACAACGGCAATTGATACTTACATAATAAGAGATACAGAGCGAGGCGAAAAGATGTTACCTTTTTTTATTAAGTAACGTTTCGTTTCTTTTCCGAATTATCGGACACAACACGGCTATTAACAGTTCAAGAGTCTTCGGTGAGGGCGAAACTTACCAATTCAAATTTGCCAAGATGTCTACTCATTGAAAACTAGCGAGAGTGCCACGGGAAATTGAGGATCTGAGAAGACATCTCAGTGTGCTTGGGGTGGGAAGGAGCATAGGGGTATGTCGTTCAGATCATCGCAATGTTTCAGTGGGCTTGAATCATGCAAGTCGTCTGAATATTGCGACATTCCAAATTAAAAAATGTCTCATTGTGTACATTGATCTACTCGCTGGATGTTTTCAGGGGTACTATTGCCAGTATTCACGCAAGGCCGGAACTAAGCTACATAGTGAACCTACAGCTGAGAGCATACATTTAATTCTACCATCTCATTTGTTTTCTTTCGTGTCAGTTTATGATTTGAGTTGAAAAAAAAAAACTGTATTTGATTTTGGCCAGGAGGAATTTTCTGATTTCAAAGTTGGAATCATACGTTGATATCGTTCCACTGGGGTCATTGTCAAAATTTGTTAGGGGAAGCAGAAATTCCAAAAGCAATTCCCATCGACTTGAAGATGGCAGTAGAGACAGTCGATGAATCCGCAGTTTAAAGCAGACAGAATGTAATATCATAAAAAAGTGTTAACTCAGAAGGATAACTATGTAGTAGATATAAAGTTTACTGATCAATGCAAAATCTTGTACAAGCTGATAACTGTGACCCGGTTGGGTTCAAGTGTTGTCTGAATTGTGACATTTTCAAGCCCAAAACAGATGTTGAGCTCAATTCTCGGGCTGAGTACACAAAGCAAGAACCCTACAAGCTAAATGGGTATCTTGTGGTCGGTTGTGAGGTAATGAAACATTGAAAGCAAAGCCTTGAAATGATTACTGAACGGTTAAATAAGGCGGTATCTGGTGATAAAAGCGCTAATATAAGTTCATAAAATCCTCCGTAGATTTCCAAAGATTTGAGAATGACAGTGGATACCTCCAGGAGAATATTGCACGGATGTTTTCTCCTTCACTGCCATGCACCAAAAAGTTAGCCGGAGCTTCATTTACCAGAGGTATGGAAAGTTACCGACTGGGCTAAAGACCAAAAACAACTGTGGTAGATGATTGTTATCAGAGCATGCTGGGAGAATTTCAAAGCATTCAAAGACGTCTCTATCAACTCATAGAGGACAGTAGGGTTCTTAGAACGGAGGTTATCCAGACAAACAGTACCTTAGAGCTACAGAAGATCGAATATGACCACTGAGGATGACATGACAGAGACACGGGTGTGTGTTGGGCCGTATAAAGTAATGATAGGCAAAACACTTTAACCACGGATTCGCCGTACCTTCAAGCCCATTTACCTTGAGCAGTTTTCCTTTTATGGAGACGGAAGCTGTCAATACAAATTTCATCTTGTTTGTGAGCTGTATCATATATTAGCTCTAGAGATGGAAAGGATTTTCGGGAAGAGATCAAACTGTGAAAAACTGATCCATAATTGGACACCGTTTCCCTCATCCTCAAGGTCATCCACGTAAACACTGTGGGCCAACGTCCATTGATCAGACAGACGAAGTCATGAACATTGAATGTAAGATTAAAATCAGATCCACCCAAAATGCCCTGAGGTAAATGTCACTTTTTCTGACTGTGGTAACTTGATATTGCACTTCGTCATAAGCAAATAAAGTTTCGGAGGTAAATCAGGATCCGTATGGTATCAGCTCATGTTGATGTCCTGCCTTCGGTGGATACAACTAATGTATATAATATATTCACCTTTCAATGAAGTTACGCCGGTAAGTTAACCTTAGCAGTCCTGTTGTTGGCATATCCCGATCATCTTCGGGTAATTTGTGATGCAGGCGAATTATGAGGTTACTAGGTATCTATGTCCAGTGACTATCTGAGAGATTGATTGGATTTTTTTGGTATAACCGACATTCTATCCCAAAATGTTCAGGTGTCCGTTCTTGTATTTGTATGTACATCGCCGGAATGATTTGTGATGCGAAATCGACATCCAGGAATGCGAAAAGCCAAAAATGGCCGAAATCGGGTTATTTTCATATAATTTATACATAAAAGATGGGATGATGAAGTGAAGTGCGGAAGTATACAAAGTTAAAAAGCCCAGATAATTAAGGATTGTTACAAACATTTCGGAAAAATCGGTGTTCTAGATTTACCTAGGTATATCAAAGGCTTAAGATTGAATTATGATATGAAGTCTCAAGATTCAGAACCTTAAAGCCAAGGAGCCAGGTACTTAGTGAGCTTATACTAAATTAGACTAGCAGCCACATGGCATTGAGAAAAATGAAATCGGTCGCTTAGGGGTGATTTGAGTCTAACTACGGATTAACCCACCTACAAAGCCAGGGCTTGCTTACTTATTAGTTCGCCTACTCGTCAAGGGGTGGGTCTACTGGCAGTGCAAAAAGGTTACTTGCTGGCAGTCTGGTACTGATCGCGATATACAATATCAATCAATTACATCTCATCACATTTCATCATATTGCTTCAAAATGCGAATACTTCCTTCAAGGCTGCCATTAATTAAGTAAAGACGAGAATTCAAGTAAGGGAAAGGATCTACTCGAGTATACCATCCTCCAATTGCACGTTTCAGCTCAGCAACAATTTTTTATTTTTCTTTTCTTCTTTACCAATGCAACATTTAGCTAGCAGCACATTGAAACTTCTATGCAGTCCATTTCTGAGCCATATTTATATAACAAGTCTATGCACTCTACATGATGTCTCCAGCCCAACAGACCTCATAGTTACATCCCGAACAAAGTCGTTTGATGGGAATCCGGGGCAACTTACCATGAAAAGAGATCAATTCCAACATCAGAACCTTGTTGACGCGTGTTTGCTTTTCTTATCCGGGGAAATGAAACATCTCGCCGGTACTTTACCGGAAGATTTGCAGGCTCAGGTTTTATATTGTGATCACGGACCACATCGGTTCTCACCGTAGTGCTATTAAGTGTTTAAAAACTTATACATCACTTTGAGTGCGACCCCCTGTCCAAGACCCTAAACGAAATCACAGATGAAGTCGTCAATCAAGATTCCTTTATCCATACAAGTCAGAGCATTTTTGGAGCACTCTTGGAGCATATGTCATTTACGTTATCCCCACAGCAAAAGAAAAAAAAAGCTTAACCTTTGTTATGCCGCTTTTTAGTCGTTTCCACCTTTGATTCTTTTTCGAATTGACTCCTGAAGATCTCCATAGAAGCACGTTATAGAAGGTGTGGTATGTCTCCTGACTCTTCTACCATACCTTCGACAAATCTAAATCCTAATTGGAGGTCATCATGTCTCTAACCTACGAGCAATTCACCGCACTTGATCTCACAGAGCGAATTACGTCAGCCGTTTCCATCGTTGGTAATTTGTTCATTATTCTAACATTCTTTTTTTCTGCATCCTTCGACAAACCAATCAATCGCCTCATATTCTTCGCATCATGGGGAAATATTGGCTCGAGTATCTCTTGTATGATCTCTGACCTTGGCCCGGCGTCATTGATGGAAAGATCAAAGTTTAATGCATCCGGAATATGCCAGGTCCAAGCCTTCTTGGTCCAAATGTTCCGTGGAGTTGATTGTTACTGGGCATTCTTCATGGCCATCAACGTATATCTAGTTTTCTTCCGAGGATATACCACACATCAACTGAGAAAGTTGGACATTTGGTATCTGCTTGCATGCTATGGCCTTTCCTTTATACCTGCTTTCGTCTTCTTATTCGTATCAACAAAAGAACGAGGTCATGTCTATGGATCGGCCATTGTTTGGTGCTGGATCAGCGAAGAATGGGATTGGATGCGCTTAGTTTTCTTGTATGGTATCGTGTGGTGAGTACTTACGGCTTTAGCTTCCACTAATTTTCCCATATTTGATCAAGTCCACTAATGCCCTGGTCAAAGGATCACCATTCTCTTCGCTTTCATCGTATACTTCATGGCAGCGAAAGTAATCTGGTCTAAGCGTGAACATCTAAATGGTTTCCTCAACCCCCTGAATGAGACCCCATTCGCAAACACGATCACCACTGAAATCGAAATAATCTATGAAGAACGATCAATTGTCAAGGATGCGAGCGATCAAGGTGTTTCCGAAAATGTTTTGTCCTCCGACCAGTATGCGGTTGACATCCAAGCGACGCCTCAACAACAATATCAACAACAACAAGACACTCAAATTTATCAAATGCGGAGAATGCGAAGTTTGACCAGAGAGGTTGCACAGTCTGAAACCAACCCAGAAGCATGGCTGTATGCACGAGTAGCCATTCTCTTCTTCATCGCTATGATAATCACATGGGTTCCTGCGAGTGTCAACAGAATCTGGCAAATGGCCGATCCAACGGCCATCAACTTTCCATTGAACTATATTGAATCATTGATGTTGTCGTTGCAGGGTGTTTGGAATGTGATTGTATATGTTATAACATCTCAGACTGCTTGTCGAAGGTTAGCATATCAATTGTTTCCGAGAAGTTCAAGGAAGAAGACGAGGTTGCCGAGTGGGAGTCCTGAGAGGTATCCATCGGGTGGAAAGCAAAGGCTTGAGAGTGTGGCTAGTAAATAATTGGAATTTGAATGTTGGATTGCCCCGATTATCAATTGCATTCATTGTGTAAGAGTACTTTTTCGGTCTAACCATCTATCCACGCTCATGAATATCTCAATATTTACAAAACCTTGCAACGCCCCCCATCCCGCCAATCTGCAACTTTTGTCTAAAATCTCAAATCCCATCCAATCGCTGGACCCAACTTGGGTAATTCCTCTGCAACACTCTGTACATCCTTATCACCTCTACCACTTAAACAAATAACAACATCTTGATCCTTGTTCATGGTTTTCGCCAGTTCTACTGCTCCCCACACGGCATGCGCAGTCTCCAAAGCCGGTATGATACCCTCTTTCTCACTGATCAACCTGAATCCCTTGAATGCCTCGGCATCTGTTGCCGCGATGAATTTGGCACGCTCACTATCTTTCCAATTACTTAATTCTGGTCCAACACCTGGATAATCTAAACCGGCAGAAACGGAATGAGTCTCTGAGATTTGTCCGTGTTTGTCCTGAAGAACATATGTACGGACACCATGTAGAACACCCTTTGTCCCACCACTCAGGGTAGCGGAATGACGATCTGTGTCTAAACCATCACCACCGGCTTCAACACCTAATAATTTGACACTTGGATCTTTCGAGAACGGGTAGAACATGCCAACTGCATTACTACCGCCTCCGACACATGCAACGACAGCATCAGGGAGTTTACCGCGTTTCTCTAGCATTTGAGCTCGAGTCTCGTTACCAATAACGGATTGGAATGTTCTAACGATGGTTGGGAATGGATGAGGACCAATTGCTGAACCAATGATGTAATGAGTAGTATCAAGTTTGACCACCCAGGAGCGCATAGCTTCGTTGACAGCATCTCTAAGAGTACGCGAACCAGCCTCGACGGCGACAACTGAAGCACCGAGAAGCTTGATTCTAAAAACATTGAGAGCCTGTCTTCTTACATCTTCCTATAGAATTGATTAGCAAAGCCAAGTGGGAGAGATTATCTGAACTTACCGCTCCCATATAAATGGTACATTTCATACCAAACTTTGCGCATACTGTCGCTGTGGCCACACCGTGTTGTCCTGCACCAGTCTCTGCGATGATCTCGGTTTTCCCTAATCGTCGGGCGAGAAGGATTTGTCCAAGAGCATTGTTAATCTTATGACTTCCGGTGTGGTTCAGGTCCTCTCTCTTCAACCAGATCCTGGCACCACCAGCATACTCAGTAAGTCTTTCAGCCTCGTGTAATTGGCCTGGTCGTCCCATCCATGGGTAATATGTTCGGTATTCTTCCCAGAATGCTGGATCATCCTTGATAGCATTGAATCCTGCTTCAAGTTCTGACAAGCAGTCCATGAGTGCCTCCGGTACATACTGTCCACCAAATTCGCCGAACTTTTGAGCCGAAAGTTTTGGATCTAGAGAACCATTCGTGTTCAAGGCTTCAATCTGATCTGCTAAACCAGGTCCGGATCTATCTTCATCTCTAATGACAGCATCAACGGTGACATTTTCTCCGCTAGGTTCTTCGGCAACATCTATTGCCTCGGCCATGCCAACTTCCCTGGTTAAACCCTCGTTCGGAGTACCTCGTCTGCCGCAAACTGCTGCACAGTACTCTTCCACACTTTTCGCGATTTTTCCGGCAGGTGCTTGATTGACGGTGTTGATGATTTGACTGCCAATAACAACTCCATCTGCGATTTTTGCGACCTGCAAAAAGTGCTCTCTTGTGCTAACGCCAAAACCCACGGCCGCTGGAACATTTCCCGAATAATCTTTTACTCTTTTCAGCAATCCTTCTAAGCCAGCATCCATTGAGCCTCCTGTGGCTCCGGTCACACCCATTCTTGAAACAACATAGATGAAGGAGTCCGCAAGCTTACAAAGAAGCTTCATTCGTGATTCGGATGTTGAGGGAGCGATGAGAGGAACGTAGGATAATCTAATTAAGAATTTTGTAAGCAATGTATTCAAATGTGACATGTGCCACTTTTCCAGAGTACTCACCCTCCGCTTGTGCAAAACTTCCTGAAGCTCACAGCTTCTTCAGGTGGAAGATCACAAACAATGAAACCATTGACACCAGCTTCACGACAGTCTTGCAATAACCTTTCCTCTCCATAACTCAGAAATGGGTTGTAATAACCCATGAAAAGAACTGGTGCCCGTAATCCTTTCTTTCTTGCATCCCGTACCATCTGTAAAACCGAAGTGACAGTCACACCATTTTTCAATGCTTGAGTGTTTGCCTTTTGAATCGTTGGTCCATCTGCCGTGGGATCTGTGAAAGGAATTCCTAATTCAATGACATCTGGGAAGACTTGTTAGTTTCCGAAGGTCAATTGAAAGGGTAGTTAGTACTTACCGGCGCCACCAGCCTCCATTCCTAATAGGATATCAACGGTGTCATCTGCTTGAGGAAAACCAGCAGTGATATATGTTACCAACGCGGATCTTCCTTCTTTCTTGCATTGTGCAAATGTATTCTTGAGATGCTCCATATTGAATTGTCGATGGATGTGTAAAGAAGTGTAGAGGGGTATTGTATTGAGAGAAGGGAAACGAAAGAGAAAGGGCAAGGGAAAGAAAACAGATGGGTGGGATATGAATGAACAGATTGAGGGAAAGAAGATTACTTCTTACAACAGGATTCCTTTCTTGTATATATAATTCTTATTGATCACCCAAACAAGACTGAGTCAAAAGCATTAAAATCCATTCGCCCCTCACTCGCTCGAGCACAGAAAGTTATCGCCCAATTAAGTCACCGCCTTGGCCAAATCTCGCAATCTCTTGCCAATTGCCTTTTGTGGTAGGGAAGCATTTGTCACGTGGAGACGCTCTGTCCAATTGTAGTTTGGTATTGGTGGGGTCAAATTATTAAACTTCGTCATGACTTTATTATTATTGTTAACCTTCGTCTCAACTCGGTACTTCACCTCATCTGATCGACCGAAATCTTCATTAATAACACAAATCTTGTCCTGTTTGTCTTTTCTGGTCCTGCCTTGTCAGTACATACAACATAATATTCAACAAATACGCAACTCGAATTTCTGTATATCTAAAGGGAAAAGTACGATATCAATACGAGCATTATACCGAATAATCTGCTCAATACTCGACTAGGTGCTTGCTCTTCAATCTACAATCCTTAATCCTCAATCCGCGATCCTTAATTCTACTCCACCCAAATTTAAGAAAATGTCTCGACTTTTACCACCAAGATTTCTCCTCCCTTCCCGTCGCTTTTTCTCACGTACTACTTGTCGAACAGCATTCGCAACTGGTCCGTCTCCGCCACGTCTGCCACCAAAGGAACAAGAAGAATTTGAACGTCTACAACGATCCTCTACTGGTGCATTTAGTACCCCAAAAACCGACGTCATTATCGATTCCCCAAAATCAACGCCTCGAGCAAAACCACAAATCAATCAACCACCAGCCACCACTTTGGCTGAGAAAGAGGGTATAGAATTGGCGGCTGTAAATGCTAGGGTATCTGCTACGGGAAAAGGAGAGGAATTACATCCGGATATTCGCAGAGGGGCAAAACCAGAATTCGAAGGGGAAATCAATCCGAAGACTGGCGAAGTTGGTGGACCAAAGAATGAACCTTTAAGGTGGGGAAGTTCAGCTGAGAGGGGGGACTGGAGTTATAATGGGAGGGTTACGGACTTTTGAAATTGGCCTTCAAAATACTTCGAGTTGCGGATTGCCGGCGTGTGATGCAAACTGAGGACTCGAGATGGAATGTAAGTACAAAACAGTTTAGAGTGTATGGATATGTGCAGCTTCAGAAGTAAGATGTTACCATTTGAGTCATACTCAACACTAAAGCAAAGCCTTTTGGGGTTTTCAGCGTGCCTAGGGAACGATTATGGAATTTCTGAGTGGATATTCCTTCCCTCAAACAAATCTATCATTTGCGATCTGTAGAATCTTTGCACTACTTCACAACATTCATAGCCATTTCAAAGACTTCCCATTTGCTATTGTTCTTAGGTATACCTAGGAACTTGGCAATTTATCTATCGTGCGTATGTAAACGCCAATTGTCTTTGCCACCAACGGTAAGTTCCATTTTTGGGGGTATGTCCAATGTTGAAGTGTCAATGTGGTCTTGAAGTTCAAGCAGCAGGTCATGTGTCGCTCGGCTGTGCCATTCCTTTCATCCAATACATCATGTCGGCCCTGTGTTCAAAAGTCCTATTGCCATGGATGCTCTTCTGATAACGGTATGGAAACTTGAGTTTTCTTTAGCAAGCAGTAAAGCTAAAGGCAAAGAGGATAGGCACAACAGCAATTTATTCACTACAATTTTCTATAGTGCTGGTCCTTTCAAGGGGAACGGTTCCTTTACCTCTTCAGCTGGTTCAAGGCGTGATTTAAGCCTTCTATAACTGCACCCAGTACTCCAGCTCACAGCAGCGACAGGACCAGTCAGAATTGATGACTGAGGAATTGATTTCTCGTAGAAGACCATCTTAACTGAACAGAGATATGAAACGAGGTAGAAGATGCCAGTTTGGGAGCACTGCCATCGATAATTTTGTTACTCGCCCAAAACTTCAGCTGGATTTGAAGTGGTCAGAAGCCATTGACAGTTAAAACCACGTACCTAGAACGGCCGTCATACTAAGTGATAAAATGAAGCGTTCTGTACTTTAGAAAAGAATAAGGTTGGAGTGTTAGCTTTGACCTGGTTGATCCGCGAACCACTAGAACGGCCGGACAGATATTTGGACGGGTTCTAGCATTAGCATGCATTAAGGACCCTTGAATACATAATAGACGAAGGAAGAAAACAATTGCGATACTTTGACAATACTGAATGGATTGAAGAACAGAGAGGAAGCGACTGAATATTTCTGTTGCCCGTGAGCACGATATGCGGTAAGGTTTGAGGGTCGATTGAAGCACCTCTTCGTCTCTTCCCTGTACAGTGGTAAGTGAACAGCCGCATCATATAAGATGATGCAGCTATAAAGATTGCTAACAGATTGGTGACATGAGACTTTGATTATCATTTAGTCGTGTCAGAACCGGTGAGGTAGCGATCCGCTAGAATGCACTTCCCCATCTACACGCGGTATAGCCATCGCAATAATCATTCCCTTGTCCCTTCGATTTTGTCAGGGCGTAATATGCAAAAGTAGTAAACTTATTGTTGCCCAGATGTATGAAGAATGTAGCATTCACTCTGTGGTAGTGTGCGAAATTTGTCGGCAGAGGCTCGGACTAAGCCCCTTCATTTTGGTTCAAGGTGAGAGTTGCCTCCATGTAAAATGTTACACTTCCATAAGATTTCTATCTTGCGAATTCAACATTCTTTGACAATTATGATTTTCGACGTGGCAACGAATGTTTACGAAGCCACGGGAAACTGTGGTCCAGTCTGTGGTAAAGTAGGAAGTCAAGAAAACCCTGTTTCTTAAATTGTGATAGAATCCAATGACCTTAACATGTAATCTTATGTTGATGAATTCAACAAGCTAAATTGCAAAATAAAAGGATCTGAATTCTTTTCCATTTATAAAATTAATCCAAAGCTTTGTGTGTTTATTATCTGACAGGAATTGTTAGTATTAACAGCTTATCAATATTGATCCTATATCTTATTAATGTCTTACATCTCACATCTTACATAGCCTAAATTACTCTGTACTGAGCATTTTAAGATGTAATTCGCGGCTGGAATGATGCAATTACTGATGTACCGATTACCGATTACCCCGCACCACGATGCTAATTGTTTAAAAACTCCCAAGATCTGATTAATCCTACCCAATGAAAGGGCTCTTATTGTACGCAATAGGTATGAAGAGGGTTAGGGTTATCTTTGTTATTGGAGCAACGATTCCTAGGCTATGTAGACCACCACCAGACCCATGAGCCCATCGGTGGCCTGACACCTTCGCTTATGTTGCTGTTACATTGCATGCAATGCAGACAGGTCAAGCTGAGTACAACATAAAGTTCAAATTCGTATTACTGCTTGAAGATCGGCGACAAACCTGACGCCGTCTTTGAAGTTTTCACACTAAACTAGCATCGATTCAAACCTTGTTTTGTAGCAGGAGTTCGAATTTCGCCCCCCGTCGTCTAGGTATTTATCGAAATCCTTGACCCTTCAAAGAGAGAAAGTGAGACAGAGAAAAAGAGAGAGCAAAAAGGCAAGCCGAGACGAACACTGGCAATATCATTCCCAAATTCACCGTTCCACAGCATGAGTGAAGGGGTTCACACAACATACGTCAGGTGTACACTAATTTAGCCTAGGATTCCCGATAAGTAGTAACGATTCATACGTCCTTCATTAAAGCTGCTTCTCAGGTTTCAGCATTCCTCATGAGGTATCAGAGATTACCGACCAGCGAAGAAGCTGAGATGGCGAACGAAATTCACAGCAATGATCTAGCATCATCAACTGAGCACGATGTCGAACCTGATTTCAAGAGTAGAAATATCGATAATAATTATGTTCCTCACTCGGAAGTTGAGAGTCTCAATCTTGAGACAGCAATACCACCGGGCACAATTGATCCAATATATGAAGCTAAAGCTCGAGTCTTGAATGAAGCTGTAAGGTCTAATATCTCTGCGCTGTCAGGTAGTTCTGGCTAAGGTAATATATACTAATCATGTGATGTCATTCAGATACAAGATATCGGTATGGGATGGTACCAATGGCAACTGTTCGTAGTTGTAGGCTTCGGCTGGGCAAATGATAATTTGTGGCCAATTGTCACATCACTCATATGTACTGAATTTATCCAACTGGGTCGCTGTATCAGATCTGTGAGCTAACGATGAACAAAGTCACATCAATTACCAACGAATTCTCCCCCAACCATCCACCCTTACTCACCTTGGCTCAGAATATTGGCCTCCTTGCAGGTGCCATGTTTTGGGGATTTGGTTGCGATATCTTTGGTCGACGTTTGGCATTTAATGCTACACTTGGCATCACAGCTGTTTTTGGATTGATCGCTGCCGGCTCACCAAACTTTGCGGCTATTGGATGTTTTGCTGCACTTTGGAGTTTTGGGGTGGGCGGGAATCTTCCTGTCGATTCAGCAGTCTTTCTCGAATTTCTCCCTGGCTCACATCAATATCTCCTTACCATCCTTTCAATCGACTGGGCGGTGGCTCAAGTCATCGCGAATTTAATTGCTTGGCCACTTTTAGGGAACCTCACGTGTCAAGAAGATTCAACATGCACTCGATCACAAAATATGGGTTGGAGATATTTTCTTATTGTCATGGGAGGAATTTCCATGATTGAGTTCTTCATCCGGTTCATCTGTTTCACAATCTTTGAAAGCCCTAAATATTTGATGGGAAAAGGAAAGGATGAAGATGCTGTTGCGGTTGTTCAGGAAGTTGCCAGGAGGAATGGAAAGCTGTCAAATCGTAAGTACACCCTAATTCATTTCGCTCTCTCCTGAAATTATACCAACTCTCTACCAGTGACCGTCATCCGTCTTCAGGAATGTGGCACTCTTCCTCATACGAATGCCTCGGCAACCTTATCAAGAAAACTCCATCAAATGGATTTATCACACGTTCGCGCCTTATTCGCGACAAAGGAATTGGCCATTTCCACCAGTTTGATTATGCTAGTATGGGCATTCATTGGTCTTGGCTATCCCCTCTACAATGCATTCCTCCCTTACATCCAAGCAACGAGGGGTGCTGAGTTTGGAGATGGCAGTACATATCTGACATATCGGAACTCTCTAATCATATCTGTGCTTGGAATACCGGGCGCACTTATCGGTGGTTATCTCATTGAAGTTCCAAGATTGGGTAGGAAAGGAACCCTTGCGCTTAGTACCATAGCGACGGGAGTATTTTTATACGCTTCCACCACGGCTATGACATCTACGGCATTACTGGGCTGGAATTGCGCGTTTAACTTTTGTTCTAATGTTATGTATGCTGTTCTATATGCGTACACACCGGAAATATTTCCAACAAAAGACCGCGGTACTGGTAATGCTCTCACTGCAACCTCGAACAGAATCTTTGGGATCATGGCTGTAAGTCTTCTCCATTCCTCTTCAGCTCGCATATTTGCATATATATTCCCGTATCAACATAAACTAATCAAGTAAAAGCCAATCATTGCCATGTTTGCAAACCTTGAAACGTCCGCTCCTGTTTACACAAGTGGAGCTCTATTCATTGCAGCAGGACTGCTAGTTTTGGTCTTGCCATTTGAGAGTCGTGGAAAAGCCAGTTTATAAAGCTACATATCAGGGCCTGTATACGTGTATCTCTATTAAATCAAATTCGAGTAGAACCGCACAATTCATGATTAACGGGGATTGATGAAGGGTTTGTGTCATGGGAAGAGGCTGGAAAACCGTCAAAGAATGAAATTCGTCATTCCACATCATCCTTAGCCTAATTATTCTTAATGAATACGGGCATAGTCTCAATGGAGCAGGCTACTTCAATATCTTGACCTCCATTCCAAGATTCCTCATTTCCATTACCAATTATTTTCCAGGATTGCCCCGCTGGAAGATAAACCTTCATGTGTTTTGCCCCCGCCTCAAATACAGGACATACCAAATATTTCGGCCCAAACATATATTGTTCCTCAATTTCCCAACATCGTGGATCATCTGGGAACTCGTAGAAAAGAGGACGCATAACAGGACTTCCCTTCTCACTAGCCTCGGCCATCATTTCCCTTGTATAATCTCTCATTTCCTCTCGCAACTTCATGTATTTCTTGCATATCTCATACACCTCTTTCCCATACGACCAAACCTCGTTAGGCGCACCACTAAGACAAGTCGATCCACCCCCTTCGCCAACCTGGGGTTGTTTAGGCTCTCTATCTCCATGTAACCTCATAACCGGACAAAAGGTACCCCACTGAAACCACCTCACAAATAACTCCCTGAAAGCCGGATCGGATGGATCACCACCGTGAAAGCCACCAATATCCGTCGTCCACCATGGAATTCCTGCAATCCCCATGTTTAAACCCGCAGTAAGTTGGTTTCTGAATGAAGACCATGATGAAGCAATGTCACCACTCCAGACTAAGGCGCCGTATTTTTGAGATCCTGCCCATGCACATCGCAGGAGGTTGACGACATTTTTCTGCCCGGCTGCTGACATGCCCTCGTAGAATGCTCGAGCGTATTCGACGGGATAGGTGTTACCGATTGAAAGATTGGTGCCGCGGTGGTAGCGATAGTTGTCAAAATCGTAGGCAGTATATTCAGGCTCTGGGTTCAAAATCAGCCATTTATCTTATGTGTTAGAATACAGAAACGACCGGACTCGGCCGATAAAATAAAAAGTACTAACCTGCTTCATCCAACCAAAAGACCTTGATCCCTTTGTCATAGTAGTTTTTCTTCGCTTTCTCCCAGATATACTTTCTGGCTCCAGGATTCGTGGCATCAAAGTGAATCGTATCACCCTCAAAGTCCATTACGATTCTTATCCCTCTATCAGTTCGTACCAAATATCCCCTTTCTAGCATCTCTTCAAAGTTCTCGGACCTCGTATCAACGGTTGGCCAGATAGAAACCATTAGTTCGATATTCAATTCCTTGAGTTCCTTGATCATTGCATCTGGATCCGGCCAAAATTTCTCATCAAATCTCCAATCGCCTTGGGTGGGCCAATGAAAAAAGTCTATCACGATGAGATCAATGGGTAATTCTCTTTTCTTGTACTCCCTGGCTACTTCCAATAGCTCCTCTTGCGTTTGATATCGCAATTTGCACTGCCAAAATCCGAGTCCATACTCCGGCATCATGGGAACTGTTCCCGTAACCGCTGCATACCGATGCACAATTTCAGAAGGACTCCCACCTGCCACGACCCAGTAATCGAGGAACGAGGTGGAATAAGCTTCAAAAGACATAATATTTTTACCAAACACAGCACGACCGATAGCAGGATTATTCCACAGAAACCCATAACCCCGCGAAGAAAGAGCAAATGGTACACTGGCCTGAGAATTTCGATGAGCGAGTTCGAGATCTAAACCTTTAAGATCCAGATAAGGTTGCTGATATTGACCCATTCCAAATATCTTCTCATTCTTGTCTTGGGATTCAAATCTCACTGTTAAGTGGTGGGTAGAGTTACCACCGGGGTTGGGTTTAAACTCGCGGGCTTCGACATTTATTGCGGAACATTTTGGATCAGTCACATCGAGGCGGTGACGTGCGTATTCTTCCAATAAGACCTTTCCCTCGCCGTCGTAGATGACTACTTTTCCTCTTGAGGTTATTGTTGCGCGAATTGAACCATTGATAATTGATGCTTCTTTTTCTTGTACATTGATTACCGGAGCTGGTGTTTCGATTTCCTGGAGCGCCCATAGTTCGTCAGGATCTGGATATCGTGATTCTTTGGTTGAGCGAACACGAAATGCATTCGGACCCCATGGATCAATCCAAAGTTCTTCTGCATCATAGCGATATACTAAACGGTTTCCTTGAGCGTAGAGCATTTTTTCTGAGAGTCGCAGTAAAATTTCTTTGATGTTGAAGGATGTTGGGGAACGTTGGAGGGGTAAAGGAAGCTCAACATCAGAGTTGGGTTTCCATTAATCCCAACCATTTTATCTCATCGATCGACAAGTTCGTTAACCTCTTTGATGTTCGGGCATTGATGAATCGACCTGAGGGGTAGATAATATTTATGGGTTTGGTTGATCAAAATTAATTGGATGTTACCCCATAGCGGGGTTGTGAAGTCGCAAACCCAGCATCGTGTATAGAAGCGCACCAGACAGCTTCTTTGGCAAGAACGTATTGCATATCCGACATGTAAGATAAACTTTGAACAGGATTTGATCATCCTTCAAGGATATGACACGGTTGAATACGCTTTGAGCTTTTCTGTTTAATATGTAAACATGAGCAATAATTGAAAACAATACGTAAAGCTTACGGTGTCCAATAGTTAGGACTAGCAGTTTAAGCTTAATTTTCAATATTTGAGATTTTATTAACCTTAGTATTTCCAAATTCCAGTGTTTCAATATTTCAATGTTTTTCAATTTCTAATAATTCTAAATTCTAATATTAAAACTCCAAAGCTCCAGATAATTTGAATGTTTCGCATAGAGCCAGCAATTTAAATACCTTTGTTGTTGCGTCGAACTATCAGTCCAGCCATTGAATGCCCAGCAGGCTTCCCGCTGTCTAGCGACTCAAAATAGTCTTTAGCACTAGCAGTAACTTCTCGTCTGGTACGTCTATCATGTCCATAGATCTCCAAGCGACAAATCTATCAGGTCTCACCAACACGCATCCACTCTCGTTGACTTCCCTTCGTCTTGCCCAATCAAAATATACGTCCTCATAATCTTGCCTCCAGCCAATCGAGTGCACACTGATCTCAAGCCCAAGAATCTCTGCCGCTTTCATGGCAGAAGTTCTCCATTTCTCCCCTCCAATTCCCGTGAAAAGAGAGAATTTTCCATGCCCAGCAAGATCAATGGTTGAAAACTGTTTCCCTGGAACCTTGGTGTTTAACCATGCATGTGGTAGACGGCTTCCAGGATAAGTAGTAATCTCATGTTCGAGAATCGGATCCATTGGCAAAGGTGGTCTTGGCTTTTCGTCGGAAGTGAAAACAGCAGAAGATTCATAGCGTTGATTCATCTCAATACCTACCCCATGAAATTCACGCGCTGTTCCTTCTATGCCAGCTTGGAAGCGTGCTCGACGCGCTGCTCCTTCTGGTGTAGCTTCCCGAAGTTCTGCAAAATGTTTTCGGCGAATTTCGACAGATGGGTCCATCATTCCTAATGCTTCCCATATAGGGAGGTGATCTCGAGTCCCTTGATTAGCTCGTGTGACGATGGATTGTCCGACCGGCTGTCGCTCCAAGCTATAAGAATTAAGGAAATCGCTATCTGCTTTCCCCTTCAGGACGTATGCGATTTTCCAGGCAAGATTAAAAGCATCTTGGATACAAGTGTTAGATCCCAAGCCGTTTGATGGTGGATGACGGTGAACTGCATCACCAAGGCAAAATCTGGGTAACTTAGTGGACGAAATAGAGCATGAGGAGGGCACAAGACATACATATTGCCGTCGGAGTAGTATTCCGCCACCGTTTCATTGATAGTCCATTTCGAGACTCCGAGTAATTCAACGGGGACTGACTTATCTCCGATCATATCTTTAACACATTCCAAATACTCTTCGTCTGATGGATTGACATCTTTTCCAGGATAGGGGGAAAGAATAAACATCCACCTGAAATGTTAGTACTGTTTTTACTCAAACTTGACGTAAGAACCTACTCATTCCAAGGTTTCACCATTCTGGCAATAGCAGTCCATCCATAGTCAGGAGTATCTTCATCTGGCCTCATAATACAATGCAAATTTCCCATTCTATTCTCCATGATGTGTCCCAACTCCGCTCTGACCAGTACGTTCATAGCTATCCCTCCTCCAGGCTTTTTGATTAATGGGATTTGCAACTGTCTCAAAACTTGACTTCGAGCTCCATCACATCCGAATAAGTATTTAGACCGAATGTGGTAGATTTGTTTCGTTAAATTGTCCTGAATTTTGCTGATAGTTGTATTTGAGGCCGAATCCTTTTCAAAAGATAAAAAGGTGGTATCAAACCGACAATTAAATCCACTGTGGGATGCCCGGTTGATCAAGATCGGCTCGAGAACGGTCTGAGGAATATCAACATGGCTGCATGGACTTGCGGCATCATAATCACCCTGCGGCATATATTAGATTTTTTTTTAACAGAGTTTCTTCAAGTTAGTCTCGAACTTACAGCGCGATTCGGGTCATTTCCAAGTGAGTAAACTCTTGCATACTCCTCACCAGCTAAAGTACGACACCATCGCGTATGTAACATCGCATCACCCTTGACAGCAACTTGTAAACACTCTTTTTCCAAACCTATATCACGCAAACATTCCATTGCTGCCATGTTGATAACGTGGGCACGAGGAGTGTCTGCCGTACCAGGAGTGGCTGCGATAACCATTCCTCGAAGTCCTGGGAATATTAGTACCGTTATTCATTTTGTTCTCGCTACTTCTCCATTCTCCAAGCTTCGAAAAACTCTGTAGGTGGGTAAATAGGTATGTAGTGAACACCCAAGGAAGCTATATGGACTCACCATGATAGCCAAGAAAACAGGCCAGAGCTGCTCCAGCAGGACCAGCCCCAACAATTAGCAAGTCAGTCTCGACGACTCCGTCCGTCATTGTGGGCTTAAAATCCTCGGATTGACCATTATCATCCGTGTAGGGCCAAGTGTGGGAAGGCATGTTGGAGAATATAATATGAGTTGTGAAGAGAATGCTCAGAAATTTGGACTGGTGGGTGAAAGCCTGATTTTATATCAGAATTCCCTAAACATCATGTGTCTACAGATAGTATTGTACAACCACTCTTACCGGATACAAGAAGTAAGCCCAAACTATGTAAACTTACCTACACCAGAACACACAAAAAAACACTAAGCCTACTTCAGCCCCTCGCTTCTCTGAGGACGAAGCAAAAGGGAGTTCAAAAATAAGTTTAGTGTCATTCTAGTGTTGGTGACTTTTTGGGGTATGATGCATATAATTGGGTATTCCATATAAAAAATTGTTAAAGTTTGAAGATTTTAATAAAATACCGGAATATCTAGTACGAAAATAGGGAAGCTTTGAAGATAATCTGGCATTTGCGGGTATTTTGATGTAAAAGTGACCGGTATTATAGCGAGGTTCCACTCCATCGGAAAGAGTAAATTTACACCGCACAATTGCACTTGAGAACTTTGATTGGTCTTACCAACTTCCGATTCGGAAATGTCAGTATGAACGACCGGACTGATGCCGTGTGCTCCATATTTTATAATTGTTTAGATGAGCATTGCTAAGTCTTTGTAATATTCAGTCTTTAGTTTTTGTCGAAAGCTTATGAATGCTTTGAAGATGACTTTATGTGAAAGTAACACATCGTAGTCATCAACGAAGCATCGCTGTGTGACAGGTAAGATCTTACAAATACAAAGGCGATAGGAATTTCAAATCAACAAACCCTCGCCTTCCGTACAACACCACGTAGAGAAGGGTCTGAGGATGAGATAAATAGCATCCCATATAAACTTGCTTATAAGAGGTGACTAACGATTGTACACTCAGACGGAAGCCACAACAAAGCCACGACGTCTTAGGTGGCTTACGTCTGAGTGGTAAGTTACCGTGCACCCCCACCAGAGATGTGGCGCATTACCCCGCGCCCGGCACTCCACCGGTAACTGGACCAAGCCACGAAAGCCATATGTAGTGTGATTATCGAATGGTTCTTCATAACTAATCAAACAACATATTTTCCCTACTCCAGACAACATTCCACCTCAAAATCTAACCTTAATCATTCCGCTACCATCAAGAGGTTACGTTTAGATGTGTATGATTCCGAGAGCGAGAATGAAACCACATCACCAGCCAATGTTTCGACTGAATCTAGTAAGTTAATTCATATTATTTCCTATTATTTGTTATTATTTGTTATTATCTAAACTGATAATGTAATAGAGATGAATATTCCGACAAACGCAACTTCCGAGATTATCGATCTCACTAATGATGATACTCCCAGTGGAAGCGATATACCTGCCCCTACCGGAAAACCCGTTTCCACGACACTTGAGGGTCAACATAGTGATGACTTGGTTACTATATACCAATCAACAATCGGAACGACTACCAAAATGATTGGTAAAATAGGTCAAAACAAATCTGCTATCCGTGAAAATTACAACGAGGTCATCAAACCAATTGGTCTTCCGAAGAGACTTACAAATCCCTACTCGAATTGTTTTTGGGAATTTTGTAAGTCTAATGAAACCTTCCAAGCTATCGTCAAAACAATCATCAGAATCACAATTACCCGAACCTAACCCAATCCAGAACAGTGTATTTTATTCAATCCTCGAGACGACAATACTCTAATCCATAATTACGCGACATTTCTATCCTGTACACACATCTTCCTGGTACAAAAGTCGATCAAGGGGCGACCAGGACAAGTACAAAGCTGAACAAATACAAGCAACAGGCATTCGGAAAGCCGATGAACCTTGCTAACATTGTGCTATACGTGGATTTCCTTGCAGAGTATTGAAACCTGATTCAAAGATTGCAGAATTCACTCAGCCGAAGGGATGTACACTTTGTATTTCTAATGATTAAGTGCGTCATGGCCTTGACAGATGCTGCACGCTCAACGATGGCAGGATAACCCATGCCGAGCATGAGGCGGGCATTTCATTATGAACCACAAATACACCTTTGGTTTGAGGCCCCTTTGGTCTCGAAGGGACCTCATCAGCACCTTCAAAATTTGCTGATAAAAGCTGCTCCACGCCTGTTTCTTGGGCATCTGAAAATCGCAAAATTACATGGTACCCGCTTGAACAAGGAGAAGTACAAATTGAGTGGAAGCCATACAGCACCTTCTCAGCTACACTTTAGTTATGCTCGCTGCTGAGGGCATTATAAGGGATGATTGTCTTCCATTTTCTAGATCCAACGTTGTACAGCTGGACAACCGCCATAGTAATAGTAGAAAAAATATGACCACAGTATCGCTCCTTCAAAACTCCTTGAAGGTCATGAATTTAAGTGATATCCCTGACTACTTCCAGTCGCCATACTTCAACAAACTGAGTACCAGAACGGTATTTCGGGCAATAGTATCACGATACTTATGGGAAGCCGTCCTTTCGAGTATGCCACGGGATATCGAACATTTTCGAGCCACTGTACGCCACATGCAAGATCTGTGATACCTTAAAATGTTTGAATGTGAATATTGACATACCTTAGTATCTCCTGAGCAGATTGACAATGCAGTTCAGGATCAATTCTGTCCTAGGAACAATAGCACCCTTTTCGTCTATGATGCAATAAATGCCATTAATGGAGATATATGCTACGCAGTCGATGACGAGATGTTCAAGCAAATGGGTGGAGAGCTAGTCGAGATACTTTTACCACTTTGTCTTCTTTACTGTAAATCGCGACGAGAAATCATAGATATCTGTACACCGTCATGTACTGGTATTGCCTACCTGGCGAACGAATTGAGCTTCTTCATCAAAGTCAGACCTCACTCTCTAATTACACTCTACATCCCGTGCGTGGGGATATCGTTTCTCCGGATAATGGACATCTATTTGGACATGGTCGTGAAATGCATGGCGAGGTACAAATTACCCTAATGCTCGGTATCAAACCAGCTGGCAATCCTTTACTGAACTGACGCCTTACTTTGCTGCACGAGTTGAACTTGTAGCTACAAAAGAAGCTTTGATTCATAAGGAAGCCGCGAACGGTGGCGCGGTAGCCGGATTGAAGGGTTGAATTATTGAGCAAGCGGCGATTGGCAATGGTCCATATTTCTTAACAAATCTTTTGTGCAACGTCGATCTAATAGAGGTTGTTTTGGAAGGTGAAATAGATGCCGACTGCTTTCTTTCTTATGTTGGGAGTCTTGATTGATTAATGTATTCGTGAAGATCAATTGTTGATTATTTGACGCAAATTCCGTGGGTTCGTGGGTTCGTGGTTCGTTCGTTTTCGCGGGGACATGGTGGAGTCATATATTTTGGGATGTGATAGAGTGGTGGCGGATTAATGCAAGTCTAATGTTGTCTCTCTTAAGTGTGCACTCTTACAAGATAGTACTCGTAAAATAATTTGAACACACGGCATGAATTGAGCTTGCTCTTGCACAGACGATAGCGTGTCGGGTAAAAAGGATGGTGGGAGGGTGTGCTACTCCCAATAAGTACTAGTGGAGCTTTGATGTGAAAAGTGCTTTACGCTTCGTAGAACAATATTAATAGCCTGAGTGCCTTCAAATCATCTAAAGGAAACAGCAGTAAACGAAAGAGGTCAACGGGGTGACAGGTAGCTATCGCTCTCGGAGGGTAGGCATGCTGACGCCGATCTTTCAATGATACATCGGATGCCTGTTCCCGCATCCGTCATTAATCATATCTAATCTTTGCTTCTTTCTCAATATCAATATGGATAACCAGCATATCAATATCATATCAATATCAATACGCCACTCTACTATTTTCACTAATTTGCCGACAGCACTCTCGGCCCTAACTCTTTTTCCCCGAGATCTAAACACATTCGAAATGCTCAAGCTAAATGAGGAAGTCCCAAGGAATCCCATCAAGTCACCCAGTTCCTGACTTCTTCACGGACATATTCAGCCATCTTATCATCAACATACTTTCCGATTGGCGGAGATAACCACTCCATGAGTAGATCCTACCGCAACATCCGCGGTCTATTTACATCGAGCCCGCGCTCTATATATTGTGATTTGGTTGCAGGTTATACTAATTTGAAAACTTCTTAGTGCGAAGGATTGATTATAAGAGAGAAGGATGTACTTGTTCGATAGATACGGGATAGTAATCAACAGACGAAATCAATTCTTAAGGCAAAGGGACGTCCGTATAGATCTACCTAGCAATGCACAATCACTCAAAAGAAAGGTCGGAAATGGGTCCAGTCGATTTCCCGTCCTACCAAATATCAACAGACGTGGATCAAAATACTTCAGCCGGGGAATCTGTTAGATCAAAGGATCAAAACTTACCCGATTTATCGGGTAACGATTCTGAAATTGTTGCCGAAGAACTTCCTCAAGTCGCTCCAAGTCCACACGCTGATATTCCAAATGGAGGAATTGTCGCATGGCTTCAAGTTGTTGGGAGTTTTTTCCTATTTTTCAATTCATGGTATTTCTAGACTTCAAAGTTTCACTGATGGAAATGGCTGCATGGCTGACAATGAGACGATAGGGGCATAGTAAATATGTTTGGTGCATTCCAAACTTTTTATGAAAGTGATTTACTATCTCACGAGTCACCATCTAATGTTTCATGGATTGGCTCCATTCAAGCTTTTTTGCTTTTACTTGTGGGAGTTATTACTGGACCTCTCTTCGGTAGGTCCCTTTTCCTTTCCTAACCTCTCCTTCCATCATTATCAAAAACTAACCTCATTCGAGATGCTGGACTTTTTCGTCCACTTCTATCTACTGGAACATTTCTAGTTGTTTTCGGTATGATGATGACATCTATCTCTAAAACCTACTGGGAAATCATACTTGCCCAAGCAGTATGCATGGGAATTGGACTGGGATGTCTTTTTGTTCCCAGCGTCGCAATTGTTTCTACTTATTTTTCGACACGGAAAGCTTTTGCGACTGGAATTGCTGCTAGTGGAAGCTCCCTTGGTATGTATTGATTTGAAGACTTATCTCTATAAAATGGAAACTTGAGGTATCAAGATCAGTGGCTGACATCTTCAGGTGGTGTAATCTACCCAATTATTTTCCATAACCTTCAACCTAAGATAGGCTTTGGCTGGACGACAAGAGCCCTTGGATTCATTTTTCTCGCCACCCTCACAATATCCATGAGTATAATGAAGATGCGTATTAAGCCTTCGCAGAAACGAAAGTTAATAGACCTGGCGGCATTCAAAGAACCACCATACATCCTTTTTACCATGGGTCTTTTTTTCGGATTCATGGGTCTCAATATCCCCTTCTACTACATTTCATCATACGCCATAGATGAAAAAATCATGTCCTCCAACTCGGCATTTTATATGTTAAGTACCATCAATGCGGCATCTATCTTCGGTCGAATTATCCCCAACTACTTCGCAGATAAGTTTGGACCCTTAAATATCATCATACCAGGAACACTCATCGCGAGTGTGGTAGCTTTTAGTTGGACAGGTATTGACTCTGTTGGCGGTCTCGTTGTATTTGCTATCCTTTATGGATTCTCAACAGGATGTTTCGTGTCAATTCCTCCCACCGTTATTGTATCTTTGAGTCCACATTTAGGGGTAGTAGGCACTAGAATGGGCATGACGTTTGCGATTGGTGGATTAGGGCTTTTGATTGGAACACCAGTTGCTGGACAGATACTTTCGAATTCAGGATATGTTTCTACTATTGCATTTTGCGGAGCCTTGCTTCTTGCTACTGTGGCTTGCTTTGTTGCAGCTAGGCTGTGCAAAACTGGAATCTATGTTAAGAAGTTTGCATGATTTTGCGGGAAAATTGTTTGGGAACGAGCATTTCGGCGGATACCACAATGGATATGAGAACACGGTATGGACATGAGCATTTTAGACCGGCGAGTACCACGATAGATTAATGATTTATCATATGCACATATATATTCGGGGCAGGGATAAGGTGGCGGTACTTAAGGAAAATATACACTCAGCTAGATATCGATAGCTATAATGTTTGTTTCTCCAGTTCCATGAAGCTCGAAAGTAAGCCACCTTATTATTTTCTTATTCCTTCAATTCATAAAATCCCACTGCCATATTTGTCAATCTTTTCCTTCCAGTTTCATCCGCATAACGTTTATGCTCCCTTTTCAATTCTCGATCTAGAAACACAGAATATGCACAAAGTTCAGACTTGGAATAGATTGCCGCAACATCCAAGGTCATATTTGGGACGGTTAATAATCCATGTGCATCCTATGCCCGAGGACGCCAGGTCTTCGAAACGAACTGAATTTCACAGCCTGGTTAAGTTGCAAGAACTTGTTAACATTTCTAATTATTCATGGAGCTATGTGGCTTTTCACCACAAATCTCGAAATGCGTCCACCACTCCATTTTTCAAACGTAAATATGAAGGTTAATTGTCCCATCTCAACCACTCCTAAAACCCCAACTCCATAAATGCCTCACACTCGGTTCTACCCCTCCTTCCATTCCACTCCGAGCTTGTACCGCAGGCATCTTCAAAGCTACTTCCACGTTAGCACGTTTCTTAATATCCCGCAGAAAATATAACCTACTCAAAGAAACAGTCCTAATAGATTCCCAAGCAATTCTCCTTCCCAAATCAATAGGTCCTTCATCACAATAAACCGGTGCTATACGACCCCGCTCATCTTTCACCATCTTCCCCCTTCGTATCGGTGTTGGCTTTTCTGATATCCAGCTACTGCCAGTACACGCCTCACACCTATTTCTGCAATATCTATATGCGCTTCCTAATTTATTTTCCCGTGATGATGAACCAATGATAATTGCCCTCGATTTTCCCATTTGTTCTCTCAAATTCGCAACTTTCGCTTCTCCGACATAAAGTACCTTAATATCATCCCCGTACTCAAAACCTATAGGATGTCCCTCACATGTCGGATGGTCGTCATTAAATAAAGAATTGTGTCGAAATGATCCCTTTGAACAGAAATGAATGGAATCCCATCCGCTTGCATATCCCGAGTCTGTGGATGCGATGGAATTAGAGTGTGATCTTTTTGTTGGTTTTGGATCGGTGTTACTACGAGTTCGAGTTTGATGATTTATTTCTTCAGTGATGAGTTTGCTCTTGATTGAGTTCATGATTGATGGTGGTATGATGTTCTGGGCTCACTTTATTACTTCTCCGGAGCAGAGTTCTCCACTGTGCTATTGACACTTCAATATAAGTATTACCAACATTTACATGAATTTCTTTCAGTTAAAAATATGAGCGAAGACTGCCATGGGAGCAAAGCCAATAGGATTCACAAGGTTACTTAAAACATTCACCTGAAAAGTTGTACTTTGAGTGGGGCTGACTGTTGGCGGTTATAGAATTCCACCGCGTCAGCCTCTGAAAGGATTGTTGGCTTATTTCGTTGGAATCTAGGAGGAGGATCAAAAGCCATATGTATTGATGTAGCTTGATACTAATGCCTGGTTGAACCATCATCGTATGTTGTTGGTAGATAACTGAAAAGCAACCCAAGACATAGAGGAAATGCGGAAGAAATATTGGACATACATTTGATGAAAGAACAAAAAAAAAGATTGATATAAATACAAAGTATTGAAACATGACAGAACAAGCAAAGCATGCCGTAAAGCAATGGTTTATTGGAATGGAACAAAGTGAAGAAAAATAAAATATAAATCCCTTGATTCCTGTCAACTTTGGTTACTGTCACATTACTACTGCAATGACGCAGTCGCTAGTTATCATAGTATTTGAAGCTCTTTGAAGCGACCTTGAGTTGCGATTCTCAGCATGACACACCAAAAACCTCAATTATCCTATAAACATGCCTGTAGTAAAGCACTTACGAGTACTACCTTCAACGCGATTATCACACGAAATGAGGATTGCGAATATCAACTGGTATTTTAGGCAACGCTTTATTCTTGGTTCCCCGATCGGTTACTACAGCTCTGCGTGCCGAGGGAACATATTCCCTTACCCTTGTAGAAGGTAACTTGTATTCATTACGAGAGCTCTGAGACTTGTCGTGTACCTTCCCGTAATGATCGTAGTAATCATCATTCTTAGCCCGAATACTGAGGCCTGGTTTCTTCTTTTCCTCATTGAGACGACGTTTTTGATTGCTGGTATCTTTTATTGATGTCTTAGAGGTATGGTTACTCGATCTGAATTTACCATTGTTGTTTGTCCCGGAAGAGATGCTATCCTCAGAAGCATGGCCTGTTTCTTGTTAATGTACATCTACCAGAATATGTGTACTGGAAGGTTAAACATACCTTCATTATTTCTAGACCACACTCTGCGCGAGTTCTTGCCATCTCTTCCACGGCAATTTTCTTCCGATTCAGAGTTACCATTAAAGCTTCGGGCTTGAGAACTAAACTTTCCAGGTCCTCCTTGGTTGTACACAGAACTAATGGAGCGTGGATTAAGGAAGGAGGAAGCTGCTGATGACTTCCCATAAGGTGATCTAGAGTTGGTCGAAGAAGAGACTGATAATGTTGTTGTCATCTGTGAAGCTAATGAATCTTTAGAACTGGAGCGACTGTTTGAAATTGTTGGTTTAGAAGTGACACGAGTCTTTCGAGTAGAAACTCTACGCTGTAATTGGCTAGTATTAGGCTTAGAACGACTAATAATTGGATCCGGTGCATTAACATTGCCTGATCGACGAGAATTCAAATCTCTTGTTGCCGGATTCCCATCTTCTACAAGCATTCCAGTTCCTCGACCTCCCTTGCAATGCCAAAATTCATCATCGGAGTCGTCTTCCACAGCCGAAGCCTTCTTTGATTTCGTGGAGAAAAAGGGCCTCCCAAGTACATTTTGCTTTGGTGACTTTGGTGATTTAGATTTTAATTCATCAGTGGTGAGGTTCTCTTTACTGCCACCAGATATATGCCATGTTTTTGATTTGAATAAATGAGGACGATTGGAAGTTTCGCTCTTGCCCGTTTCCGAGTTTTCCGAGTATCTTCTTCCTTGTTTTGGCCTATCACCACTGCGTTTTCGTGAAGAAATATTGGCGTTCTCAGACGCATTGTGCTTAGTTTTTTTAAACAATTCTGACATGAGGTAGCATTGACTACACACCGCAAAGAGTTTGATCTCTTTGGTACATGCAGCATTGAGGTTTCTCTTTCAAGAATTTTAGTTAAGGGACAGATTGAATATAAGCCACAGGAACTCCTGCCCTACACTTAACAGTAGGCCGTGGACACCGAAGGTCAAATTATGGTCAAATCCGTTCGATATCTCACAAGACATTGGATTAATCGATACAATGGGTAGAGACCCCGTTCGAACCAGGCTCTAGCCATCAATGGTTATCGGAATCTGGACTTTACCTTCGGCTTGGATTCTGGAGATTCCTTCCATTCGCTAGGGATAATTGGTAAAACACAAGGCAGCGACTCATGTTATAGTTAATCGAAAACGGCAGTACCGACATAAATAAGTATGGCGAAATGAATTTGTGGTCCGGACATTCACGACATATACAGCCTAGAATATTCTTTTCTTGTAACATCGACCTCATCCACTAAATAGTGGTGAACCCTCTAATGGAGGCTTCAGCAAAATTAAAACAGCGTAGTTTTCTTCATATCGGCAGTCCAAATTCTAAGCGATCCTGGATTCCTGGTGACCAAATTCTGCACCATGACCAGAAGCGCGCGGTAAGAACATAAAAATGCTCGAACCAACATCTCAAAAAGGGTCAGAGGAGTTCCTAAATATTGAAATAATGATTATCATCAGGTAATTCTAGAGTAACCAGTGCTTTCGAGATCCGGCTAACATGCCGCCAAGTTATTGGACTATCCGTTGATTTGCGTCATGTGTATGGTTGTTTGAGTTATGATGTCAAGTTCAAATTGATAATGTTCAGGTCGTTGTAATATACCATTCTTCCGAAAAAGAGAGCGTCTTATATGAGAATAGCTACCTCAGAATCCTTGAATTTGAACGAAACAGAAAGGGCTTTTGACTTCATTACTGGGGTTTGAACTTGGAGATTTGCCTCGATCAGCGGAACTCAAGTTCGAGGGGCTATTTTTGTTAACCACAAAATATGATACTATCGGAACGCTCTCAAATAATCGAATGTCATTGTGAAATATCCAAGGAATTGATTCCGTCGACGTTTTGATTAACATAAAATTGTTGAAGCGACCACAAACCCAATGAAGCAAGGCAGGACCAAGCCGGAGTTACAAAAGGCGGGCGTTCAGAAGGATAGAAACTCCAGGACAAGAGCTCATGTAAAACAACTGATATATGTCATATATCCCACTAAACACCGCGATAAGTAAGCAAGACATATTTAAAAGTCTAGTACTTGGCTAAGAAGCGAAGTCGGACAAGACCCCATGATCCAGCCCGATTTTCAAAGTTGAGGGTTGGGAGGTATTTTTGACCCAGTATTTTCAGCACCATTGCTGGTGACTTGGGATTCCCACAGGCCAAACCGAGGTTCAGCTGGGCTCTTTCAATAGTACGAATATATGATTCTGGAGGGCAACAAACTCAGGCGGGCGCTTTTATTGAGGACGGAAAGAATCCGATGTCTTGGTGAAATGATGAATAAGCTTCGGATTGATACACGAGTGACATTCAACAATCAGGAATGAAGTAGTATAAACAAAAGTGCGCACTTCCTTAAAATGACTCAGCATATTGCTGAGTCGCCTTTCGCAAACGAAAGTGGCTTGAAGAGCAGTTTTGAAATGTTTTCAACTCCGAAAGTATGACCTAATGATAATTTCTCAACACAGATGTCCAAGACGACTCGTTTTCGCGAGTATCATTGGGAATCTGAAAAAGTGGATTTTTGACTGCGAATGACTTACGAACACATTGGGATAGACCAATAAGTCCAGAATCCCCCGGATCATGACTTAACGACATCTAAATGATAAATTAGTAACCATAAGCTGTCAACTTCTTAGGCAGGCAGAGCTGTTGACTCGGGAGTGTGACCGTGGCTTACCACCAAACATCAAGGTTATGTATCACTTCAAGCTGAAATGCACCTATTGCGGTTTCCTCCATCTCTCTAGATATACCGACATCATGCGGGGTACAGAAAGCACTGACGAAAAGGCAACTCGAAACGGGTATGCATACTGTTTGCCAAGTTGTTACCGTTATACCGCATAGTTCGTGGAAGTAAGGGGCAGTTCGTAAATCTGCTTGGCGGCACCTTGGCAGTCATTCAGCTCGAGTCAGCTGATGAACAGCTGATGGGAATCATAAGGTCGACTATGGCGTTGCAAGACATCTTTAAAGGATATAAATGAGATTTTTTTCCTACTTTAGTGTTCTCTCCCATCAATAAGTGTTCTTATTATCAGTAACAAAGGCTTGTCAGAATCTCAAACTAAAAATGAAGCTCAGTCAACCACTAAGCATCTTCGCGATTCTCGCAGCATCAACTGTCGCAGTGGCCGTTCCTCAAGACGATGCATGTGCAGTACTTCTTCCTCATCCACACTCTCTCCTTCCATGATATTGAAATGTCAAATCTAATTTGGGAACCATAGCAATGCCTCACTGAGGGCACTTTCTGCGAGGGCTTCGCAGGACCCGTTGGCACCTGTTGTGATGGATTAGTGTGCGAAAACGCGCCAGGTGTTGCAGATGATGCACACTGCATTCGGAAGAAGAAGGTTTGCATTTCCTAACATCCTATCCTGAGATGAAATATAGTGACGGATCTGTTCAGTGCTTGGCGAAGGGCGAAACTTGCGTGAGCATTGCAGGCCCTGTTGGTACATGCTGTACTGGAAAATGTACCTTCGTTGCACCGGACTACAGCGTTTGCAAGTGATGAACACATGTGAGCAGCGTGACGAGGTGCCTCGAGTGTGGATTTATAGGCGGAAGAAATAGGAGCCTTGTTCTTTTTCAAAACATGGTAGAGAATTTAAGCCACTTCCCACTAGTCTTAGTGCTATTTCTACGGAGACCTCATATTTTTGAGCTCGTCCTTCGTTGATAAACCACGTGATTTAGAAATTCAACCAACAACTATAGACGCATCCAGGAAAGTTATTGGCTTGTGGTTAGCGTTGACTTTCTAAAAATGAGAGTTCAATACTCATTAGCAGGTGGGCAATGCTTCAATCTTGCGGAAAAGACATTTCTGTAAGCCTATATCCGAACCCACTGTGTTACAGTGTGCACGTGAGGAGGTTGTGCCGCAATTTTCTCAGCAATCAAGGAGACTTCTAGACACCAGAGAGTAACATTGGAAAGTTTCAGGTGCAATCCACGACTGTCGACTGTCGTTGTCTGAATTCTCTTGTGAGTCAGAGGGGTGAGATTGTTCGTGAAAGCTGCTTCAGCAGTGACATCAATAGAATAACTAAGGATTGGATAGGAAAGAAAGCCATACAGCGCTGTGGCCCCGAACCCCTGATGCTGGTTTTATGTGCTTATTTCAAATATGATGGTATATAATCCATTACAGGTAGCTGTAAGGCTGAGGATAGTGGGAAAGATTATCTTGAACCAGACAAGTTGAAGGCGGTGTTAGAGTGACCAGTTCTGCCAAGGCTCGAATTTCTCGCTTGACATTAACTTCTCAACTTCTTCTGCACCTTTTCAATCTCGATTATGCTGGCCTGACAACAGCGATTAGATGGTAATTGATACATTAATATCATGCCTACTATAGTAACATGATCTACTCTGGATGCAGCACTATCTGTAAGGGCCTGACTTATTTTGCTTCTGACAAACACTAACTTCCCCTCAGAAATCTTGTTTATCTCCTTCATGATCACATTTTCACATGTCACAGTAACACAACTTACTGCACTCAAGATCGATCTGCTGTACTGAATAGATATCTTTGTACATCCGCTCCTTCTATAATAAAGTCCCGTTATTTCCTATCTCAGCACTGCGACTCATTACCATGTAAGTTCCATGATTATCAGTCGGCATGATCCTTAATGATAACCACAGGAAATTTAATGGCTTCCTGTCTCATGATTTCGACTTTATAATAATCAAAATTAAGGTTTCATGGCTTTTCCTCCGGGCGTCCAAAGTGATCTTCCTAGGCAAGAACACAGCCGATCTGCAGAAACCTTTTCATACTTCAAAGACTTCCCCATGGAAATTCGACTCAAATTATGGCACAACTCTGTCACTGCTAGAGTGATTTACATTCGTGGAGGCATTCAATATTCCGCAGGTGAGGACCATTTTGCTGATGAACCATGCCGTAAAAGAAAGATCCAGTCTCCCATCCACTACGTTTGTCAATCACCAAAGCCATGAAAAAAACCTTGAAGCATTGTTGCCATCTTTCCCTGCCGCTTGCACACGCTCTCAATTTCTCACCAACGACAGCGGAGATCCCGAATCCTCTCTTTTCTGCTTCTCATCTAGTCGGAAAACCCAGAATATCTATCAGCAAGTGCAATATTAACTATTATCACTCAAAGATACAGATCATGGCCGATAGCATCCAATTTTTTTGTCGCGTGTTAGAAGATACAAGCGCTATGCTGGTAGATAGTTCTCAGAGCTTTCGAGTACAATTCGAGATTGGCAGCAAAAGGACACGGCCTAGGCTATGCTGTCGTTTTTAAATAGTGAATCCCGAGGTATACGTGGTACATCCAAATTTCTTCTACAACGACCATAAATCGAGCGGTGGTGGTTGAAGGTTAACATCGATATGCTCTACTCCATAACCAACAGGAAGAATCTTCAGCTCTTACTTTCATTCCATTATAAAAGAAGCTGTTCCTGCTTGAAATGAGATTTGACCAAGCGTGAAGAAAACTTTCTAGTAATTGAAGTTACCTGAAAAGTGCTATGTGCACACCTAACTATGTACGAGAGAATCAGGTACTTGCCTACATTAACACCACTAGATACCCAGACTAATTGCGCCGAAATCCACATCCTCCCTTCGATTCCCGTAAATTATGGCATTTCACCTGTTTTCTTTCTTAAATCTCTATATTCATCCTTATTATCATGACCTTCTCCGCAGCGAGTAATCCATCCATGATACGCATTTTTAGGCAGGTATTTCCTTCCCATGCGCTAATTAAGTGTAGAGAGTTTATTTTCTGTCGATTCCTACTGCCAGCACCATTTCTCCATCAATAATCAGTTCCTTCCATATTTTGGAGGAATTTATATAATAATTAAATCGTGGGAAGAAAATCGATCTCATAAATTTACTTCCACACTATAATTTTTCGTCACCCCTTTTACTCTCCTTCGGTAATTCCTCTGCTATGCACTTCTCCTATGAGGTTTCTTTCAATACTACTAGTTACCAAGTACCAAGCATCATCAGTATTCTACGACCACTCATCCAACAAGTAATCCTCAGAGAGAACACATTAAGTTTCTATTCCAGATAATGCTGTCAAGATCATGTTCGGTAGATCTTGACGTAGGCTTGCGATGCTGTCTTTCCATCCCCAAAATCGACTCACCCATCAAATCCGTTTCTTTCACTTTTTGATCGCGACATCCATTCTCGGAAATTCTTGGGAAATGTATATCATGATGTACATTTTTCTTCCCATCGACATAATTAGTTGAATCTGATTCTATGCTCCAAGCGCGGTGCTAACGCGACTTCTTAAAAAAAGTATCCAAAGTATACGCTGGTAGACGATTAGCCTTTAAATATATCACTTACAATGGAATCTACAATAGCATCCTCAGTACTGACGATGGGCATAATATTAGGAATATTAGAAAGTCAATTCAAAGACTCATAGCTCCATTTTCAGGCTTTAGATCAATATGAGTAATGTTATTTGGTACATACGTAATACGTGATTAAACACGAAGACACTTACAGGACAGACCAAAGGAGGTAAAAACAAGAATATCAATTGCTTTATTAGGTATTGCAAAGCATGCACCTAAAGTGGTGATTTTTTGGATTCATAATACTTCCTTCCAACGGACGGGATTATTGCTGTGTGGGAAAAGAAGATTCGTATAATCGCATGTATCACATAAATTTCTTGGAGATATATCAGCAAATAATATCATTCATCACATATTCATGTACTTCAGACGAACAACCAGGCATTCGCTATTACTGAGAGAAATGATGCCGAGTTCTGTGAAAGGGATATAGACCCAAACCAATGATAGGTGTGCCATACATATATATCATCATGAAACTTAGGAGAGCATACCGCACCGGTATGTGATAATACGGCACAATGTTCAAATGAATAAATGATGAGTTCAGATAAGATTCCCCAGTGGCTTTTCAGACCAGTACTCAGCTCGCCTTTTCTAGACCTCGGGGTGAGGTTACGATATTACTAAGCAGCACTTAACTTGCTTCTAATTAATTAGGGGCATCTAATAATCCGCCCCCTTTAGTCCTACCTTAAACTCCCACCACCAAAAGCGAGAAAACTTATTCCTCTCAAAGAAAAACCAAGAAAAAAATACAAAAATTTTACAGAGAACTTATCAAAGAAACAAATTTCACATCCAAATCCGTTACGTATTGCGAAATGAAATGTCTGAGATATTAAGGTTATTACCGGGCACATCCACATTCACAGCAAGCAAATTTCGCAACACCAGTATGAACATCTTGGCGCTTAAACCTGGGTCTAGATTTTAGAGTTTTTATGACTGGCGCGTAGACGGGCATTATTATTGAACTAGGCTCTGGGTTCTGAGAAAAGAGTCCGGAGAATAGATTAATTATACAGAGAGTAATAGAGTAATACGGAGTAGAGACCCCGCGGTTGAAGTTACAACTTACCTACAAGTTACTAGGAGCCAAAGAAGTTTTTGTTTGGTTGATGGAAGGAAAGTAGAAGATTGAGAGTTCTGGACTTTAGTTTCAAGGTATGTGCTTTGTACGTGAAAGTCTCGATTTGTGGGGTGATTCAGAAGTTGTACTCCGTAAATTCATGATCATATGTTGAACCCGGCTTTGCATTGATAAATAGCCAAAGTAGATAAACCGACCGAGACCGGGTCGTGAGCACGGGAAAGTTGACAGTCACCCAGTACCCGGTCGGAGGGACTGAAGATTGAAGCAATTCGCACAATTCGCACAGTGTATAATCCTGTGTTAGGAGTATAGATAGTGGGAAAATGAAGTGTATAAGTAATAAGTTTCAGCTCCTGAATGGTCATGATATCTTCGATAGTTTTATTGTCGATTTTGGGAGTTCATGCGACCTAAAGCATTCTTTCTCGGTTCTGATGAAGATGGTCAATTCTAAGTTCTTCCAGAACTTTAAGAACTCAATCGCCACTTTTTTACCTCATCAGATCCAAAATGATTCATTAGATGCCGTTGAGAGGGGAGATCCAATATCGTTTTTGGGTAAGTTCTCTTACAGGGCAATACGAGATGAAACAACCCAGTGTTACAATTTTCTGACGATCCTGGTTAGGATTGGGTGAATGGATGAAGTGGAGCCCCTGAATGATTCCCAAGACTTTTCATGGCTTTTTGATGTTTAAACTTTGATGTAGGTACGTGGAAAAGAAGAGATCGGGGGAAGGAAAGCCCGAAGATATCAATATGCATTTGCGGAATGGAATAATAGAAGTTTGACTCATCTCATATTCGACACCTATTATAGTAGATAAATCGTGCTAATAAGGAGTTCAATATTGATCAATTGATTGATTTCAATCATCCAAACGATAGTAGAGAAAATACATTACATAAGCAAACCAACGACCGAAATCTATTTAAAGAACTTTCTCGTACCTTACCTTAGTCACTTATGACTCCAATTTCATCAGTTATTTATACCTCATTGTGCATGCATTCCCGTAATTCATTCACAAGGCTTAAAGCGAAAAACGAGAAAGAAAAATTGATAAAAAAAGGGGCAAAGATTCAAGGCCAAGAGTACGTGGACGTTCTGGAATGGCCCGACCCGCAGGTATAACATGCGTAAGTTGTAACTAACTATTTTACTCAGCCCCTTTTGGACGAACTCTTTTTTGAGAAGAAGGTTTGGTGGATCATGGAGAATAGTAGAGTAGTACAGAGTACACAGTCATGGGCATGGGCATGGCGTAAGGATCCTTGAAAATGGTGGTTGTGTGTGTCACTTGTGTGTGCAGAAGTAGAAGTGACCTATCACTAGAGAGATATGCTTCAAGCTATTTTATGATGTGCAGATTTTGTAACGCTCCGTAACACAACATACTCTGTAATACTGGATTGATGAAGAGACTACCTAGTATTTGCTTCAAAAGACTTCATTCAATTCACTGGGCATTTTCACGACTTTTTAATAGATTATTTATTATTATATTAATCTTGCATAGGATTTTTGAGGAATGCTGGAAACTTTTATATATCTACTGTAGCACTATCTTGGCTAGATCTGCTTAGGTATACTAATAATAATAAGCTTGTAATAAGCTGATTTTCTACTTTCTACTGTCCAAGGCTAGATATTCATCACCCACATTCATTCAATGATCCTTGAACCCTTCCTTCACCTCTGCACAAACTTAAAACCGCCCAATTCTTTCCTTAACCTTACTAACCTCCGAAATTCTATTGAAACTATTGAGAGTATGTCTATGTCTATGCGCATGCATGTCTTTTTTACATCTTTCATTCTCTGAGCCACCAAACACTTTTATTCGTCTTTCTTAATCCATTCATTCACTCTTTCATTTGATTGCAAAAAGAAAGATTCATACTTTTATTCAACACTCCTCGACGGCTTACCATTTACATGACTCTCGTTGACTAACAAGATATTCTTCCATTCTTCTATTCTTCGACTCTGATCAACCAACGGCCTTGCCTATACCATACATACTATTTACCAGGTATTTTCGAACACGAAGGAGACTGATTCAGATTCCGGTTCACCCGCCAGTCCGTTCAATTACCCTTCACGCATAAACAAATCGAGACAGACCCTCTGCAACCATACAACAACCCACATTAAATTATACCCACAACCACATCCATCTATCCATTCTCTCCAATCATTCTAGACGCCGATTCTAGGCCCTTTCCAAATTCAAAGCCTAAATAATTTCACAAAACCGTCATCATGGCCGACGATTTTGGTGCTCATGATCCATTGACTTCAACTCTTCCTCAAGGAAATCCAAATCCTACCGTCACTCATCGGAATCCTGAGAAGAATTCTCCCAGTAGACAAAGTACAATGAGGTCTAAGAGTGGATTTGAGGCTCATGCCAGCGGAGCGACGACACCAAGTAGTTTCAAAAGGCACAGTAGACATGATTTAACCGTTGATGATTATTTCGTATGTTTTACTCGCTTCTTTCCTTTTCATTTCCAACTTTTTGCTTCATTCTATTCACAACTTTCTCGAGAATGGAATTTGAGAGATCAAGTATCCATAGATCGAAACAAAATGACTAATTCTTCCATCAATAGGTCGGACCAAGAAATCTCGATGCTCACTCCAAACTTCCCTATTTTATGCGACTCCATGGTTCTGTTATACCTCGAATGATAGTACCTCTTTTTTGGATTGCATGCTGGTCTACATTAATTACATGTATTTCAACATTTTCCGGTACAAAATTGGCTGTCAATACTTTACTTTTGACCGTCCTGGGTTTCGTTATTTCTTTGGCTTTGAGTTTTAAGAGTTCTACTGCTTATGAACGGTTTGTCCTTCTTTTCCTTTGTGTCCTATTTTTTGTGCTATTGTTCCTTTTATAATTTGCTTGCTTGTTGCAGCAGAAATGAAAAGGATATGAAAACAAGCTCGAGCGGAGCGAGCAAAAGGGGGTTTGGGGACTTGCCCCCATAATACCTCACTATAATATTAATGACGCTCCGCTGGCTCTCCGAGGGCCACTGCCGTGGAGGCAGACTAATATAATTATACATTATTCACAGAATTTCAACTAACAAAAAACCAGTTATTCCGATGGTCGTAAAGCATGGGCTGCCCTTTCAGTTCAATCCCGCAACCTAAGTCGATTCATCTGGGTCAATATACATGAACGTGAAGGTGACATGGGCAAAGAAGATCTTCTCGCAAAAATAACCGGTATCAATCTCGTTTTGACCTTCGCCGTCGCTCTCAAGCATAAACTTCGTTTCGAACCATACGCTCATTATGCCGATATTTCTGCTTTAACTCATCATCTCAATACGTATGCACAATCCGCTACTACCCCGGATGTACTTATCGAGAAAAAGCGAACACCATGGAAACGTGCTGGAGAATATCTCGGTCTAAGTTTCGCGACAAGTAACCCTAGAAAAGCAATCAAGCGCTCCAGCAAGCCAGTCGGAAACCTTCCAAATGAAATCCTCACCTACCTAGATGCCTACATTGACGGAACCATTCGCAACGGAACTCTTGATTCTCCAGTAGTCCTCGGTCAAATTCTCGGTTGCATGAATGCCCTCACCGATTGTTCCGCCTCCGCCGAACGTGTTCTTCAAACTCCTCTTCCTGTCGGATACAACATTTTGATTTCTCAAATCGTTTACCTTTACGTTTATCTCCTCCCCTTTCAACTCTTCGAAGCATTAAGATGGGTTACGATCCCTGGTACAATTGCCGCTGCATATATCATTGTCGGACTCATGGCCATCGGAAACGAACTCGAAAATCCCTTTGGAAACGACGTTAACGATCTCCCATTAGACCACTACTGCGCAGAATTAGCCCGCGATTTCGATATTCTCACCTCCGTCAAAGCTCCAACATGGGAGGAAATTGTCTATGGAAGAAAAGAGATGACAAATGATGATACGGAAGAAGAATTGATGAGGGAAAATAAAGTTCTTTGGCCACTCAGTAATTCAGGAGTAAGAATGTGGAGAAATAGAGATGAGAAGGAGATTAGAGATGCCTTGGCTGCAAAGGTAGTGGTAGCGGATAGGAAAAGTAGAGATGTGTTTACGAGTGCTGGAGAAGGAAGAGCTAGTACTGCTAGAGCGAGGAGCGGAAAGAGTGATTCAAGTGCTGAGACCGGTGAAAGCGCTGCGTAGTGAACGAAGGAACCGGTCAGAGATGGATTTTCAGGAACGAGATTTTAAACAAAAAATAAAAGCCAAGTGCAGCACAAGCGAAGCGGATCATACCCCCTCCACAGTCAAAAGTCCTAGACTGTACCCGCGAAGAATTTAAAGGCAGAAAATTGGTTGTGGGGTTGTAGCATACATATGGCGAGGAGTTTTTTTTTTTAGGGACGAAGGAGTTAGGGATGTTGTATGTAAATTATTATACGGATTTTTTATTTTCTTTCTTTTTGGTTTTCTGGAGAATGTATGAGGAGATGAGATGGGATGGGATGGGATATGTTCTTCGATGAGCTAGATGATTCTCGGGAGATGTGTAATCTTTTCTTTCTTTTCTTTTTTTAGGGGCCGTGTTTTGTATGTGTGTGTACCTAGGTATTTATTGTTCTTAGATTTGAGATGGGTTGAGATGAGATGGGATGAGATTAGGTAGATACAAAATTCGAATCAACTGGTTGATTGAATAAATTTATTTCAATATAGTTTTATGATTTTTGATACGGGGTGATTTTAGACAGTACTGAGTTTATTATAACTTGATGAGTTGAGGAATTGTTACGACGGGCTACACAACTGCCATCACATGACCAAGGCACGTGATCACAAGTGATCAGTAGTGATCATTAAGGATCACTAAGGATCACGGTATAGGTGATCACTGGTGATCATAGAAGCATGAAGGTCTATATAATCAAGATGGATTTCCTTTGTATAGAGCTTCGTGCTCAAGATCAATCATTTAGTATACTCTACTATTAGTTACGAATTGCATATCATTATTGTCATTACTTAAGTCCCTGCTTGACGCCTAGTTATAAACCACCTCGAGAGCCTGGAGCACTTCCACGTGATCTAGACGGCAAACCTCGTAACACTTAATTAATAAAATCGCGAAAAAACTGAAATTTTCAGAATTTATTTATAATTATATAAAGATTTTGTAATCAAAATTTTAATTGATTTGATTTATTAATTATTGAATAATTAATAGGTAAAAATCGTTATTTTTGGTATAAAAGGGTGGCTTATATTAGGGGTGGCCCAAAAGTAGGGTACTAGACTTTAATTCTACTAAAGCAGATAATTGTCACGATTCATTAATTCACGTGACCTCGAGGACCTTGAGGACCGAAGGGTCCCAAAGGTCCTCAAAAGATGATATAGGGTATATAAACATTCATTTAGTCTCGTAGTTAAGGAGCTTCGTGCTCAACTTAGTTATCAATTAGTTTACCTACATTCTACTTGATCTAGTAACGACTTCACTTCCAAGTGAAGACCAGTGATGAAGCCTTAACCCACAACTACCAACCAGACGAAACCTTAGGCAGCCGCTGCCTCCAGTATAGTATCGTTACAATAATCTAGAAAGAAGAAAAACAAGAAGACGGAGAAAAAACACAGAAATAGAGCAAGCAGAAATGCAATAAAAAGAAATACAATAAACAAAAATGCAATAAACAGAATGATACAATACAGAAATAAATCAACGTAGAAGTGCAACAAGCAGGAACACAAAGACATGATTAAAATAGCCAAGTACAGGAGGGACACCACTAGGTCATTTGCAGTAGACTCACTAGATTGAGAAAGAACTTCACTGAAGTAGAAAATGGCAGGAACGCAGAAATTCAAAAAACAGCAGTGCACGCAAAAACATAAGGGGTAAGTTCATTAAGACAGAGAAAATCATTAGAGGGACAGAGAAAAAGCTCGCTAGAGCAGAAGAAAACGCAAAAAAGCAACAATACAGAAAATCAGACAGGTAGATAGGTAAATGAACGGATAAACAGAAAAGACGAAAAAGACGAAAAAGACGAAAAAGACGAAAAGGACAGGAAGGACAGGAAAGATAGAAAAGCAAGATAATTCAAAACACAAAATCAACAAGACAGAAAGGTAAAGAAGTAACTCACTTGATTGAAAATTGAAAAGAAAAAGCTCGCTGGAGCAAGAAAAGACAGTGGAAAAGAGAAATTGAAAGGGCAATAAGATACAGGAAAATCACTAGATACAAAGAAAGAAAAGTCTCGCTAGAGCAGAGCAGAAGAAAACTTAGAAAGGCAGAAGAGCAGCAAAAAAGCAAAAAGTAAAAAAAGCAAAACCAAAAAGAAGACAGGAAATCCAAAAACAAGACAGAAGAAAAGAAAAGGCTAAAGAAAAAACAAAAAGAGATGAAAAATAAATCTCCCTCTCGAGAAAAAGGACGATGACTTTATACCCATCAGTACCCCTCACTTTTACTGCTAAAAAATAGTATACCCGACTAATACTTACCCCTCATTACCAGTAACCCATCTAATCCCTCGTGCTAGTGCTAAGTTGTCGTTAGTATGTTTCCTAGACCCATCCTATCCTGCGCAAATATAAAGTTCGGCTATTTTTGAGTAGTATGATCTGAATCGTAGCTCGCTACGGTTTACTTTATTTCAATCTCGAGTACATGATACTTACCTAGTTTTCTGTAGAATTTAGTATGATATCAAGAGCTGGATTTGATTTTATCTTCGGGCTTCATTTTTAATAGATATGACAACTGGGTAAATACCAGATCTCAGATGAACTATGAACTTCTCCAGAGTTTTTCGATCTGCGTTTCATTTTTCGATTACGACTTATTCGGATGTGTTGATTACTGCGCAATGACATTCTTTTAATAGAAGGTCAAGGGAAAGAGCGGAACTAATATATGAAGCCAGACTACAGCAACTCAAAACTAGCACCCCTACATCCCTGCTCCTTCCCTTCTCTTCTCTCCTTTTTCCCCACTTCCCCCTCTCACCAACCCATGCTACAAAGGATATAGCACTCACACACTAACAAACCAGGTCATGACATATACACAAAGTTTCCCATTTTCTTTTACTACTGCCTAGCCTCCTAGTACATACTAAGCTTACACTACACTCAACATCTTCCACAACAAAAAGCTAGCAATCTAATCCCCGTCCTATTTTACACCATCCCTCCCCATAGACCCATAGACATAGCACTTTTCCTTATAAGCCTGCGTTCATATTATGAGATTTAAACCATACCATTGATGTTCCATCACATCACCCTTCTAAGTTCTCACTAATATCCAATATGAGACCTAATGAGACGGCTAATACTGTAAGACTAGACATTCTCCAGTTCCTACAATCTCCCCCTATCCAAGAACATAATAATCAACTCCAATCAGCAATCCACATCTAAATCATGACTCTCGAGTCTCGAGTTTTCACTTGCTGAGTCGTGATATATCGTATGTTTAGAAAATACACCTAAACATCTAGGGTTGATATCCTTCCACTCAATTCATGCTAATTAGTTTATAATAGTAAAAAGAAAAACTTGATGGGCACCCCAAGACCCCTCAAACTCCTAAATATCCCGCAAGCAATAATCCAAATACCTATATCCTCTCTCCTCCACCGCCCATCACCCCCCATTCCCACAAGCGCCAATATACCCCTCAGGGCGATCCATAAATAGATAACTAGTAATCCAGACTAATGCAATACCAATCTGTTAATACAGAAGATAGATCAAGTAACCAAGCAACTAATCATGTGGTTATTTCTCTTTAACAATTTACTGTAAGCAATTAAGTAGTAAAAGTTAAGATTACTTACTAACCTGTTTTGGAGGGATGGAGGGATGGAGGGAAGGAGGGAACAACATCTAACTTATGTTTTACGAATTTTATGTCACTTTCTCTCTATCTCTATTCATCTGTCTACATTTACCACCTACCATCCATCCCAATCCAATCCAATCCAATCAAAACAAACCCGGAACGACAACCCTCTTCACTAGTAATAACCTTACTCACACTCACACTCCCACTCCCACTCCCACCCACCAAACAAAACGAAGCTAAAAAAAAAAAAAAGACTAGACTAGACTAAACTAAACAAGCCCTACAAATCTCTAGTCTCTAGTCTCTAGTCTCTAGTCTCTAGTCTCTAGTCTCTAGTCTCTAGTCTCTAGTCTCTAGTCTCTAGTCTCTAGTCTCTAGTCTCTAGTCTCTAGTCTCTAGTCTCTAGTCTCTAAATTCCTAGTCACTCAATTGCAACGACACCAATACTTATTATTAACCACTAAGGTAGTGCCTGGATATCACCAACCATTGCTTCTTCCCTCTACTAATGATTAGGAGTCGAATTAGATCGATTCATATGCGTGCTGCCAGGACGCTAATTCCAGGGTGCTGGCCTTGTAAATATCTGGATAACTGGGACTAATTACTAGTCGTTTTGATGAGCTGTTCATCAACCATACATCCAGCTGTCTACATCGCTAACGTGAATGCTTACACCTCAATTCTACACTAAATCACGTACTTATTTTAAGAATATTTGTAGTATTTTGTATTCGTATATTCCAAGCCTCCTTCTCAATATCTAAATACATATATCCCCAGCACCCCGCACTTAACTGCCTTCCCAAACCCGGCAAATTCAATCATCAGCCCCACCATCATCACCCCTCCCTGTCAATGCCCCTACCAATCCCAACATTCTCCTCCCCAAAAGATCATCCTCACTAGCTAAACTAACCATACTCTTTTGTCTCTTAATTCCTCCTCTTAGTCTCGTTCTTCCCCTTTCCCCACTACCCCTCCCAATTTCTTCCCTAAGAAGCTTTTCCTTTTTTCTCCTCACTTCACCATTCCCATTCATATCACCAGGACCTTTCCCTTTTCCACTAATACTCATTCTCATTTCAAGCCCGGTATCTTCATCCCCGGAACTCTCCGCTCTGGTTCTTCTGCGATATTTCTCTTTGTCATTTGCTTTAGCAAGTTCTCTTTGTTCTGATTCCTCAAAGATCTTTTGCATCCATTTTCCGCACTGGAATATATATTTCCATCCCTCTGGGAAAATTCCAACAAATTGTAAGAAACCATGACTTATTCCAGGAATTAACATGACTTCTGCTGCATCTTCTCCTTGGCATCGTCTTAGTCTTCCTGCAAATATGACCGTATCATCCACTAGTGGATCTCGTTCTCCCGTGATGAAATAAGTTTTGGGGAATCGAGCTAATAATGAGTCGGGTGCTAAAATCGGAGATAGAAGATAATCGGTTGAAAAGTCGGGACGATTGTGAGGACCTATGTAAAGAATAATCATGGCACGCATCATTTCCGGAGTAAGGATGCGGTCATTGAAGTAGGATATCATAGATGACATGGCCAGGCGGGTGCGTAGAGGAGCGGGATGGTGAGATGTTGATGGTGCAGTCGGTTGAGTTTTTGTTGGTGTCTTTGTAGATGTGGGAGAAAGAATAGTAGGGGCAGCAGTGCTATATTGAGGGGATGGTAGAGAAATTTTCGACGGTGTTTGAGTAGAGCCTTCTACACCTTCTTCCGTTCTCGATGGTGGCGAAGGTAACTTCATTGGACTTTCATCCTCATCTTCACTTTGATGTGGTGTTCCCGCTGCCAAAGTATATTGCATACTTTTTCTCTCAATAATACCCTTATTTGTCTTCCTATACTTTCTATCTTTGATCAAACTCATCTGTTCATCACTCATCCAATTCCCAATGTTCATATCTAATCCGGGATAAATGAGAACTAGACCATCGGGAATCGGAAGCGATCCTTGTCCCAAGAACTGTCGAGTATCTGTTCTTCCGGATTCGATGATCATCAATGTGGTGCTCGCAGCTAAATTTCCACCTGCACTATCCCCAGTGATCACGACCTTGGGAATTACATCTCCGGATAATCCAACACAACGACCTCGACTAGCGATTATCGTACTGTAGACATCATAACATTCGTTTAATGCATATGGATATGGAAACTCTGGCGCTTTCTTGTAATCCAAACTCAAAACCGGCAATCCAGTTTTGCCTGCCCATGCAAATAATTTGTCGTCATTTGTTCTTGGATCCATTGCTACAAATCCTCCACCAGGTATATCCAAAACAATTTTTGTGTGATTTTTCAGAGCTGATAGTGGTCCATCGAAGAATAACCATCCACTGACAGGTTCTTTGTAATCACTGCTCGATGGTCTCGGTATCCGAATCGCTCTTGGTGGATATCTCATGAATCTCGGTCGTAATAAATTCGACAAAAATCCCAAGTATGGAGTCGTTCCTTTATTCCAACTAACTCTCAAATGATCCACCGTCAACATTCCTCTAACTTTTCGAACTTTTTCATCGGCTTGCTCAGCAGCAATCAAATAATAAACGGTGAATATAACTCCAGCCAAATCACGTATCCATTTCCGCCTTATGCGCATGGCACTCCAAAACCCCGCATCCAAAGCTGTCGTGACCCATGTTGCTCGAAAGTATGACCTCGTGTAAAGATTTGCTAAAGGCTCCGGACATTCGAGTCCAACTAATTTTCCCAAGTTTCGCGCAATGTAAAGGTAGAGGAGGGTTATGACAAGAGTTTGCCATGGTGTAAGGTATTTCGAGAGTATGCGGGAAAGCTTTCGAATTTTTGGAGGTCCATCTTTGTTCCCTCTGCGAAGTGATGTTAGTTATTATTGTTATGATAATGAGGTGGCGCAAGAATGTTACCGAAAGAGGTAAAACGACCAGAAAGATACCACGGCCAAAACTTGTATCTTGCGAAACTGTACAGAAGGTCGCCCTAGAACATGATCTGCCAACCTCATTAGTAGTTGAACTGGGGGGGTGTGATATGATGGATGGTGACATATACCTATCATCGTGATTAAAGTTATATGTTGTTGTACAAAAGAGAAGATGACGAGTGAGAACAAAGAATTGTTGATAACATGTGTGCGCCTCGGAGGGTATTGTATTTTGTCTCACGGGAAGTCAAAAGGAGAATAAGAATAGGAAGGAAATTATAGTTCAAAATAGAAATATGTTCAGAAAATGCATGTGAATTTGGAATAAGAAGTAAATCCGAAGTAAAGTTCCACCTGTTTGTACATATGAAGAGAGAGACCAAAAAGGTAAGAGGTAAGAGGTGAGAGGATATTGATAACAAATTGAGGATATCTCTCTATCTCTCTTCTTCCTCTGGCTCTTTGAAGGTTTACCAAAAAAGAGGCATATGATCGATTTTGACCCAAAAGAGAAGACCGAGGCTGATATAAATCCTTATAATTCTTATAATTCCCCGTTTTCCCCGTTCTCTTCAGATGGGAACGAATTGAAAGTCTTGGAATGTTGGAATGTTTTAAATCTTATGCGGGAGTAATGAAATCATGGGGACCATGTGGAGAAAGGTGGGTTCGTAGCTTAATGTTTGTGTTCGTGTTTGGAGTGAAGTCGAGTGGAGTGAAGATTGGCATGTGAATATGATGACTCAGCTATGCCGCAGCTGGGCACGTGGCTGCATTACTCATCATGTCGACTATTTCCATCTCATCCATTTTTATTCATTCAATTCGTTCAAGTCAACATCAATATCAACCTCATCTCTCCAACTTCTCCAATATGACATTTCTATGTGATGAAATAGACCATGTCAGTTAAAATGCTATTTCTACTCGAATAACAAAATCAACGCTTTCCACTCATCTTAACCAAGGCTACGGCCATGCACATCTTGGCAACTGTATCCTTCGTTTCTGATTTCTGGCCTTGTGGACATTAAGTCAAAGCAATCCTCAGTCTTGTTTACTCGTGCAGCAATCCCAAATTCTGGATCCACCGCACCATTCGCAAATACGGTTTTATTGAGAAGTTCCTTGAAATCCCAGAGTTTGATCCATGTGAGTGTTGACGTTGAGTTTTTCCTCAGCGGCAAGCATCGATCTAAGGACTTCGAATTCGAGTCAATTATAAGATGGCATCTTCCTCTACTTCACGGAGGACCGGAGAATAAGAGAATTTGAGTGTCAAAACTCCACATGGACTAGTGTTTGGGGGTATTTCCCTTCCATGCATCGCTCTCGTTTTCGTGAGTACTATTTGTATGAACGCCTCGCCGTCAGTGCGTCAACTCACAAGTGGAGGGCTATAGAACCATCTTTATTAGATTTTGCTAGAAATTTAACATGCAATGAAGGAGGATGGAAACTACAAGATATGTACCGTGTTAATCACCAATATCAAAGGTATTTTATTCCGGGGCAATACTAAAGGAATCTGAAGTTCTTTTATAAGAGGTGAATCCTAGCAATTTGTAAGTGAAAGAAGTACTTGTTTTACAACCTGTAATACTCGCGATCCCCTAAAAAGACTTGGGCTGGAACATTCTTACTCAATAGGACCAGCATATGGTCTTTCATAGATTATGAGATCAACTATCAAGAGTTTCATTGAGCACCAATGCCAGAGGCAAATGCTCTGGGACAGTCAATGAACATGATTAAAGGCCATGGATTTATTGCTTCTCTCCTTCTCATCAGGAACCTTCTACAAATATCTTGTAGCTGCAACTAATTTTTCATTCAGCAAAATAATACTAAAAGTCAGAATTTCACACAGTGTCCTATCATATTGCTCATTCCACCATTTAAAATACTTCTTCTATCAACCCAATCCACATTTCAAAGTACACGATGTCCTCAACCGTTCCCAACGTCGATCCAAGAGATCGAATAACTCTTCAAGTAGGCACCTAACATTTCATCACCACAGCCGGAATATTGACTTCAAAGTCCAACTTCTTCAAAAGATTCCTATCCCCCACGTGGACCACACCCGACGAAGATGGTTCATACTTTCTTGATGTCGACCCTATTCTCTTCGGACACATCTTACAATATTTGAGACGAAACATATTTCCCATTTTCTACGACGATTTAAAGGGTCATGATGAGGCGATGTACGTTGCACTTCAACAAGAGGCAGATTACTTCGATTTGAAATCGTTGACGGAATGGCTGAAAGGGAAGAAGTATCTTCAGGTAGTTCAAACCAAGTATACCGTTCATGAAATTCACAATGGAGGATCTGGAAGAATCCCCGCTGGTGCAAAATATGAGTTTTATCTGAAGTGGTCGATGGAGAAAGTGTATTTGTGTCCCAGGGGACAAAATAACCACAATGGGGATCCAAGTGCATGCAGCAGGAGTTGCATGGCTCTCAGAGATGTGATCGGCCAACAATGGGGAGAGAGGCATATTTTTGGAGGAGTCATTCTGACATATGAAACAACTTTCAATGAGGATCTATGCGTGGATAAATCCTGAATGGTTGTTCAAGTTTTGCAGGGGATAGGTTTAGGATTTTTTGAAATCTGACCTTGTCTGAAGGGTCCCTCCGGCCGAACAAATGGTTGTTCTAGAGCTCGGGATGCAAATATTAAATTCATCCACAAAGTAACGAATTAATCGTGAATTATCCCGTGAAAAATATCTCCTTCGGCCTATAATATTCACCTTCTCCGAGTAAGTATATTGAAGAAATCCTAAGCAAGTTATAATGATTCATTAACAAAACCATCCACATTCCCATATACCACCCAAATATACTCAATCTAAAGTAAGTAAAAACATCTCACAATTTGATCCATTTTCCCGGTTCCGGTAATGTCTAAGCCTCCGAGGTTGATGGGTTATTTATCATCCAAATATCTTCTCTTTTCTTATTTTTTCCTCTTCTGATTATTCACCCCACCAAAAATACAGGAACTGGAAATATTTATCTTACTTTTGAATTTCTGATTTAATTACTACATAAGGAAGTTATAATAAGGTAGTGGATTTTGATAGGTAGGATAATTAAGTCTAGTATTCGCTGATTTGTCTCCGTACGGCGTACAAGTGCTTCCACGTAAGATATAAAGTATAATTGACGCTTCTCTGTGGATTGAATTGGTGTGGTATTTTTAGTCCTGGTGTTATATTTGTGCTAATTTTTTCGTGCGGAGGTTTGTGTCGAAGTTTCTTTTCCAAATGTAAATCACTGACCGAAAGAGAAGACTGCGAAATTAATATTACCGATAATCACAATAACAATACCACATTATCTAATCGTATTCGACACTTCAAATAATTCGGAATTTAATCACAAAGAGCTATAAACGGAACGGCTTCGGAAAATGAATTAATAGGTAAAATTGATTTGTTAACACAAGCCAGCAGATATGGGATATCCAATGGACATAGCAGAGGCGAGCCCAGAATAAAACTAATTATCATCTGTTATAAAAGTATATCTCGTGTCTCATCTCCGGTAAATAAGTCTTACATCAATACCTTTCAACTACCTCAACGTCAAATAGAAATTCAATCAAGCCATTACCATCATAAAAATATCATACAACACGTTCAGAAAAGCATTTCGCCAAAATTTCAACAGATCCCCATTCTTATCCATCTAATCAGCTTTTACTCCTAAAATCGGAGAAATCCCAAAGGCGTAAGTCTATTCCCAGCACTCTTCGATTTTGCCGCACTGGCTGCACTACCCGTCGCCGTACCTGTTGCTGTTCCTGTTCCTGCACCGGAAGCGGAGCTACTATTTGTTCCGAAAGTTCCCTCTTCATCCTTAGGGAATGCCTTAATAGCAGGAGTAGAATAAGATCCCTTTACACCACCACCTGAGCATTTATCTGGAACACCTTTTGCAATCGCACTTGCAGCTCCCCAACTAGGACCGGGTTTTCCCTCTCGGGCACGTTGCATCGTGAGGAATGATGCATAAGACCATGTGAGATCGACTGCACTGACGGCTGTGCCATTCTCGCGGGAAAATTGTTCGGCGAGGGCTCCATCTTCTGGAGTGTATTTCTCGGCGACTGCTACGAAGCCATCTGCGTAATCTTGCATGGCTTTGACTATATCCGCATACTGGGTCGAGTCACTTTTAAAGGTTCCTTTTTCTATTCCTGGGACCAGGTCTGCGAAGAAAGGCTGGCTAACATCCGTTACGGTGATGTTTTTGGTACTGTTGTATGTCCATAAGGCATCGTAGAGTTGTTCAGCTGCTGCGTACGTGCACATATACCAGGGATTTCCTCCTTGATAGAAATCTTCTGGATAACGACCAATAGCCACTGCTTGACCGGCTGGAGCATCTGAATTGACGGTGTAGATAGAACGGAAGGAATCGACTAGTACTTTGTGATTCGCGAGAGCACGATCGGAACAGGGCTGGAAAGTGGTGGAGTCGCATCCCACAGCTGGATCTGGATCATAGGTATGTATCGAAGTCAAGATTGAGTTACAGTCCAATCCGGAACGATCATAGGTTGTTGATTGTACCTGAATGTTCGAATTGATACTGGTTCCATTCCAATAATTTTGTAACATGCAAAGAACCTCAGGGGCTTGCGCCTCGCAGTCTGCACATGATTCTCCGAGGTCAGTGGCAAATTTTGCTCCTTCCACCAATGCTCGGTGTTGAACTGCGGTAGTGAAAAATGACGATCCATTGATCTCTTCCCAAAGGTCAAAGCCGGATAAATTCCAGTACTGTGAGACATAGGCCAAGTCATTCCGGACGATAGGCCAGATAATATCCTTGACAGTATCATTTTGTCCCAAAGCAAGACGATCATTTCCAAAGGATATCAAAGCTGTCGCACGAAGAGCCGGTCCATCACGTTGAGGACGTCCCCACTCTCCCAAAAAGGCAGTCTCATTAGTATAAAATTTTGGTTCTGCCAAACCTGCGCCCGAATCGAGATCTCCTGAAGGGTTTTCGACTGTTTGAAGTTTTGCTTGAGAAGTTACATAATCCTCAATGAGAGTTTGGAAGCTCGAATTGGCGGTATCAATTAGATATTTGAAAGTCAAAGCCGAATCACGAGTCCACGTGTAGAAGTCTAATTGAAATTAGTATCGCCTGCCAAGATGATGTAGAATTAGTATTGATCGACTCACAGTTAGGATCAACTGTACTTGGACTGGCAACTACAATTCCAGCATTGGCACCAGGAGCCTTAGAGCCATTGGGACCAATATTATTCAAGACACCTTGAAGAGCGATTGGGCTTTCCGAGGTGAGATAGTTATCGATTCCTGCAGCACGTGTAGATAATTTGGGTTGTGCAAGGCCTTTTGCCGAAGATAAAAGACCGGCGACAGCCCTATTGACTTCATCAGCACAGCTCGGGTATCTGGGATTAAATGATAAGGCTTACGCAGTAGATTGTTTCCACAACATGGTTGTAGATAGGTTCACCAGTTGTTTGGTATCCAGGTACTAGAATTGATTAATGATTTATAAGAACGCGCACGATTCCACGCGTCAACGAATGAAATATCGTTTTAAATCCAGAATTAAAAATGATGTAAGATCTTATTATTAGCCGTTTTGGCAGTAGGTGTTTAAGTCAAGAAGAAAAGGAGCGAACGATAAGGATGACAAGTACCATGAAAGGAATAAATAAATACTGTGAAATGATAAAGTTTTTTTGGAAATCAATATTTTGCTGTACCAATTATCTAAAATGACAAGAAAATAGGAGTTCTCCTGCATTCGGTGTAGTTTGTCGATCTATCCACAAATTAGGGTTGGGTGCAGGACAGGTTATACCCGGGGTAATCCAGGGGATATCCGGCCGATATACTGCGTAGTAGTATTCCACCTCTAGGGGAGGATAACCCAAAAGTGCTCTGGTAGGTTGGTACCTGGGCATCCGGGGTATTATTTATGCGATATGATGTAAATGATTTGAAATTTTCTATAATGCATTTCCCAGATATATCAGGACTCTATTATCGTCCTTGAGGGGGGGTAAATAGACTTCATTGGAAATCATATTCTTTCACGCCACAGACCTGAAGAACCAACAACTTTTACAAGACGGTGTATGTAACAAATACCCATAGTATCCTAGGTACCCATCAGGCTTGATGCGTCCTTTGTAGAGGTCAGTTACCCTGGGTAGAGTAGTACCACAAATTGATCCCCGTGGTGTTATCCCCGATGTACCCCTGAATGCTGTGCTAACCCCTTCATCATAAGCTTGAACACTACAGTACAACACGGCCTCGGAAATTACTCCGGAAAATCATCAAAACATCAACAACACTATCTAAACCACGATAACATCTATCTATCTCTCTCACATTCTATCAATTCCCATGATTTCGAAAACCACTGAAATCGTACAGAGTGAGAGAAAATATCCTTCACCCATACTCCCATACTCCCATACTCCATAGCGCGATTAATAATTAATACCACGAAAGATTTCAGGGGCTAAGCGAACGCCAAGTTATTGGAGTTCGAACCCGAGTACTACGCTGCACCCACAATTCCAACCACGGCTTCTGACACCACTTACCTCATGAGGACCTGCGGCGGGAGTGTGACCGGTCGAAACCAAAGTAAACTTCGTGTCAGAATCGACTACCTTTTACGGAGCGCTTAGTATTGGTACTTGGCATTGATACGTGATGTTCTAAAGTCTGAGAGGATTCGAAGGATACGAGTTTGATGTGGTGGTTTTGGGGATTGGTAATAAATTCATGAAAAGGGCCCGTTTGTGTAGCGTCAGCTTTTTATGCCGCCTATTCAATGATGAATGCTGGTCGTGAAGGAAAGATTGTTGATTCCTACCTTGGCAATTTTTTATGTAGGTTGTTTGTTATGCTAAAACTCCTTCTGTTATTTCTCGTGTGATGTACGTCGATTTAATGTTGACGCGGTATTGCCGTTGCATATCGTATATACCCTGTGGCACAGAAATAAAAATCCAGCATTAAAGAGCACGCTGTATTTTATATGGGTAGTATTGTTCTCCACGTTTTTCAATAAGGTTACGATGCAGAAATTGTTATTACGAAATGAGATTGCAGGGTTTGCATGCAGATATTTGATGACAAACGCTGGAATACCGTTTTCTCCTCTAAAATCCAGGTAGAGTGAACAAGGATAACTCACTTTTATGAAATTCTTTACCTGCGGCTTTTTCGCATTGAAATGCCAAAAATTCGGTTACATTTCATTTAACTAGAGAATTAAATACTCCGGACCCTAACCCATATAAACTTCATTCTTCGAATCCCTGTTTAGCCTACCTGAATTCTGTAAGAAAATACGGTATTCTTATAATCCTTATATCCTTATCTTATCTCCTCATCTCACAAGTTTACCAAGGAAATCCAGGAATTTCTCTCTTCTCAAGCTTCATCCAAATATCATCCCAATAAAACATAGCACCAACCAAAATACGTTTTGGTGATGGGGTCTCCTTGCTTGGGAGACACAGTCGTGGATTAAATGCGCGGAAAAACTGATGATTGTTATTAGAGGACCATATAAGGAACCAACGAGTCAGGGAGATTACTTACCATCAAAGGAGTCTTCATCAATTCAATCATAGCAAGATCTTTACCCAAACAACTGCGGGTACCATATCCGAAAGTAGCAAGATATTTATCGAAAACCTTACCGGCCTCCCCGTCATCTTCCAACCATCTTTCTGGTCTGAATTCCTCCGCATCTTTTCCATAGACTGCTGGATCACGGTTCGCCATATAAGCTGTGCTGGTAACTTCAGTTCCGACCGGGATAGTTTTTCCATCGATTACAAGAGGAGCATGGTCAGCTTGAACGAGACGGGGAAAAATATTAGGAGCCGAAGGACATAAACGCAGGGATTCTTTGACACAGGCAACGTAGTATGGACAGTTTTTGGAAACCTCTGATGCAGCTGGAACGGGACTAGATAATACACCACGTTCGAAAGCAGCGTCGATTTCACCAATCATTTTGGCGTAGACAGTTGGATTGGAAAGGAGGTATGCCATCATTGCTCCCATGGTTGTTCCGGTAGTATCGGCACCAGCTGTGAATAAGAGCATACATTCGGCTCGGATGTGATCTTCGGTGAGTGGTTGACCATCGGCATCACGGGCCTCATAGAATCTGATTTGTTAGTATTTACGGAACCATTCAAGGAAGATTAACATACGATTGTAACAGATCAACTCTGTCATTGTTCTTCCCTTCAGCAATTTCCTTCTGTCTAGCTTTCATAATTCTGTTTGTCCATCTGATCAAGAACCCCATTCCTCCCTTGTCCTTTTCGTTAGAGACAAGGAATCGTCCAAGCCAAGTCTTCTTGATGAACTCAACAAATGGGTACATTCTTCCAACAATACCGAAATAGAAGAAGCCCTTGTGGAGTTCTTCGATCAAATCGTCAACGTCAGTAGCAGTATCCACGAATCCAAAGGCCTCTCCAAATCCAACCAAGCTGATAACGTCAAAAGCTGCAAAAGTAGCCCATCTTGACATGTCAAAGGCTTTGTTTTGTTGAGCAAACATTTCGTCTAGTTTTTTGATCCAAGCGATGATAATATCATCAATGAGAGGTTCATTCTTGACCATCTTAGACATAGAGTACGGTCCAGCAATCAAGCGACGGAAATGAGCGTGATGAGAGTGCTGTTGCATGTTGAAGACTGACTCTCCAGGGCCAAGTGCACCAGTCACGTACCATTTTGTCTTAACAGCCTGACGATGGTAAATGTGTGGAAGAGAGAGAGCTGAGGGGATCAATAGCTCAGTCGGAGAAATTCGAAGGATGGTTGCTTTTATTTGTTAGCATTGGAAGGGCTTCGAACAGCAGTTACTGTACATACTATTCTTTTCCTTGAGCAAGCGGTCATAAGTCTCTAATTCAATACCCCTTATGTTCTGATATGTGTGCCAGAGTCTGGTTACTGATCCCCAAAAAGGTCCATCAAAGTCCTTTAGAGGATGGAAAAATCGATAGTAGATAATTTGGTATATAAATGGGACAAGAAGGGCAATGGCGAGACCGCCAGCCAAGTTTGTTCCGGTCAAGTAGGGACCAAATCTAGAGACCGGCGAATCAATCGCGACCACTTTCGTAGTTCCGTTAAGAGCCTGCATTCTGTTTGCTACCGGAGACAATAACAAAATGAATGAATAGAACAGTTGAGAAAGACACAAATGAATGGAGATATAAATCCGATTCTCAAAGACCTGAATACAGATACATCCTCCTCTAAGACTGGACCTTCATCAAAATGAACTCGGCTCTTTTCCTCACCTTTCTGACTGTGCACTTAACTTCCTCCTCCCTACGCGCCAACCCCATGCTAACCGAACGAAGACCTCCGGCCTCGCTAAGCCCACTAATATCTGACATCTTACCAAAGCACCCATATTTACTCGAGCAATTGTGTAAAAACATCAAAGAAAAATGTAGCAATCTAACCAAAAAGATGTTTGCGGAATTGCATCGTACTGATATTGTGCACTCTGGGTCAACGGCGGGAAATTCTTTGAACCATCGGTGGGGAATGTCGGGTCAAACCTTGCAATCCCGAGACCGCAGCTCCTATCGAAGACAGAGGTAATACTTCGTAAGATGAATCTCCGGAGTGATGATTCATCGGATTCCGTAGCCGAATTACACGGGGATACCGAGATTCAAACGGCAAAAGTTGACGAGGGAGGAGGTTGCAAGGTATCCGAAGTTTACTGAAGCGCAGCGAACTCGGAATTGTCGCATTATCGTGGAGAAGAGCCTTACATTATCTGCACCCCTCTCTCTGATGGAGTATGGGACTCTTGTGGCTTCTTTGGCTGTAAGAGGCCGAGTTTCAAATAAAGTGGAATATAAATCAAGGAAACGTCGCTGGGCTCCATTTAAACCCTTCAAAAGGGCTACCAACTCTAGATGTCCGTTCTCTGCACCTACCACCAAAAATGAAATCCATACTTGACCCGGTTGAATGGTACTCAGATGAGCATCTCGTCAATTCCAGGCTGCAGAAATCATGTACATGTGTCTTGTGAATGGCAGTGATCCTCTCTGAGTGCCACAATATCGCATGCAATGCTAAAATGAAATATCGAGGATGTAACTGATTAGCTCATTCACAGTGGCTAACCTCATCGTAATTGTTCTCATCATTATTCATCTGATATCTCGCGACATTAACGATTTCCTCTGCGGTACGATTTTACGTTGAGCCAGCACTACCGGAAAACGTAATGAAAGCGAAAATTTTGCTAGGAAGTCGCCCGTATCCATCCTATCGATTCATAATCCCCATGTAGTGAGTCTCCAGATCTGACACGCAACAAACGGAACTCCGTGACTGGGAGTAGTTGACCTCGCAGTCCTGAAAATGTAACAGACACCGAGATATTATACGCCGTATCTAGGGAATCTGCCTTGTGCAAATACAACAATCCGGATCATGCTTCACGTCAAACAGTCTGGTTTGCCGATGCATTCCTCAGGTGTCTGGTCGTGTAAGATTCAGTTCGACTCGTGAAATCCTATGTGCTCATCTAGCATCAACTATGGCTCGCCAAAAGTGTAGGTAGTTGGAAATGTCCCGCAGTATTGATTGTCCCGTTTCATAGCAGACTCGTATTTGAAAATTTCTACCGCCAAAATGTCATACTACGTAAAGTTCTTTGCGGGTAGGAATGAGATACTACCCCAAAGCTCTAAGCTCTATGCATGTGATCGCTAAGCTGACCAAATAATGAGCGCCCGGCAAAATTTTGTCCGATACAGGTCGAAAAATGATGCAATATTATAGCAAGCCCAGCCGGAGTTAATCTTACTCCTTTATTTCATTGAAAATGTTTTCCGTAACTGTGCTATCCTTGATAGGCTCGCTTCTCCTCGTAAGGCTATAGACCCTGAAGGTAGCCGCAGCCCAATCTGGAATCCTAAAAGCGAGTAAAAAGTGGATACGCTAAATTCCGCGCCGCAGCTATGGAAGCCAGTAAAAGTCATGCATATTTTGGAATTTAGGAGAATTGAGTAATGGAAAAAGTGGAAACCAATGAGCCGGCCGTTTTAGGTCGTATCGTATCGGAGTGAGAAAGTTTTGATGCTGCATTGCCAAAGTTGGAACATCTTAACATTCGACAAAGGAGATGTCAGAATAATGACCATTCTTAGTAGGAATTGAACGTTACTGTGATGGAATTCACATCATGACTCCTGCTGGCCAAAGGAGTAGAAGACAATGGCAACTCAATAATGGCAAATGAGGAGTATAGCCTCTTGATACTGATGATGAGAAGCTGCTGAGAAGTCCTTAAATATCCCCTTACTTTCCTTCGAGATAATAATATTCAATCATCAAACAATCATCCTTTTAATCATCCTTCTGATCATTGTATCTCATAAACTTATAGAAATTCAACCATCGATATCTATTAATTTTACTTCCAATAATATTTCTGCTTTCCCATCCTATTCACCCTTTCAATCTTGTCAAAATGTTGAACTTCGATTTGATCATAGCGAATACTCAACTATCTGTCTTATACCTGTTCCCCGTTGCCGTTTTTGGCCTCTTCCTCAATCTTTACCGCAAGTCCATACTTGGAAGATCAAACCGAAGCAAAGTTCAAGCGGGGAACGCATATACGGCTTTGAATGAAACCATTATATACAAGCCTCATGCCGCCCAGAACTCTCTTCAAGACTTGATCGAAATTGATGGAGCTGGAACATGGCCTCCTACAACAGTGTATGGCGATGCTTGGCCAGAGGCCCTTCGACCATTCCACGACATTTATCAAGCCATGGCACCTGCTCTTTCAACTGCAGAACTTAGCGGTGACGATGTAAAGAACTTTCAACGATGCTTGGACTTCCGCATGCAGATGAGAACACTCTACAATGATCAAGTCAATATGGACGAGGTAAAGGCTCTGTTAGACGCAGCAGAAAACGATGAGAATTCTCTATCCCGTGCAGCTTGGAATGGTTTTTTCGCTTGTATTGCGTTGTCTAGACACTCTTTCCGGTATGTACCCCTCATTGTTTGTCGTAAACAATGGAATTTTGCTAACATAATGAAGTTGGGGAACAATTCCTATAGTTAAGCTTGCTCAAGAAGAAAAAGTTATCGACTTCCCAGCCTGTCTCGACCTCGCCTGGCCATATCTCAAGAGACGATATGGAGTTACATCTCAAGGAGGCAATGTCGCAAGTAACTATCTCTGTAACTTTGACGATAATGATCAAATTGCCTACCCTATCAATCCCACCATGGACGAGCTCATCCAATCTGCTGAATACCATTTCGGTCATGTGTTCCCTCACATCGAAAGGGAAGCTCTTTCGATCTATCACATGGTAACTAAAGCCATTCAACAATACTCTAACGGCGACCGCTCTGGCACCTTGCAATCGCTCAAAGGAATCAACAAGGAGTTGCGCATACCCTTGAAGACTTACTACGAAACCATGCACGAATCCAAGATCTCACGAAAAGTCTGGATGCACTACGCGCAAGGATTCCAAGGTTGGGCTGCTGGTGATATCGACCCTATCACCGGAGAATATACTGAATATGATGGACTTTCCGGTAATCAATTGCTATTACCGCAAATTATGGATGCTTTCTTGGGACTTGACAGGTATTTGAACGAGGAGAACACACAACGCTACATGCCAAAGTTACAACGCAAATTCCGCGAAACTATCGCTGAACATAGCTTCCGCAATGAGGCCAAGCAAAATGGAGACGATGATATCGAGAACGAAATGAACAACATTGTCAAACAAATGAGAGTTTTCAGAACAGCACACAGAGTCAGAGTCAAGCCGTACTTGAGTGTACCAGCCCCAGAGCGCATGATCATGACAGCTGGAAAGTCTGTGCTAGAAAAGGATGATGTTCATGATTACGAGTCTGCTATCGCACCTCTGGATAAGATGTTGAAGGATAGACTGATGGCGACGAAATAGATTAGAATGTGCTATGATTCTCACGCTCCTGCAAGTATATAAATCCCCAGAGGGAGAAAATTGCTTGAGCTCTGATGATAGCTGATCACCTCAATACATTCATGTGTTTCTAGGGTTGAGGAGTAGTTTGGCGGTTTCATTGGGGTTTTTGCTTTTCTGGATTCATGTTAGGTTAGAAATATAGATAAAATTAATGAGATAATAATTCAAACAGACCTCCAGAAACAGCGCAATGGTGGCTCAATATGGTAATCCTTCAATGATTCTATTCTCCAACTCGACATTGTACCTATCTTCATGTAGAAGATATCTAAAAAGCAAGATGAAATTGACACAAATTATCCCGCCTTCATGTGGGGCAGGCATGTGTGATATGTATTATGTAATCAATATTTTTCCTAAAGTGAACCCTAAATCCTGATACTATAAACATCTAGTTTCCATACGATGATTGATAGGACCTTTTTGAATCTCATCTGCGTTAATCCTGGTGAAGGTGCCAAGGTATGGCCCCGCTTTCCTTCAATTATATACTAGATATTCTGAGATACTGTGCCATTAGCCATCGCTTGACGCCTTATACAGAAGATAAAAATATAGTCAAAATACTTTATAAACGAATTAGCTGGAGGTGATGTTATATATAGACCAGAACTATATCATAACAAGGCATACTAAAATTATAGTATTATAATGTATAGACTCTGTAAGACGGAAATTCGGGTTAAACTATTCATTGCTATATTGAAGTGTTTTCAGGGTACTAACCCGCCAACACCTGCATCCGATTTACAAGTATGAGCGGGGTTGTCTTTTAGAAAATTGCTGATGTGGAATTAATTGTAGGACCGCTCACAAGCAATCTGGATCAACCCTCTGGCCAGATTGTGCGACGCTATGTATACACGGCTATACGAATAAGACAGCTGCATACATTCGTAGGGTCTGTCATCGAATGGGCCAGGTATCGGTGGTCGTTGGGGTGGTGCTATGGATCACTTTCTTCATCCTGATGTCGATAAGTCAATAGCTATCTGTTAAAACACACTCCTCGTTCGATTTTTGGATTCAGTGGTATTTCTCGGTTTGATCAATATCGCCTCATTTGTAAGAAAACCAACTGATGAGGAGCTCGAGGAGCCCAGCCAACAGGACCTAGGAGATGAAAATCTTACATTGTTTGTGGATTTGGCGCTGAGGTTCAGAAAACTGTTTCTTTATCTGACTGTAACTGATGACTGTTGGTGGTTCTCGTACCGGCATACATTGTAGGTGAAGAGATATAGTTTTTGAAAGGAGCGCAGGAGAGTTTATGGAGATGTTACTACTGGAGCCGACATCCTGAGGAGGGAAGGACAATTGAATGGATTATCTAGGGAAAGACATTGAAGGATGGTTGAATGTGTTTTTTAGGGAAAGACATTGAAAGACAATTGAATCCATTTTCTAGGGAAAAAAGTCAAAGATATCAATCCCAAGTTCTACCCATCTCTGCGACGACTCGGAGGATGGTGAAGAGGAAAAGAATAATAAGAATTTGGAGAATGGGAAGAAGGTGAAGAAGGATCCGGAATGGATGAATATGATGGTAGACTCTATTGATCAGGAGGGAGCATAACCTGGTGAAACGAGGGACATTCAAGTGAACTACACTTATCCAGAAAATATGGAAATTTCTCACTTCAAGCTGCTCGTCATTATTAAGTTGGTAATGAGAATCAATCCATAACTTCGAGATCGATTACACTTTATAGCACTATGTGCATTGTAATTGTACGTCGCGCATATACTTATACACGGCAGATATTGATACATCCTGATCATACACGATTCCATATCTATAATATTGGCTTTCTCTCCGTATATTGCTCTTTGGCCATAAAATCTCCGTCCAGAATCTCCGACTCCGTCGCCGCCTGTGCCTCTGCATCCATAATAACCTCCTCGTTCCTCGCCATCGCCGCATCGTATTTCCTCACTTGCTCCATAATCTCTTCCTTTGTAATACCAAACCCATTCTCATCCAAATGAACCTCCTCCATCGACGGCAATCCCAACTTTTTCCTCTCCAGCCTAAATCTCTCCTTCACACTATCCGTCTGCATAATCCTCCATCTCAATTTCCAACCCCCCATTCCCAATTCCTTTAGTCTCTGCGTCTTCTCCCCCAGTAAATATTCATCCAATCCTCCCGCTTTATCAATTGTCCTCAACACTTTGGTAGTAATTCTCAATTTGATATGTTTCCCCAAACTGGCGCTGTAAAGACGCTTTCTCTGAACGTTCGGTCGCCAATGCCTTCTAGTCTTGATTTCATTCTTCTTCGAGACTATGTTTCCATAGCGAATCTTCTGGAGACCGTAAAGACCAAAATTGGATTGTTTGTAGAATTGAGAGGGTCCGTATGGATATGGTGGAACTTCTGCGTGCTCGGCTGCTAGCCTTTGTTTTGTGGACTTTGCGAGAAATCGAGCTGTGGAGGTGAAAGCTCGAGTGAAGGAGAGGGAGGGGTGGATTGCTGTGAGGGGAGGCATGATGGATGAGGGGACGCTCGGCGCCGGGTTTGGGCGTTTATTGCGTCAATATTTAGCCCGTATGAGGTTGATGCTTCAATCTTATCACTGTGGCTAGCAGATCATAAATGTTAGATTCGCGGCGAACTGCTTCCTCTAGGCAAATATCCAAATAGCTTTGTCGTTATCACCATAATTTTTCTGGATAAGAAATGTGCCTGAGGCCATTATAATGGATTTGTGTCCATGGTCATAGCTCTCGCGGATTTTAACGTTCGCAACACAACTCAATTCACCAATTCAACTACCAGATGTTGTTTTGTTTGTTTTATTTGTTTCACACTTGTATGCATGATGCTCTTGTGTCTATCTTGTTGTCTTTGACATTAAATTTTTATATTGTATCCCAAGCGGTGATCAGAAACCAATCTTCGTTTACTCCTTGTTGTTCTACTACACTTTGTACTCAATATCCACTTGCCAAGGTAGCAATCGAAGATTCATATCCTAAGCCGCTATCATATAAGTTTAAAAATCCCTAATTGATAAATATTCATTCACTCCAAAGCCTGTCGCTGTCTCATTTGATACTCATATCCCAGACAAAACCCTCAATGTTGTAATCTCAGCAACAATTTTCCTTTCACTCCTCCCAGGTGATCAGTATCTCAATCTGAAATTTAGCCAATTCGAGAACTTGCTTAGCTATCATTGCCCCAAGATTCTCTGTACGTCGACTTTTTCTCCGTGGATATCGAGCGTCGACAGTACTCTTGGGATATTCCACTCAGGATTCATGCCGCAGCGCTTACATTTCTCCAGACTTTCGCATATCCGCTGAAGATAAAGCTCTTGGAAATCGGCTTGTTTTCTTGCAATATCTATCCGTGATGAACTGGACAAATCTTGATCACAATTCCCATTGTTCCCTCCATATGATGATCCGCATCCAGGTCTCGGCTCAGATCCCGGGTCATAGATCAAGGTTTCAAGGGATGGTAAAATTAGTGCTATAATATGACCCAACGCGTCATCAAATATTCGTGGTGCTTCATCGACTTGATAGAGGGTACGGATGCAGAAATAGCGGACATCTTTCAAGATTCTGGCCTGCGGAGAACGTTTGAACCGGAACAAAGTCATTGGTGTCGCATTGAACCGATCCACCTCCATCAAAACCATATCTATTCGTGGGTCGAATATCACAGTCCCCATCTTGGATAGCGGGCCAGTTTTTTCTTGTGAAATTCGAGATATGTTCTGCGCGAATCGCAGTTCACAAAATACAAAGCATAAGGTTCGAAATTTCTAGGACGTTGATATCCTAGGTGTTCAATTGAAACGATGTGTCCTTTCTGCAGTCCTAGTGCAAAGTACCATATAAGGAGCTGTAACTCTGTCGGGAGCAAGGGGAACTGTGGAAAGCTCGACATGATGCGTATAGTTGAGGGGAAGTTCTGTTTGGGAGGATGTGAGTAGCTCTAGCTCTGGTATAGACATAGAGTTCTTTTAGGCGTTGATTTATTGAAATGCTTTGCAATGCTTAGAAGAGATTATAGATTAGATATAGATCCCAACTGTTGTCCCCTAGAATCCTAGAATGCCAACAACAACCGAGTTGGTGGTCTGTGTGCAACTTGAGAATATAATATCTAGATATTGATTATATCAACCATTATGTTACGAGGTTTGCCGTCTAGATCACGTGGAAGTGCTCTAGGCTCTCGAGGTGGTTTATAACTAGGCGTCAAGCAGGGACTTAAGTAATGATAATGATGCAATTCGTAACTAATAGTAGAGTATACTAAATGATTGATCTTAGGCACGAAGCTCTATACAAAGGAAATCCATCTAGATTATATAGACCTTCGTGCCTATGGCTAGTCAGGACCGCCAGCGCTCCTCAGCGGTCCGTAACGTGACTTAAGGTCACGTTACTCTAAGTTAGTCATGTGACGCGGTGTTTAATGATAGCCGTCAAAACATATAAAAACCTATTAAAACTTATCAAATTTCTCTTTAGAATAAATAATATTAAAATAATATTAACCATCTAAATATATATAAAAATATAATATCAATACACTTTATTACAATGGTTGATTAATCAATTAATCAATTAATCAATCTATTCACCTTTCTCATTCAGAGTTAACTTCTAATTGAACATGTCAAATATACCAAAGCTCTTTAACCCTCTAACCTTTTAATTTAACCTAGAGACCAAATTTTGTAATGCGCTGGTGATTTGAATATTATATCACATTACTACGATACCTATATAATTATACCATGGAAAAAGATAGCAAGCAATGGTGCTACGGGCTTTACAAACTCAAGTGGTTGCAATTTGATAAAACAGAAGCAATCAAAAGCCATACTCGCTTTTCCGTAAAACATTGTCCTCACCCCTTTGCACTTAAAAATCCCAAGCTAGCTCCTATAACCGACTCCAGGCACGCCATTATTTCCACCCGACTTCCTACTGCCTACTGCCCACCCATCATCTTGCTCGTACCCCCAATGATCTACTTTGCACCCTTTCCCTTTCCATTACGACTTCCACTACCACCTCCCTCCTTCTCCTTCTCCTTCTCCTTCTCCTTCTCCTTCTCCTTCTCCTTCTCCTTCTCCTTCTCCTTCTCCTTCTCCTTCTCCTTCACCAACGTAATCAGCAACTCCTTCAACTCCGCGACTTCCTTTCTCAACTCTCTGACCTCCACCGTCGCTTCATCAAACTCAACATTTGGTTTAACGCTCTTTACAGTCTTTTCCCAACCTTCTCCCTCAAAATCTACTTCGCCAGATAATTGTTCCCATTCCTCCACTGTGTCATCATCTTCCTCACCACGTCGCCTATTGCCGTTAACCTTGATTGCGCTTCTCCGTTCGAACCATGCTGCTATTAACAACAATGGTGAATAGATAACTGCCATGACATAATCATTGAGCTTTGCATATTGTTCTCTTGGCATCCACCATTCGCATGGAAGGATAAGAAAAAAGATTTCAATGAGGTTGGTGGGTGCGATAAAGACATTTTCGTCAGGGGCTCGGACGAACTGCATGGTCTTTTGAGAGAAGAGTGCCATGTATTCATCAATGGCATTATCCGTAATATCCTCATAAGCCGAGTTATAAAGCGCAATGAGAATATTGAGAAGAACGACCATGATGAGGAATGTGAAGATATAATAAAGGATAATACCGAAAGGTGGAGCGAAGTTATCAAAGCCGGAGAAGTCTGGAGATTGCATTACAGCATTGGCCATGGCTTGAAGAATGAATGCAGCAGAGTCGACATGAGAATCGGCCATGTCCATACCAATGAATGCTTGTAAGAAACCAACGATGATGAAAAATAGCAGAGCGAAGAAGATGAGAGATTCTTTCATCATAACTTTGATAACGACGAGCATAGCGCCAAAGAAGCGAATGGAGTCAAGATAAAGTAATAATCTCATCCAGAACATTGGAGCGGAGAAAGCTTTGGACGTCAGCACATATTTCAATCATTAACATCAGATTTTAAACATACCCAAGAAATTATAACTAAGCTGATTGTACTTCTGTCTCTCCCCATCCCTGTCTTCTTCTTGTGGATGACCCAGGGCAATAATCCTCATCACCAAACTTGTAGTCAGAAGCGCGTAAAGAATTACATTGAAAACATTCCAGAATCCAATATAATTTCTTCCAACCTTCCAAAACTTGCTGAACTCATCACAGATAAAACCTGCCGTGAAGGTATAAAGAATAATTTCTACAATGTCCAGATCTCCTTTTGGATTGACTGTATTGATGGCACCGGTATAAAGAGCCAGGTACATCAAGGAGAAGATGATTTGAGTCGCATTCTGGTATATTGGTGCGCGCATACGGTCTGGATCAACATGAGTCCAGTAATGTGTATTATCTTTCTGCTTGTAATCGACAAACTGAGAAGGATCATTCTCATCTTGTACGAGCCATCCTCTCCAGAGATAATTGACGCATTTCTGATATCCAGAAGAGCCAGTAACACGTAGAGCATGAAGATCCACCGCTCTTTCGATAACATTCGCAGGTGTAGTCCGTTCACCATCTACCAATATCGAGTATCTCTTCAGTAGCACATTCTGTAAAAGGTATTCCTGATTTTCTTCCGTTTCAATCCTATGCCACCTATCAGTATATTTTATCTCCCCAACCCTCTTCCAACTAAACTCACAATTGTTTCGCAATAACTTCACAAGCCACAGCTCTCACATTATGCAGATCCGCATCCCACAACTCCAACATTGCTTGCTTCTTAAACCACCTCTTGCAAACCAACAGCGCATAAACCACACAGGCACCATACTCCTTCCCACCAGCTTCCTTCGCTGCCGTAATAACCTTTCTAGTGATAATTTTTGAATGCGCGCAGACGACATTTGCTTCTTCAAGTTCACATGGCACAGTCTCTTCGATGAGGTAGCGAAGACGGAGAGCGGTTTTGGTTACTTCGAGAGGTGGGATTGCGCTGGGGATTTCATCTTCATGGTATGAGGGAAGAACTAGAAATTATTAGCTGCGCGACACATGCAGAATAAAATGCAAAGAGGGGAAGAAACTTACGACGACGAGCTTCATCGCGCCAAAGATGCTGATCTGAGCTAATCATAGAATTATCAGTACCCCTCCATATCGCGCTACCAATCAATGAGAGAACTCCAGCAGCATCATAGCTAGCTATCGCACATCAGGGGTAAAACAATACCTTGCATCCAAACCAAACAACCTCCTCCATTGAACCATCTTGACTTCTTAATTCTCAATTGACACCGAGCTAAAGAAAACCGGAATAAAATCTTCGCAAAGAAATTTGTGAAGAGGAAAAATTCATGGGGCTAGACTTGCCGTGTTGTGGTGTTGGAAGATGCTGTGGTCGCGTTCTTAAAGCCCACTTCCAGGTTTCTTTGAGACCTATTCACTTGGCAGATAGCACCTGCTCAGTGAGTGAGCTTACCTTTGGGGTCTAGGCTTTAACGGCGTGGTGCCGGCGATAGAGTTTGTACAACTTCATTCATTGTATCAATCAATATATATAAATATCAAATATCAAATATCAAATATCAATTGACAATTGACAATTTGATTGAGTATCAAACTTATCATGAGATCTTATATATTTTTAAAGATATGACGATATATCTAATGTATTGATGACTAGGCCCTACGGAGTACATATGTAATGTGAGATCATCCGTAATAAGCGTCTACATGCGAAAACCGCACTAATAGCCACAGAAAGTCTCATAGTCTCAGAGTCCCATAGCCACGAGACAACCACGCCTTCAAGGAATGTTATAATAATATATAATGTTGACGCTGCACATATATCAAACAGCAGAGTTCGACCAAATCCCATTCTCCTGAACAATTTTGTAACCATACATCATGGCCACAATGGTATAGTAACCTTATATAACCCCCTATCCATTTCCGTAATATGCCCATTCCTTCAATTAATTAGACGGTGAACCCCAGCGTTTTCTTGGATTACGAACCGGTGCAAATCCAACTCCGTCAAGATGCTTAAAACCAAAAGCGACGCCGCGCGGGTGTATCTTTGATATCCATTCATAGTTGAACAGGACATCTCACCCAGGTATCATATTCATCGTACAAGATCTTCGTATCCTACTTTACTACCCGACTCTTTTCATTCGTTTACCCAGTCCCTCGTCCCGTTCGATGTGACTTCTCTCAGAGTGTCGTGTGTGTCTCGTGTGTATAAAATTGTTGCTTATTGAACATTTCTCGTTGAATTCCTATTGCCCTTCCATCCGAGTATCTGACTTTGTTCCCATTCTCCGGGTGCAGATCGTCTATTATCACTCGTTACTGAAACTTGCGTCTCCTTCAAGATGTGTTTTTGACTATCCCCATCCCCGTCTTTTTCGACATCGGAATCTCCCAATTGGGCGAATGTATCCAAGTTGATATCCGCACGTTTTTGTTGATTTTGTGTCCTGGGAACATTTCCATTTTTACTCGAGCTGGGATTATTGGATTTGCCCGAGGTACTAAGTCCTAGAAAGGGGAGAGAGAGTAAAGGGCGAAGGGCGGGAAGTGAACCGGCAAAAATTCCAATGCCTTCTTCGATGATGGACCAGAGACCTATTTTACCAGTGCCAAACATGAATTCGGTAGGGTCGCTGTAGAGACTCAGAAAGCGAAGTCGAACAATTGTTGCGCAGCTTGCACTAAAAGAGTGTTAGCCACACTGTATAGCTCTAGCTCTTGCTTGATATAATCAAGCAAGTCATATCAATTCAACTTGTGGAATATCAACAAAACAACTTACAGAGCAGCCAATCCAAGAATACAAGCCACAGAGACCTTGACCCTACTCTTCATCTGAATATTCCACAACAGAAAGCCAGGCAAGATGGCCAAAGTCCAATCCGTCAAAATCTCTATAGCAGAGAAGAACAAGCTAACATCACTGTTCAACTGGAGATTGCATGTCCCGTTTGATTCGCCCCATAGGGTATTGATTGGATGACAAATGTTTGCGATACCAACGATGAAAACAATGGCGGAGATGACACTCAAAATCATAATTCCCCAGATACTGTAAACATAGCGACGACGAGTATCGGCAATACGAAGTATAGTGACAGCAATACTACACTTGATGGCGATCGCACCAGAAGCATAGAAGAATTCGGCAATAAAGAAGAGCTTTAAGTAATAATCAGTATGGATGTTCAGAACCTGGGTTCTAATATATAAGAAACTTAATATGTACCTTAGTTCCACGAGCGATGTCATAGGCCGATAACATGATAGATTTTTGTCCGCTTCCATGAAAAGAGCACACAATACATAGACTAGCAGTGACGGTAAAAAGTAGCTACTCATTATTAGCATGTGAATATTCGAAGATGGGAAAACTGGTTGCGACATACTATTCCCACCGTCATTAAGATATCATCCACGCCCCAAATTTTCCTCCATACCCTGACTCCGGCCCGCAGCGCAAAAGTTATCCAACATAGCGCCAGCAGCAATATTGAAGTCCAGAAAAGTGCTACTCCATCCCCTGCTATCTTCGACATGATTGCAGAAAACCTATTTAACGCGGAACCACAGTTGAACGTGGCAGTATGGAGTGGTGATGTAAGAACGAGAGCTTGATGACATACTCGTACGATTAAATAAGTCGAAGATATTAATCGATTAAAAGAATTTCCCAAGAGCCCCCCTCATGCTCTTCCCTGCAGCCCACCGCCGTCCTGTCATAGGTCCACAAATCCCCGAGGATAAATTTCTTTCCCGGCAAGTCGGGACATGTGGAACCTCAAGCCCTTGAACCTTAAAGATTGGTGGGCGGAAAAGAAAAGAGCTGTCATTTTGAGTATCATTTGAACGATGGATGAAAACCAAAAAACAATTCATGATGGACCAGAAAATTCCTAGTCTATAATACATCTACAATATCAAATATAAAATTTACCCGAAAAACTTATTTTGTACCGAAACTTATTTTATACAATTTTAATTAACATATCAGATATATCATATACAATAAACTGAAATATATTTAGAAGAGATATTATTACTTTCTATAATATCAGGTAATTAGTTTATAATAATGAACTGTAATAACTGAACAACTATTAAAAATCCACCTCGTATAAACTTTGAACATGTTCATCAGAGGTTCGAGAAATCTATCCTTGCACCCCGTAGAAGTTGCTTTTCCTATTTTGCACCCTCCTTGTAGAAGGCGTGATAGGATGTCGAGTCCAGCTAATCAGGGTAACCCGGCAGCATATTTCATATATGATATCGCCGTTCACTTTTTCTTCCTTATTCCCCGGAAACTCGTTTTCGTAACTGCAGCAATAGTTTGTGCATATATCATGCATGATGATTAATATTGCACTATTAATTGAAAAGAAAGAGGAATCATGCTGAACTCAAAGAGCTTGTCTGCGTGTCGCCCCCGCTCGGCGCTCGTTTCAGGGGAAACTCTTTTGGAATTAGATATGGGGAGGCCGTTGAATCTTTTGGGTCGAACCTCGATAAGGGACAGCATCCAAATTCAACAATTCAAAAGTGGGATTGCCAGTTCGGATCAGCAAATGCCGTTCCCAAAAGACCAACGGTTGTTAATGGGAAAAAGCGGAGGACGCTACCTAGATATCCTTGCTCCAACGTGTGAGCTGTAATATAAGAATATATTGCTTGGTCCCCTTTGGGTGAATGCCGGGCTCACTCAATGAGCAAGAAAATCAAACAATCTGAAAAAGAATATCCTTCCATGTAAGAAAATATCATATTAAGAAATCAAAGAACAATTCGATTGTTTTCTAGGTAAAGATTTAAGGGGTCGAAAATATGCATTCGGCTAAATTTTTGTCTGTTGTATATCTAAAACGAGATCGAGCATTGTAGTTCCGATTCCCTTCGAAGGTACTAGATCTGCACACAACAGAAATTGGCGTAATTTATTTATTCTATCGTGATCGGCTAGAGAGAGTAAGAGGTTGAAATACAAGTTCTTCCTACGGAAAAAGATCTGAAGTTTAATCTTAAAGAGGTCCACTGAAAAGAGAAATTTGTCCTTAGCGAAGGGCCGGTCCTAGTCCCCCGTCTATGGAGAGCAAGCCCGAGCGAGATACGCTCAAAGTGTCAAACATGAGGCATGACTCCGTACTAAATAATCAGCTCTTCTAGTATTAATAGTTAGTTCCCCGAATGCCCCACCTGACACATGTCACAAAACGACTTTCTGTGTATTGATTAAGCCTCCTATCGCCTCTACAAAAGTCCCGATCCAAAAACGTCCATTTCAAAATTCCCACAATCAACATTTCATTCCACTGTTACGTCAAATTCACCAGCAAACGCCAGATCTTACACACACATCATGTCTGAGATTATCATCAAAGATGAAGATTTGACCAGCCTCAAAGGCAAGGTTGTTATTGTCACAGGTAGGTAAATTTACGCAAGTTGGTTCCACAACCGCAGGGAATATCCGTTACTTTTTAAACCCGAATCCGGACTCACATAATGTTTCATTGTAGGCGGTTCTTCAGGAATTGGTTTAGCAACCGTCAACCTCTTGTTGGAATTAGGTGCATCGGTTGTCAGCGCCGATATCAATTCACCACCAGAGCAGATCTCAAACCCTGCTTTCCTATTCGTTCAAACCAACGTGGCTAAATGGGCTGAGCTTGCTGCTCTTTTCAAGAAAGCCAAGGAACACAATGGTCGTATCGACTATGTCTTTGCTAATGCTGGTATCGGCCCTCGAGGCAATTACTTGGTCCTGCAATCAGATGAAAGCGGAGATCTTCAAGAACCAGTCCATGAAACTGTTGAGGTGAATTTCAAGAGTGTGGTCAATACTGCTTGCCTTGGTATTCATTACCTAAAACAGAACTCCGAGGGTGGTAACATTGTTCTCATGGGATCCAGCACCGGTTTACAGCCATTGAGAGCTCCTGATTACTGTAAGTACAATCAAAATAAAACGTCATCAAAATATATACTAAACATAGACAGCATGCGCCAAGGCCGGTGTTCTAGGTTTCGGAAGATCAATCCAACGTACCATCAAAGCTGCGGGTCTCCCCATTCGCGTCAACACTCTCGCTCCATCCTGGACTTCCACTCAAGTCCTCCCAGATCTGGATGGACTCATGGCAGCCATCTCTCACAAGGCTCAATCTACCTTGGTAGTTGCGCGCTCTGTTGCATACTTGATGGCGACTACCACCAGAGAGGGAGAGATGCTTTACGTATCCGATGGAAAGTATACGGAAATTGAGCAAGCCGTGCTTGCACCTGCTTATGCAGCCATTAAAGGAGATGGACCTAGCGATGACGAAATTTTGGAGCGTATTTTGGCATTGGGTGCATAGAATTGTTATTTAGGAAGTTTGACATGTTCGTGATTGGCATGAAAATTTTAGGGTGTTTAGCATGTTAGTGATGGGATTTGGGTTGGATGAAAGATACCATATTTTATGTATGCATTAGTTATGAAATGTGAGCTGTTCATGACCATTTTGTCTCTCTGATATATTGATATCGCTAATATGTCGAGAAATCGGCATCGGTGGTTCGGTCTGTACCGCTCAAGTTTTCTATCGGTACTCCAGCTGAAATGGCCATACGGGGAATCTGCATTCTGTCTTCCGCACTGTCCATTATAGAAGGATCCACCCACCCATCAGCGTGGCGAGTGAAACATTTCTAACCATTTTCCATCATTGGACTGCCAAATTGGGAAGTGCAGCCGGTCAATTTGGAAATGGATCAATCCAAGGATCTGTGCTTCAAGTGTCTAGACTCAAGACCAAATTTTTTAGCAACGTACCTAGTCGACATCAGGGGCTCAGATGACAGAAGTATTAGTCACTCGATCTTCTCTTCTCCTTCTGATATTGGTCAATTATCATAATGTAGATCTTGCAGGAGATCAAAACAAACTTGAGGAGCTGAGAAGCTGCATAAGGGAAAAGCAAAGGAACGAAGGCGACACGGAAACTTTTTACCCAACTATCATAAATTCTTCTTTCTTTTTTTTAAAAAAATAGATTTCAAAATACTTTCTCCTCCTTTCGAATAATTATGACTAATGCTTATCAAAAAAAGAAAAGAAAAAAGGCTTCCATCAAGCGCAAACTTTCATTCAGCGCAACTCAGTCTTCAGGATCAAGAAGAACAAATGAAGAATTCCCTCCGCGAAATCGATGTACCCGCCAAAAGGAAAGTAGAGGCGAATACATCCAACACGATCCATTTTCAAACAAAACCCGGTTCTTGTTCCCAAAGAAGCAAGATCTACACTCATTCATTTTGATTCTCATTCTATACGGAGTGTTCGGAGAAAGATGTCGGACTTATCAAAGTACATACTTATCCCCATCTTCATTCATATTTGGTATGGACAAGGCACTAGATACTCTCTATATAGCACAGTAGTCTGTTTACAACGTTGGTTGGTATCTATGAGACAAAGTATAATAAGGATTATAATAGGGTGGGCCTCATATACCCAACGGATTTAGCGCATGCCATTGATCAAAGGATTCAGCTCGGAGGTCCGGACAATCAAAAATTGTTAAAATAGTCTATAATGTACAATCAATCTACCTGAGTATTATATCTACCTCACAACCATTTATGCTCTACCCTTCGCCTTTAGTTTCTTCTCTAGCTCCTCGACCTCTCTTTGTGCTTTCTCCTCCTCCGCCTTGATGGCCTCCAACTTAGCATCCTCAATTCTCTTCTGTTCTCTAGCCAATTGATCAGGCCTTCTGATCGCAATGTCTTTAGGTTTGTAATCGCTGAAAAGTGCCTTCAGCACTTTCTCAATCACGAAACAGGCGAGATAATCGACGATCATTGTGGTTGTCATGACTACTTTGAAGTTGTATGTGAAAGGTACAAGTTTCATCTTTTCGTTGACCTCGGGAATAAATTCGGTGGAGCATGAGAATGCAATTGCGGAAACTCCAATGATACCATAATACATTCCCTTGTTTTCAGAAATCGCTTCACGGAATGGACGGCCTTGATAATTGATGGCAAAAGTGGAGATTTGTTGAATCAGTTGTAAGAGATACACGGCGCTGTTCAGGAGAGACGGCGCAAATTCTCCTTCGAGATCAACATCTGGGTCACGTCTGCCATATTATTAGTATGTCTTGTTGAAGGATGTGAACATGATTGAAAGAGATCTTCACTTACGGAGCAATTTTATCGCAGAAACGTGCGATGTATATGAGTGTAACTATGTGGACTGCAAATTGTCCGAGTATAGATCCAATAATGTAAAAGTTGAAGATATTTGGCTGTGGTCGTTCTTTGGAAAGACCTTCTACAGACTTAGCACGAGAAATTGACAAAAAGCAAACACTCATGAGCATTCCACTGATTGTGACTTGGCCGTCACCAAATTTGATACCTTCGAGATAAAGGACGCTAAGACTGTAGGCGCTGATAAGACAATTCAAAGCGAGGATTTTGTACATTTGGATAGTGGCAACAAGTGTACAGCGACCTTGACGGATGATATTGGGAATGGCGATGACATTACTCAATTTACTGGTGAATGGAGCAGCAACGGATGCATCACCAAGTTTGATTGTAGGGGGCTCATCGTCGTCCATCTCAGCGTCCATCAAACTTTGGGTCATTTTATCAGCAAGACTAGCTGCTTTCTTCTGTGCTTCATTCAGCGTAGGTTTGTTTTGCTGGCCATCGATAAGTGCTTGGGCAGCAGGTGAAGTAATCGTTTCCACGTCGTCGGTTTTTTTGGCAGCTGTTTCCATGAGAGCCACTGTAATACCTTTCTTTTCGGCTTCCCGTTGCATAGCTTTCTCGTAGTGTGGATTTTTAGGTCCTGGCGGATACAAATGTGCAATCAAAACAGGTACCGGAGGCGTTGGTTGATTAAATCGTGTCATCATTTGACATTGTTTTTCGTAAAGCTCCTTAACTTTGTTGTTCCTGTAATGTTCGGCGATTTTGTTGAGATCATCCTGTGAGCCATTGAGTAACGCAACACCGATATGGGCTTGTTTTAAAGCTCCAACGTCATTTGTACCATCACCAGCCATAAGAGTGTGATAACCAAGACCCCTCAACCCGGTAAGAATCTCTTCTTTCTGTTTTGGTGAAACACGGGCATATACCCATGCGTAACGGTAGATGGTAGAAAGAGCAGATTGATCTTTGTATTTAGACAGAGCGTAACCGGTGACGCACAAGTCATTTTCCTCGATAATCTTCTTGTCTATGGGTTTGGAAGGATCAACGGGAATGCTGATACTGTCATCGACACTTCTCCATACAAGCTTCTCCCCTGAGTCATCATGTTCTGGAGCATCGAGGATGAGAACGTCCCTATCGACTATCTCAACCTCTCTGGCAACATGGATGGCTGTTAGGGGGTTATCACCAGTAATCATGACAACACGGTGACTGCTTTCATTCAGCATCTGAACAGACTTTTTCGCGTCATCTTTAAGAGGGCAATGTAGGACCAAGAAACCAGCGAAATGTAACTCGCTCTCTACTACTTCGCGCTTCAAATCATTGATCTTACCAGAGCCAAGTTCAGAGTCGGTAGAGAGATACTTGTATGCCAGAGCGAGAACGCGTGATCCTTTCCTAGTGAAGTATTTGTATGTTTCTTCATAGTCGGCCGGAACCTTGACCAACATTTTCATAATGGTTTCCGGTGCTCCTTTGACACCAACAAAGGTAGAACGAATCTTTTTTCCAGTTTGAGGATTGAGCGCGGTTAATGAGGCGACGGAGCTTTGACGTTTAAGAGCAGATGAGAATTGGAATCGACGCTTAATCTGGACTGCAGATGAAGGTGCACCAGTTGAAATCTTGCTAGATAGAATGTCATTTCGTCCAAGCGTCCAACCCAAGGAGGTCAGTGTAGCCTTTTCCATAGGATCTCCAACAATATCACCCTCATCTAACTTGACAAGAGCATGAGCCGTGGCGAGCACGTATGTAGTTTCCAGGGAAACCTTTTGCACAGGGGTGATATAGCTGTGGGCACCATCCTTTTCACGGGGTGTACCGGTTCCAGTATGGCCAAGACCAAGACCGGCAATACCCTCTACGACCAAATCCTCTCCGGTTAAGGTACCGGTCTTATCGAAACACGCCACATCAACCCGTCCAGCAAATGGAATGCGGAACGGTTCGGTACAGTAGATAGCATAACGACTAAGAGCGGCCAAACTAGTGTTGACTGCAAGACTGAGCTCCATGGGCAACTCTGGGGGTACCACACTGGTTACGATCAAGACGCAATCAAGAAGAAGCTTGGATCGTTTTCTGTCCTTTTTAACACCTTCATCCCAAACATACCAAGATGCAGCGATCGCGAAGATTAACAAAAAGAGAATGAAGAACAATGCCTCGGCATTGTTTGCAGATATTCGCTCGGTGGAGTAAATCATAGTTCGAACCAAGCTTCCTTGTGATGTCTCAAATCCAGTCTTTACCACAATGGCCATAGCACCGTTGTCGGGAGGAAGAGGAACGCCTGAAGCGATCTTGGGCCTTTCTTCTTCGGTATTTCCATGCGTAATTTGAAGAACTTTTGTTCCTCCATACAAGAATGCATTCTTGTCAAGTCCTTCCGGTTCTAATACTGCATCCCCAGGTCTGAGCTGAATTGAATCTTTCAATAATGGAGTACTTTCTCCGGACAACATTGCTTCGTTCACAATGGCACTTCCTTCAACCAGAATCATGTCGCAGGCTACACCACTGTCCTCCTTGGTTCGGCCCACTGAAACTAAATCTCCAGGCAGAAGCTTGTCACTTTGTGTTTCCTCCCATTTATTCAATCGGTAAACAAAAAGATCATACGGCTTGATACTCATCCCGCGGAATTCGGTCAAGGTTCTTTGGCGCTGCCAGACCACAGTGCTCTCAAATCCTACCAACATGGCGAGGGTAAACAAGGAATAGTACCAGTAATCATCCAACATCCATAAACCAACACAGAAAATCTGAAAGACGAAGAATGGTGCGACTGCGTGTTCCTTGAACAGCTCCGAAAATGTAGGGACGGGAATATCGAAAGTGTTATCGCCATAATGTTGATGAATTCTGGAAAGCTCAGATGCAGAATCTATACCTCTAGACTTTTGATATGTCTCCAAAAGTGGCTTTGGCTCTGAATCTATCGAGTATGTCAAGGGGGCAAACGAGTTTTTCGAAGCGTCGTAGAGGAATCGACGTTTTTGGAAGAGGAAGGATACATTGCTTTTACCACCAGCCTGGGGCAAGGTTAGCCGACACAATTATGAAGGACGCTTTTGCACCTACATTGTCCCTATCTATCTTGCAAAAATCGGCAGAGCCAGCATTCATAATAGGGTGAACCTTGATCAACTGGGCGTCCGAAACAGTCTTTGCGGAGGTTGAAGTGAAGAGAGCTCTCAAGTTAATGTTCCAATTTGTGCTCAGCCATACTAAACTTTGCGCCGTGATAATTGTCCCACACCAGACAAATGTCCATTCTTGGCCGCCAATATGTTTGTCATAAAGATCTTGCGAGAGGTAATATCGAAAGAAGATGGGCCATATGATAGCGAAGGGCCAAATATAAGTATGCAACCAAAGCGGTACTGAGATAGGTTAGAATCAGGTCGGCATTAAATGGATGCGTGGCTACTAACATGGATTATGCAATGTTGCATATGCAATCATGGAATTATCCACTAGAGGCGCCATTGCGCAGGCTGGTACGTGAAATCGTTACGTTGAAGCTATTCACAAAAATGTTCAAGGCATAGGTGGCACTGATTATCTTTATCACCCAAACTTTAAAAAGTCGGCGGTCGGAGCTCCAAAAACTCGCTTAACAAAATGATGATGTTTATAACCATGTCACGTGCAGAGACCTATTCTGGTGCGTTCCACTGCTTGAATCTGTTTTATATATATATATGAAGTCCACAATGTTTTTAACTACCTATTCTGATATCATCTTGGATTGGCACTGGTTGCCGACAAGTTGTAACCACACATTGGAGGAAACTTGTCTTTCATATCCTCATCATCCTCAATAGCTCTCAATTAGAGTTCTGGAGACAACCAGGCCAGATCCTTGGATTGAGATTTGAATGCCAACCAAAAAGGATTGAAGCTCATGTCATCGAGACGGATCATGTATACCCTCAAGCAGTTTTCCAGTCAACAGCATTCAAGTCTGGACTCACACATTTTGACAAGTGTTCAGTGACAATGCAACGATAATATTTGCCACCATACACCGCAATTGGTGTTCTAAACTTCTGGTGGCTTCTCACAACCCTGAAGTTGTCTGCTTCACTCACCGAATGATTGCTTTCCTACCAATCGTGCTTACTCTCTCCCAAAACCCCCGAGGTAGGCAGAGTACCATGCTGTGAGGACAATTCATTCGGTGCTCCCCGCATCTGATACCCCAATCATGACCTCAGGAAGCCCCCGACGAATGTGCAGAGATGGGAGTGGAAGGTACAAATGGACTTCAGTGAATTGCATCCGAGGCGGCAGGCTATCTGTTTAGCGCTCACCGTATCTAAGATGATATGAAGGATGAATGTAAGATATCAGCCAACACGATATCAGTCCGGGGCAATATACCATACAAGCAAAATGCTAAGCCCGTACAGAGGCTAAACTAGATGAGGGTTACTTTCTGGACCGTCTGACTGGTAAATGGGGGCAAATATCGGAGCTGCCAAGTGGCCAAGCGAAAAACTTAACTGTTCGCTTGCTTGGCACAATTCAACTCTTCCAGACGAACAAATAGAATCTTCAAATTTTTGATAATCATGGAGATAAGAGATTTTACTGCGGCATAAATCGAGAGAGGTATATAATAACTGTTGTGGTACAATATTTTTTTGAGTTCTTGTGTCTCGGAACGAACCGACAAGATTCAACCTCACTACCTTTGAATACCTCCTTATCGCTAAGAGGCTTCCTCATCATGACTGGTTGGGCTACCAAGGTCAACGATGCTGTCGCTGGCAGTATCGTTGGTAGAAGATTTCGCCTTCAGGGCTCCGGCCATGTAAAGGCGAGAGAGGGTGCAAGATTCCTCACGGAAATCCGTGCTGGTCTCGCGACATTCTTCGCCATGGCATATATCATTTCTGTATGTGCCGACCCTCTACATTTGTTTAAGCGGTACAAAAATCTGGAAGGGAGAACGAAAGTTCATCATTCAGAAAAACAGCGCTCAAAATTGTTCATTTTAATTTTGAATGGCACCAAGTCATTGATTGATAGGCTGACATAAATGATTCAGGTCAATTCCACCATTCTCGCAGATAGTGGCGGGACTTGCGTGTGTACTGATGCAAACGATCCTAGTTGTTCTTCAGACGTTGATTATACTCTCTGTCTTGGAGTTATCCGTCGAGATTTCATCACTGGGACTGCTGCTATTTCTGCTCTGACATCTTTCTGCATGGGTTTATTTGCGAACATGCCTATCGCATTGGCTCCAGGAATGGGTCTCAATGCTTACTTTACTTATACGGTTGTCGGATTTCACGGGCTTGGACCTGTTACATATAGACTTGCCCTTACTGCGGTCTTCGTTGAAGGTTTTGTTTTTGTGGCTTTGTCGTTACTTGGATTGAGACAATGGCTAGCCAGAATTATTCCCGCTTCCATCAAACTTGCTTCTGGAGTAGGAATTGGTTTATATTTGAGTAAGTGTAAACCTTCCAAAGCTAAAAATCTGTACTGATTACAAGAAAGCGCTCATCGGTCTTGGCTACAGTGCAGGAATTGGAGTTATCACCGGAGCTACTTCAACTCCACTTGAGCTTGCAGGATGTGTCAGCTCTGAATTCAAGGACGGTGTTTGTCCCACATCGACCAAAATGCGCTCTCCAACCATGTGGATTGGAATTTTCTGCGGCGGTTTTGTGACTGCCATCCTTATGGCATATCGTGTTAAAGGTGCTATCATTGCCGGTATCTTGTTAGTTGCCATCATCTCGTGGCCAAGATCGACTTCGGTCACCTACTTCACCGACGATAGTGTTGGTAATGCCAATTTTGACTTCTTCAAGAAAGTTGTTACTTTCCATGGCATCCAGGAGACACTTGTGGCACAAGATTGGAATGTAGCCGGTGTTACTGGACAATTTGGTCTTGCTTTCATCACTTTCCTCTACGTTGATATCCTGGATTGTACAGGAACATTATACTCCATGGCACGCTTTGCCGGGGCTATCGATGAAGAAACTCAAGATTTCGAAGGTTCAGCTGTGGCTTATCTCGTAGATGGTGAGAGTCACATACCCCTACTCGTTTACTCAAACTAACATTTCGCACAGCTTTCGGTATTTCCATCGGCTCCCTTCTCGGTTTATCACCAGTCACGGCATTCATTGAATCCGGTGCTGGAATCTCTGAAGGTGGTAAAACAGGAATAACCGCTATGGTCACAGGATTATGTTTCTTTATCTCAATATTTTTCGCGCCCATCTTCGCCTCTATCCCACCATGGGCTACAGGATCTACTCTTGTTATCGTTGGTGCCATGATGTGCAAAGCTGCTAAGGATATTAACTGGAAATATTGGGGTGATGCACTACCAGCTTTTATCACCTTGGCTGTTATGCCTTTCACATATTCCATTGCATATGGCCTAATTGCCGGTATCGTTTCATACCTCATCATCAATACCACAACATGGGCAGTGGAGAAGATCTCTGGTGGTCGTATTGTACCATTCGATAAGGAGTTCAAGGAGCCATGGTCATACAAGGTTAAGGGTGGTATTTTGCCAGCTTGGGTTGTAAGAGCTTCACATGGGTAAGTTTTTAGGGTCTCTCCATTATCGATATGAGAGGCAGAAGCTAATGTTTTCCAACAGAAAGAAAGACTTTTGGCACGAAGACCCACCTATCAACACTTCATCCGCAGGTTCCATCTCGGTTACTGATGATGCGGATAAATCACGTGCTGGACCTGAATCCGTGACTCGTCCCATCATTGAAAACAAAGCTGGCGAAAAGTTGGCTTAATATATATTTGTTAATTTATTTCTAAAAAAACATATGGAGGTTTATAATGTAGTGGTGGAAAATACGATTGATTGGCGTAACATTGGGATTTGGGAGATACCTGGCAGGTGAGGTTTGGCTACCAAATTTTAAGTACTTTTCTAAATAATACTATTGTCCGATGATGCAACGAGAGCCTACCATAGCAAGATGAACCTATTGAGAGTTACTAGAAGATTACAGCAACGGATCTTGCCCGCATAAACCCCACGTTCTACCTTCCACCTCTTTCCGATTCTTCCGTCTTGTCAATAATAGGTGAAGATTATGATTACATTATCGCAGCTAATCTATCAGTAAAATCCCATCAAACGACTTTCTATAAAATCATAATCTTCTCCCTGCTCTTGTAAAATCTTCACTGTTCAACTAGTAAGCTGTCACATCACAGTGTGTGTTTGGTATCTCGGACTCAGAACAGAAAAGTGATGACAAAGAGGCCCGTCAATAGTGATGAGTATTTGTATACAGACCAAAAATCTAGGCACTTGAAAAATAATCTGGGCTTTAATATCTATTCGCCGGTACTTCGGCAAAGCTCAAGAATCTCATGTGGGATGGAAGACTTGAAGTTTGGTACGACTCATTGGCAATTGGATTCATGACTTGTGCTGAGAAAATACATGATGGTAAGAACTGTAGAATATTGATGATTAAATTTATTGGCCTTCAAATTAATAGGGGCAGTAAGTATTCCTGCCCGAAACCCTAATGTATATTCAAATTATAATTACACCACAATAGTATTTCGTAAGCTTCCTAGCAAAGCCGAAACAATAGAAAAGAAGTAAGAGCTACCATAAAGGAGCCCAGAAGGCCTAATTAATAAAGCTTGCTAAATTCAAGCGACCTCAAGAAATCCAAGGAAAATATATTAAAATTGATGTTAAAAGAATACTTCTCTTCCCCGTATCCATCATGTCTGATTTTAGATACTCATCTACTTTGCAGATTTCAAACTACCAAAAGAACCAAGTACCCAAAACCCCGGCGCCAAAACTACTCTTCGTAATTTCTCATTCCTACCCACGGGATGAGATGGCTGGGAATTATTAAAACAAGGCTCAGGAGGTGTTTCTGAGATGTCTAGACCGGGGTAGAGTTTCACGGTCTTCTGATCATGTTCTTTTGACCGAACACTTTTTTCCTCCTCCGAGCTATTTACTTTTTCTTCGGCCAATTCTTTGATCTTTCTGGTTCTTCCTATGTTTCTGCAGCGAGACAAGAATACTAATGAGCAGCCGATTTTCTTGAATTTTCCTTTGTACATGCGGATGAATTTTGAGATATCTGTTGTGCAAGCAATGCAGATGCCGAGGAATATTTCAATGAGACTGTAGTGTCAGAGACGGTTAGCAATGGAGGAAGGAAAGGTTTTGAAGTTCACCCACCTTACGAGTGCGACACCTGCAAGATTCCATGATACGTCGTCATTGTCGTGAAGTCTTAAGCGATAGACAACACTTAGGATTGATCCAATTATAGCACTGATCCTGCGTCAGTATATCTCCTCTCCCTCCAAGTAGAATAGGACATACATGAAACCCGTAGCGAAAATTAATGCAACACCAGTCTTTTTCTTTGGCGTTAGATGTAATTTACTGACAGCAATTAAAGGTATTAAGATTGAATATACATCAATGATCAAGCCTACCACACCCCGAGGAAGACTTAAAGATTGCATGCGGAAAGAAGAATTCGAAAATATTTGATGTCTCCATGGTGTTCCGTTGTGTGGAATACCCCAGGCCAACGCAAGAATAAGATGGATAGTATAAAAAGCCGAAGATATTATAGCACCAATGGCGCAAGTTATTTTGACCCAAAGTTCAGTGAAGAAAATCTCTACGTAAGTGATAAAGAGATTGAGCTTGACGAAGCCTATAGCGGTAGGACTCATTATATATGTTAAGCATAATGGCTATCTTTGAGTAAGTACTGTCTTATGAAAGTGTGACATAAGTGGATGTATTTGAATGGAAGGAAGATACAAAGACATCCGATTATGCTGCGGTTAGTGAATGTTTCGGATAGTGGAACATAATATTGATGATAACCAGTTGTCCCTCCGGGGGTAACAGCTATGCCAAGATTAATGCATTACCGCAATCTAGTTGGAAAGACTTACTCAGTATCGTAAGGAAATATGCCGTAATAGCGAGGAGCTATATTGGCAGCATCTCAAGAACTCCATTGGAGAAACACTGCGCACAAAGCTAATAGTGATGGTTACTTGTTGGGTTTCTTGAGACCAGATAGAGCATCAGATTGAATTGATTGATTCTCTAGCTAAGCAGTTAAGCTGCGAGTATATATTCAAAAAATGAAGGAAATAAGGTTAGGTATTCAGCCTTCGGAATTAAAGTGCTTTGAAATCAAAATATTGAAAGCAAACAAACAGTATACCAAAAAGGAAAGAATGAATTAAAAGTTGAGTTTTGTTTGCTCCTTATATGCATCATGCAATATATATGCATATGCTGCCAAGATCCCAGGAGGTCAACATTACTGAACTCTAACTAGCCTTCCGCTCGCAAAACTACAACAAGGGGAGTATATCTCACAATCACTCCAAAACAATCTACTTGGACGAACAATCATAAATTTTGTCCATACTCGAATGCATATGCATATAAGTGCCAGAGCCAACAAAAAGGTAGAAACTATTACAACGCTTCCTCTTCTGGATGCTCGATGGTGAAGGTTCGATACAGCTCCTGGTGGAGGGGTCAAGCTTGGAATATTTTCAAGCACGGATTTTGGCTGGACTGACAAATAGATAGCTAAAGATTGTGCACCCGCTGTACCTATTTCTCTTAATGCCTCTGCGATTGGGGCCATATTTGTTGGCTGTATAGAGAAGAGGTAGTACGAAGGTATCACAATAAGATGAAATGAAGGATCTTTGGCAAAAGAATGTCGAAAAATGTTCAATGAGGGAATTGAAAACTTTCAAAAAAAAAATTCGTACATTTGAGTAGGAGGTAAAATATATATGCAGGATAATTCCTATCAATCGCATTCTGGGAATAAAGAATCGCGGAACTTCAACGCGAACTAATACTAGATAAGTGACGACATCGACGATAGTAATCAACGTCTGAAAGAGAAAGCTTCAGCTGCATCTGTTAGAGAGCTGTCAGATGTTTTTTTTACTTTGAAGCAAGTGGTTTCCACAGGCGAGGAACTGAAAGATTGATAGCTACTCCTGATGTCATTAGTGATGATACAATGGCATTGTAGGATTATTCCGAGTCTCTTTCCTCGGGCAGAAACTAATCATACGAGACTCTAGGCTTGTTCCGAGTCTCACCTCTTCCGCTCTTTCATTAATCCAGCCGATTGGTGCATTCACTAAAATCAAGTACATACTAAAATTCTTATTAAACGCTAACCCACGGCAAATACCTACTCACGAGGCAAATACCGGCAAGATTAGATCTCAGTATCTTAGACATAATACAGTTTATTTCCCTAGGTATATCAAGTTTCTTTTTGAGGGCTTTCCAAATTTACGGAAGAAACCGCCTTCCATCACGGTAGGTACAGCAAGATCTCAGGTGAAATCAAAGATTGACCATTAACAGGAAGTAGCGGATCTAGTTATAGGCATCGAAGAAAATCTTTTAGTCATAGATATCGAGTATTACAAAGTTCCGCGCAGCTGTAACACCAGGGCAGCAGAGCAAAGAAAAAGATGGGACATATCAGTTTCTGCGGTTCACAGTTTCACATACAAAGAAAAAACAATTTTTTGGTGGATTTAAACCTCTTTTATTTCCCTTCACTTGAAAGGGCAGTTGATTCATTCATTCATTCAATTCAAACAAAAGAAAAACAAAAGAACTATCTCTTATTCATTTATTCATTGTTTCTCGACGAACAAAAGAAAACAAAAGAAATATCTCATTCAAATTTTTCTTGACAAAAAAGCAATAATGAAAGGACTCTGTCGCGAATTGTACCACATCTAGCGTGAAGCAACTCTCCTCTTCAATCTATCCGTGTACCACAACATTCTCCTCATCCAGCTCCAAGCCATCTTTCGTGGTAAGAAACTCGTAAATCTTCTGCCTGTAGTCTCCCTGGATCTGTATAACCTCACCGAAGACCTTGTCTTCCACAATAGAGCAGGCACACGCGAACTTCTTCTTGAAAGCCTTGACAACTTTCTTCATGTTGAATCTATCAGGAAGTCCCTGGACGGTGGTGAGCATATGTGGTTTCTTCTTGCCTTCCATGTTTCGCTTAGGGCGTCCGCCGGTTTGCTGACATCGGAGATGGACTTGCTCGGTTGGTTTGAGATCGTTGATATGATCGAGGATTTCGGACATCCAGAAGCTCCCGTTGGGGTTCCCGGTGCCAGTGCCACTCTTGATTACAGTGCCACTCTTGATCTCAGGACTCCTCTCGATCTCAGAACCACTTTCGATTTCTGAACTACTTTCGATTTCAGAACCACTCTTGATTTCAGAACCACTCTTGATTTCAGACATCTTTGAGGTTGTAGTAGCAGTAGCTTGCTTTGAATTGGTGTTGGTAGCTATTGTGAGTGAGTGTGTTTGCTGTGTTGTGTTAGATGAGTATATGATTGTGTGAATGGTGAGGATATTACTTAGGTGTCACAGAGCGGCTTTTATAGAACATCACGAGGAATTGTTCAGGAAGAGATCGGAATACAATGCTATTGTTTAGATAATGTTCCAAGGCTGTTCTTGTTTTGTTTTGTGTTGGTGTTTTCTTGTCTTGAGTATGCTGACTATGCCATGCACTTACTTGGAGCCAAAGCTAGCCTATTATTGACATGGCACATTGGATTTTAGGCAAGATCTTTACTCGTTAACATCCGATGTATATTGATTTTTGAAGTCTTAACTCCGCCTTTCCCCGGACAATGCAATATATCATTCTGTTTACTTATAACTCAATTTCCAGGCGCTAATCAGATCATGTATTGTAGTTGAGTCCACTGAATCACTAGACTGGTCGAACGAATCCCCAATGATTAGCAAGTTTATCCAATAACCAAACTCCTTGCTTTTACACTTTCCCCTGGCTTTTCTAAACGTTGTCTCCTTAAGCGACTCAGTCTATTACACAAACCAATGTACAGATCTCCATCTACCCAATCCCAGATCTAGCTACCCTGGAGCTCTTAGATTTCTCCAACAAAAGACGTGTGTAATCTACTAGCACTAAGATAAATTAAAGCAACGAAAAAGATACTGTGTCCTAAAGATTTTAACCTAACAATTTAGATCTGGTATCAGCGGTTCACGATATTGAACAATCTTCTGTACGTTTGGATATCATCCCATCAAAGCTGCACTAGCAGACAATAAGACCTATTTACTGTCCGAAATGCCATAAAAACCTTATTATCCATTCTGTTGAAACTGAGTTGTTTGGAAGTAGTAGTATTATTAGATGTAGGTTAAAACTAAGGATCTAAGTTACAGTAATGGTAGAATTGAAGATATTCCCAATTATGGTCCGTGCACCATAATGGTCATATGACCTCAATTCTAGGCCCATAATGACCTTAATTTCAACACATTCTATATTCTATAGCACCAATGGGACCAAAACATAAGCACAAGCTACAAAAGAAAAGAGGTTATATTCCAGGAGAGTTTCTCATCTCATCACCTCACGGCACTGAACAACCCGTAATCAAAATACAGTATAAAACTCTAAATGAATTCATCAATGGAACCGGCCCCGACACAGCCCAAGCCCTGCCAACGCCCTGGATAAATTAAGTATGGAAAGCGGTCGTGCCTTCATTGGTAGGTTACTACCATCCATCCCCCCATCCCCCCATCCATTCCTATCAATAGCACGCCAGCCAGTCATTAATTCGTATGCACACCAATTCCTTCCCCTATCTTCCTCCCCGTGAAGTATTCTACCCACAATAACCTATCACTATCACCAAGAAAATGAATATACAAGCACCAAACCAAACTAGCTTTGAGAGCACCTCTCACAACCTTCCTGTTGGCCCATCAATGACATTATCCTAACGGCTGTACCCTCCTCCCATTTTATCAATACTACTCAATAAATTGCTCCTGCCACTGAGCCCACTGCCCGGTCTACTTCCCTGACTTGCCACACTTCCGTTACTCCCCTTCCTCTCCCTCCCCGCTCCACCAATTCCTAGGCCCGTCCCAATTCCGCTCATACCACCCCGTCCAATCCTACTTCCTCCAGCCGCACTCGGTGCTCTCAAGCCACTCGGTCTGCTAACGCTAGTCGCCCGTCCTAGCGTAGGACTCTTCATCTGACTCTCGAAAACATGTTGTTTCTTCTGCGAGACGGGTGTTTCTGGTATTGGCGAAGATCGAGTTGGAGCAGGTTTCTTTTCCTCTTCGAGATTCTTTGCAACCATTTCGTCGAACATTGCGATCATGGGGATCATTTCGTCAACGGCTTGAACCAGTTTAGTCTTTTCGACTCTTTCCTCATGTAGCATATGTCGAAGGTCCTCATTATCTTGTCTAACACTTTTGATTTCCATTCCCAAGCCCTCAAGTTCTGCTTCCAACTCCTTGGTTCTAGCATCACGCGCCGCTTGTTTTTCAACATCTTCCGCTGAAAATTCCACTTTCGTTGTCGCGTTATCGTGACCCAACCTCAAGTCTTCGTTTTCTTTGGTAAGTTCTTCGACGGTGGCTTCCAACTCCTTGACCCTCTTATCCCAGCGACGTTCATAACTTTTCTTGAGAGCTTGGACTTTAGTTTCGTGTTTTTCTTTATAAAGAGCATGCAACTCTCTAGATACCTTCTCGACCGCCATCTCAACAGTTCGACCTCCACAGTGGCATTCAGTTGGCGATTTCAAGGATGTCTCGGCGGGAGGTGAAATAGCTCCAGGTGTGGTTTTCCCAGCACGCATAGCTGCCAAGTTCCTCTGCGCTTCTTGAGCCATAATTTCAGCCATTTCTCTCCTCCTCTCACTTTCCTCCAATCGACCATCCAACTCCTCACGTTCTTGCTCTGTTTGAACCATTTCTTCTCTCACGTTTCTTAAAACAGCCTCCATTTCTCGACCTCTCTTTTCCCACTCCTCTTTTTCCGCCGCCAATTGGTCTTGTAGATTTCGTTCTTCTCGTAATTGTTCCAGGCTTTCACCAACTCTCTTCTCCGCGTCTCCAACGGCCATTTTCATGAACTGTAATTCAGCTTCCTTTCCGCTTAATGTAGCTTTCAAACTACTAATCTCCGAGAGGAAATCCGATTTCAATCTCTCAATTTCCCTAGGTGTAACAGTGGGTAAACTTCTAGGTGTAGGTGCAGGAGGAATGTCAAAATCTAAAATGTTGCTCATCATTCGATTCGATTTTGGTGTTGCGGCAGTATTTTGCGCATACCAATGTTGATCGGGCGCAGAACTTTTTGAAGGTGACATTCTATGTCTTGAAGGTGATGGACCGCGGCCATTAAACCCGTTCATTTGTGCGGTAAAGTCAAGTAGGTTGGTAGTATTTCCATCATCCTTACTTTTAACATTCCTATGTCCGTATGGTGTTGGTGAAAAATCTTCGGATGTATTCAACTGTCTGCGTGCTGTAGCAGGTGTACTGAATCGATGACTTTGTCTCGGTGTTGGCTCACCCACATTTGAGAATTGCGATGGACTGTGCCCAATTTTGGAGAACATGGTCATATCTGGTACAGCGGAAAAGTCGCTGAATGTGCTGACTATTGTATCATCCATCATGTTATGTGATTCATCTGCTGAAGCGCCAACGCTACCCGTCCCTATATAAGCAAAAGTTTCGTTTGACGTCTGTCCTTCCTCGTTATCATTATCATCATCATCGTCTTCCAATATCTCAATCGCTTTCGTAAGCCCTTCATTATCTCTTAGTACTGGATCATCGAGATCCATTTCCTGCTCAACGACGACTGGCGGTTCGGGCGATTTTAAAGGCGAAGGTGTAGCAGTAGGCTTTACAGGGAATCTCATAGGTGTTGACATCTTTCTCGGACTGCGCGTACCATCCGTTGATTTGGTAGGTGAAGTTTGGCTTTTCAATAGTTTCAGGGGTGACATATGTTCCCCATCAATCGAGTTCCTCGACGCCAGCACTTGCCTCCTAACGGGAGATATATTCTCCTTACTCGCATCCGTCGCATCATTTGTCGCATCTATTGTCGCATCGACGAGGGGCGAACTTGGTGGACTGCCCACGCTCCCGCTCATAGGTGTGTTTTCGGTATAGCTGGTATCTTCCGACATGTTGTTTGTATTGCTGATAACTGATGGACTTCCAGAATGGATATTTCCGCTGGTTAAATCCAATAGGGGCTCCGCCATCTACTGAACCTCTTTGTTTGTGACTGGAATTGTGAATTTGTATCCCTTTGAGTAAGTGATCATGCAATGTTTGAGATATTGTGTGGTGGTGGATAAACATTTTCGTAAGATCTGTTGTGAATGGTGGTTTTTTCTGTTTACGGGGCAACGTGCATCGCCAAAACTATTTCGCCGGTTCCGATGATTGAATCCATTTCTACGGATACGAGTGTTGTTGAAATGGACATTTAAAAGATTTGATTATCAATAACTTCAATCGCTGTGACGCGAGAGAAGTGATTGATTCAGGTAGGGAGTGTACTGTGGATACTATCAGAATTATAATTTGCAGTCACAATCAAATGATACTGGATCATGCATGCGTTCAAGGAACCATTGCCATCGCCTCGATTCCCGACACTCAGGTGTTTCTGGAGTATTGAGAGATATCTTCGGACTCAAAAGAGATAGATGATCTATAGAGCATTGAATATATAGACTCGACTCAAAGCATCCAATGTCATTATCGAGAATGATGCCTCGTCGTTCTTTCAAAGATTATCACACATGCATGGCAATGTATGCAGTTGATTATTCTTCATTGCTTTGATATCAAATTATGTCATGGTACAGCTTTATCCAAATCCCACCAAACGCCCCTGGACCTCCCAATGAATATACCCTATTTCTTTCGCAGATGCTATGCAGCCACCCAGAATGCACATCAATTCTTAACACAACGCCGTAGAAGCAAGCAGTCAGCCGAATATAGCACCCATGACATATAAATACATACCCTTCACATGCATTGACCTCGATGACATACTTCTCGAAACTCGAGCTTTAGACTTTGAGTGAAACAAAAGTTTGGGATGAACGAATTGCATGCCTTCCTCTGAATCGGTGTCCTTCGGGCCATTTGTTAATCCACGTTGGCCGTTTTCTTGAACATGCCATAAACGCTCTGCTGGCTTTTGGGAGCCACCTTGAGGTTCGAGAATCGCGTCTCGGGCAGTCTTTTTCCAGCTTTAATACTTTCTAGTACCCTGCATGGCCAAATGATTAGATGAATTCGCGAACAGGGGATGCCGGCAGTTCCGTACCATTCTACACCGACATATTTAACTCCACAATCACCCATCATTCGTATCTCCTTCTCTAACTTCCCGCCAGCCAAACCACCTCCAGCTCCACTTCCTACATGTGAAGGTTTGCCCAAGATAACGTGTGTGACCTGGCGTCTGCCCAGATGCATAGACATTCGTGCTCCATTCTCTGCCAGCAAGTGCTTGAGCTTGTGGTCCGAGACCATTGGATATGTACTCCCGTTTATGTATATGACCAGCTCATCAAAGATGCCTCTAGACTTTCGGGCTAGATCCTCCTCTTCCACTTTCGTTTCATCTTCGAGTCTCCGCATCTCCATCAATCGCTCTTCGGCGCTCATTGGCACTAAACGGGAGGGACAAGCATCAGTAAAGTATATTTGGCAACAACAGACAGGGAATCTAGAAGGGACAACGAAACATACAGCCTGGTTTCCCCACCAACATCTCACTGACACTTTGTCTTGCTCTTGTCTTGACCCCTTTTGGAATCAGGGCTTTCGCTTTCTCATCCCAGTCTTCAGATCCTGCACCAAATTTATCGGAAATCCTTTTGCCACCTGTATTTCCAGACTTGAACTGATGGCCTAACTTCATTGCGCGAGATTCTCTCCATCCTGTCGAGCCACCCAACTTATCCTCTGCTCGTTGATGGCCTGTAGCTGATGAATTCCAAGCATCGAAATGGGCGCCAAATACGGGTTTTGCTGCCGGAAGTATTTGTGGTTTTGGGTGTGCCATGCTTGATTTCTCGTAAAGGATTGTAGATCCGTTTAGGCTTGCCTGTCTGTACTCTTTCTGTAAAGTTTGCGAGGATGATCCGAGGATCAAAAGAATCTATCCGGACAAAGAAATGGCAATAGTGTACTCATCGCCGTATTGAATTTCTGAGCTCCTACGGTTAATCGATGTTAGTTCATGATTCGTATATTTATGCCGTACAATTGTATGCAATCCATATATATTCATCGTCGTTATTTATTATTGTTATTGTTATCATTCTTTTGACCTGCGAGGGGTAAAGGAAAACGTAAGCAAGCGAATGGTTGGTACAGTTACAGAAGGCGCGCCCGAAACACCAAGTCACGTGAAACTAGCTCAATGATATTCGATGGCTGTTGACAAGCCATTAAATCTTAATTCTTCATTCCTAAAAAGTTGTAGGAATAAATCATGTCGATACTGAATCCTGCCCTCATCCAACAGCCATCTTCCTACAAACAGTTCGTCATTTCAAAAGAGCCATGTATCACCAAAGTTCACACAAGAAACTCTTATCTCTCCGACATATGCATCTCCATTCGAGAACCACAGTAACTTCGAAGTTTCGAACGGGTACGGGATGATTGATGGGTGATCACATCATTCATGTTTTGGAAAATTCAGAGGAAAATGAATAAAAATAATTAAATGATGTGTTGTGGTGTTCACCAAAATTCAAAGGTTGGGTTGAGCAAGAATCAGTCATACATACCCTGCCTGGGAAGAAACATCCCCGACCATGCATTTCAATCCGATGATTCCTTTCAAGTTTCAATATCATCCGATGCCCTTCTCCAATTCTCCCCTTCCCATCCTGAAATCTTTTGGTTGAGCAAGCAAAGTTAAGAGAATCTGCCGGACACTTCTCTGAATGAGTTTCCAACATGTCAAGGCTACTGAATCAAGTTCAATTTAAAATCTTCTTCATTTGTTGATCTTTGTTTTGCCACTCCTTTCCCCTCTTCCAAGTCTTTTCATTAACTCATCTCTTAGTTACATGAAGAAGGGAGGGGGAAAAGCTAATGAGAGGCATAGCATAGGATATGCAAGCAGCAAGTACCCGTTCGCCTCGCCTCGCCTCGCCTCGCAGAACCAGCCGGCTTGATGCACGATCGTTACAGTACAGTACCTACTGTACTCTCCATGTAATATGAACCTGCAACTATGTCGTGCGTCTTTTATTCACCTCATTCTTTGCGTAACTATCCTCAGATGAATGGCTGGTGCGTCTTGGAGAAAAAGGCCAGAATACGAAAAGTATCCAATCGTGCATCTTCCAGTTCTGCAAGTTCCTATTTCCATTAAACGCAATCAAGTGAGTGGCGTGCGTAGTTGCTACCTCACATGCCTTTCCTATCCTGCGTGCCGCGTCTGCTCATTACTTACATACATCCTTTGTGCTTCCATCTTGAATTTAACAGCCGTTTTCCGGTCATTAGCAAACATCATCTTACCTAGTACCTACCTCTATCGACGACACCCTGTTAACTCCTCTACCGGTTCATAGTGTAATCATATTCTGGATGAGCCGCTATTGGGGTTGTACCGGCCACCAAGTTCATTTAAAAAATCATGCGCGAGCAATATACATCAATCCTAGATTTGCATCTTTTGGGACACGAGGGTAGTACCAAATTGGGGGTTGAGTCCGAGAGGTCGAAGTTTGAAAATCTTTCCAACCATGTGAGGGTCACGAGAACACTTAGGGATTGACATGGCGAGTCTGGACTGATGTATGTATGCTGCGGGTGGTTTGAAGTTTTAGGGACATGACATGGGAACGGATACTCCCGTTTTCGCGGGCATATTGTAATATCCATAGTAAGATGCAAGTACCAATCCATCCAACGTCCTTCCCATGTGAAGTTCTTGGTACTTACATACGGGGTACCTAGGAAATGTTTTTGTTGGGGTTATACCAGGGAGGGTAAGCACACACTGGTTTTTGGGGAATTACGAAATATTGATACCTCATTGAGGTTATATCTGATTTTAATTGTTTTGTTTGACTGTGTGTCAGCAGCGTTGAGGTTTGTGTTTCTTTATTTGCAACTGATTCTCGGGTTTCAAATGTATTTTCTTAACTTCCTCTCTTGGTTTTAGCTCTTGGTCATGGCCCCATGGATTCAATTCATGGGTATCGGAGAAGCTGACAGGATAATTAAGCGTGGTGCTTCGATATCCTTTCCAGTTACCGTAAGATGTTGTGTTGTTATTGTTGTCGTACTAAAGTAGTGAGATGAGAAATTAGTTCTTCCAAGTCACCATATCATTGTCGGGATAAAAAAGAGCTCATTAGTTTACTCCAAATTCATAATCATCAATTGGATCCCCAGGTATCCATCAGTCATTGATAACGATAGTATATTTGGAAAAGTCGCCTTTCCAAGGTTCGTTGTCGCTAGAGCCAGAACCCCTCATTCGCCTCTCGATTGTCAACCATAAAATGGCGGTGTAGAAGACGCTAAGAGACGCCATCCACCTCATTCTGATCGTCCAAACCCATAGCTTGAACAGAAGAAAAGGAATAAAAAAATAAACGGCCTTTTTCTCCGTCCCCGGCCAACGTTAGTATTTTAAGATTTATTAATTCTCTTCATACAGTCTCTACTAGACTCAAATCATTTATTTTTAGTTGTTAGTTGCTGTAGCATAGCCTATTCGGATGTTTAGATAATGAATGAGTGTAGAATTTTGTTATAGTTGTCAATATATGAAGTCATCTCAAAAACATATCCTTTAAATATCACTAAATACATTGTACCTTGATGTAGAAAGTCCCTTTTCTCCCCGGTAGTAATTCTGGCGTCTAGAGTTCATGCTTTATCCTATAATTCTCATTCTCGCCAAGAAATTATACGCAGCAGCGTAGTTCGTGGCCCCACCAGCACTGTAGTCCGTTCAGCAAACTTGAACCCCGCCACTAGTCCAGCACCATCCGCATCATCTCGCATGTATTTCTTTTCCTTCATCGTAAGCCTCCACAGCTTTCCTGCAAATCTTAGCTCAAATCATCCTTCATTTGAATTAGCTACTGGAAGCTTTTCCTCCATAAAAATAAAAACATAGCAAAAACGGAGAATTACAACTTTTCCACCGTTCTCCTACACAGCATCTCCCGATACATCCATAAAAGCCACCATCGAAATCCACTCAGTCACCACAACCTCTACAATCCAATAACCACCCTCCATAAGGCTAGCCCAAACTCACCTTCTGCACACGCGGAAAACGGTCCGTCTTACACCAAGCTCCTGAATCCCTGCGCAAGACTTTCGCATCCCTGCTCTTGGCACACGCCTCTCCAATCAACTCCGCACAACTGTATGTAACGACAAACGCACAACATCTCGAACCGCAAGCAAAGCAAGCCATGGTGCCATGGTTACGAAAAAGGCGAAGCGAGAATTTCCTAAAACGTGTCACCGAGTAGGAATGATGCTTTTTTAGTCTTAGTGCAATATTTGTCATGTTGTGTCTGCTGTGAATGATAACATTTTTGCTCTATTTTCTAGTTTTTTTTTCTTTCGGTTTTTTTTTGGGGACCGGGGAAAAGATGACTAGGGGAAAGCGAGGTCATGAATTGACGTGGTTGATGTTGATTGGGGTAACGTTGTTCAAAAGCTTCCTCGATCGCTTTTGGGAAATGTCCTTACCTGTCTATGATGAAGAGCCTGGATGCCATAATTATATATGATCGACATTCTTTTTTGAGGGGTTTTTTTGTACTTGAATACAGCAGGGCAAGACAAGGTAAGGTGAGCCGTGAGCTCGTTGATAGGATGGGATGAGGCTTGGAGTGAAATGTTGCGATGAAAAGAATAGAAAGGTACATTTTGAATACAGAGTTCTATTCAGATGATTTCTAAATTGATAGTTCAAAATTACAGTGTATAAACTTCTGCACAGAATAATAAGTATATCATACACATAAGCAGAAGCTTAAACTCAATTCAACATATTCTCATATTCTCCCTCACCTCACCCAAAACATCCCAGCCCAGCCATCTATCGTCCCCTTCAAGAAGCCAGCCCTTCCCTTCCCTAACAAACTCCACTCCGTACATGCTGCTCGCAGCCGCTGCGCATGCATATTGCATACATACCTACTGCAAGTGTTTCTTCCACATCCGTATTCCCTTTTTATTTCCTGTCATTCGATCTATTCACTCAAATCACACCCATTGTATCGTATCAAGTCATCAAATGAATTAGATTGAATTGAAGTCGAACCACAAAGTACACTCCCAGTTTTATTTCAAAAGGCTGTACTCCGTACACTCACCATCAAAATACGTACCTACCTACCGTCCCGACATCAGTCAGACCCTGCAGATGCGGGCGTTTTTAGTCTTTGCGTACAGAGTCCTAAGAATCCAAACTAAGTCCTCATTTTTGCAACTCCTGATCCCCATATCATCATCCTTATTCATCACCAAGCTCTAGTTCTAGTTCTAGCTCTAGCTTTAGCACATCTAGAAGCAACCCCTCTCTTCCCAAGATGAATCATCCAAAATACGTGGGTCACGTCCTACCAATGAATTAATCAAGGAACCAGGGTTTGGGAGGTGCGATACAGTGGATTTACCAAGAGTAGTTGGAGCGGTGAGTATTGAGGAGGAGAGAAGTTGTTAAAATCACTTGTAACTTGTAAGACAACGTGACTCGTGGGGTTGTAGGTGCGAGTGTGCGAAGTGAGTATGAGAGTTTGCTATACGGAATATCCGGAGTATGCGATGCTAGATATGCTATTCAGAGAATCTAATTATATATCTCGTTGAGAATCCAGGCCTCAGAACTCAAAACTTAGGATCTATGACCCATAAATCAGGATCCAGATTTCAAGACGTGGGATTTAGAATTCTAGATTTGTTTAAAAAAATATAAACATAAAATAAAAATATAAAAGAAGAAATAATTTCTTATACAATCAAGATCTGAAGTTATTATTCAAAAATATAAAATATTAAATAATAATTTTAATAAATAATCAGATTTTTTATTTATCTTTTAATTGAAATTATATATAATAGATTTTAAAATATTTTTAATTTAAAAATATAATGTATTAAATCCATTAAAATAAAATAAAATCTATCTCAATAATTTATCAAAATATTGTATAATTTTATAAAATTTATTATTTTTATTTTACTTTTTATAAAATTATTTATATTATATAGTTATTAATATATTGAAAATTGAATAAAAATTTATAAAAGAAATATTAAATTGAAAATTTTTACTTTTCAAATAAATTATAAAAAAAATAAAAACTTTAATATAAAATAGTTTAATTATATAAAAATAATAAAAAGATTATAAAAAAGAATATAATATTATTTTATTAATTTTTATTTAATAATTAAGATTCTATTTTTTTATTTATAAATTATTATAAATTATCATAAATTATTATAAATTATTACTGTATTTACAAAAAGTTATATTATATAAAATGTTCTTTTATTATTTTTTATATCTTATTTTTAATAAAAAAATCAAGATTTAATTAAAATATATTAATTTAAATATCAATCTCTTTTAGTCTATATATATATTTTAATTTTATATAAAAGTATATTCATTTATTCATTTATAAGTACATATAACCCTATATTCAAATCCAAAACCAAGACCAAACCATCAAAATCCCAAGCACAAATCCAAAACTAACAAAATAATTCATTTTCAAAGACTCACAAAAACAAGGCCAAAAAAGAAATTAATCATATCATATCAAAGCATACCTACTCGTAGATAAACAAGGTAATCAAATGTACCAGCCAGTCCCCATCGACCACGATTATCGAAGACTCGCCGAGGCCATCATTATCTATTGATCACGAGTTTGCCTTGCTTGATATTATACGGAGTAGAAAGATGCTTATATTGGGATATGAAACAGATAGATAGATAGATCGATGGGTTGTAAAGTTAAGTAAATAAGTAAACAAGTAAATAGGAACACTTTCCAATATCCGGGATGCCGAGATCTCGGATTCGGATAGATGTACATTGTACGTACAGTATTGAGAAATATTTCATCATTTTTATGATGATGAGATAGATGGATTGATGTCTGTCTGTCTGTCGGTCGTCTTGGAAGTTGGGGTGTGAAATTTCAGATGGGGGTTAATGCTAATGCGAAGGGGATCTAGATTCTTAGCTTACACCTGCTTGCCTGCCTACCTGCCTGCTTGCCACCCTGGCCTGCATGTCGGTACATGGGTTCTTAGTTGTAAGCAAGCAAGCAGGCAAAACAGAGGGTAAAATCTGGATAAGATGTACAGCGTAATGCAATCTGCATTTCTATCCTATACCAATGTATGATTCTGTTTGAAACATGCATCTTTTCATTTCCCATGTCCCGATTTTCGGATTCGTTTCGGGTTGGTTTGTTGAAGAAAAGGGAAGAGAAGAGAAGAGAGGGTAGGTAGGTAGCTTGCTAGCTTCTGCTTCTATGCGGTAGGTAAATCATCCTGTACCTACCTACCTATCTAGGTACCTAGCTAGAGCTTTCTTTCATTTTTACCCATTCATCTCCTGCAGATTCTCAGATTCATCAATTCGTGCAACCAAGCCAGCGTGAAATTATTCGCACGGAAGCAGTAGTAGAAGGGCAGTTGGTCTCTCTCTCCCTCTTGCATCGGAACCCTGCGTCCTTCATGCTTGTGCTAAAGGCCTGTCATTGTAGCATATGTAGATAGACTAACTAGTAAGGATGGCCCAGGGCAGAGCAGACAAGCATTCTCTAATGATGATGGATGGCAGAGACCACACGAAATAATTTTCTCACAACATTCATCCACCTCCGACCGTTTTAATTCGGCCATGACTTCCGGCTCAGTAGATAACACTCCATATCTGTCAAGCTTGAAACCTTGCTGAGCCTTGGAAGATGACAATACATCCAAGACTTCCCAGTGCATCCTTTTCTCTCACATTGCCCACTTTGGTTCAAGTTGTGTTACATTAACGTATGGGGAAACCGGATGTCCTCCCCATCCTAGTTTGTACAGTTAATAAAGAGTAATATCGCCGTCAATTTAAAAGTGGCCTATCGGCGGCGTTGAAGAATACTTCATTGTAGTCGCTGTGAGTTTATGAATTGAGTGAATGGTCCGAAAAGTCTGCATCTCTCGGTATTTGATGAAGGGATCATAAACCGGGTATACAGATAGAGTAACTTACGGCAAGTTTTTACGATTTCTTGACTTTTGGTTCTCGATGGATGGAGTGAGACCTTCCTTTCCTCAACAACTTGATACAGTATGTATCTACTTAGATATTCCTTCGGGATGGGAAAATAACTGGTGGTAGTAAAGTGGCGGGTAAAAGAGCCGAAGGCGCGATACGTGGACGTTGCAAAGTGGCAGAAGAAAGTCACAATCGGAGCTGCTTTAAGGGATATAATTAGATAGGACAATAACTTTTACTGGCTGAATAGAAACATCCCCTTCAAAATAGTCTTACAATACCCTAATATCCTCAATGGCTGGGAGAATCAAACATTTCCCTTGGATAATATCAATATCCTTTCAAGGAGATTTGTATAGTGTGTAGATTATTGAATTATATTCAATGGTTTGTTTCATGTGACTAGCAGTACGTACGTACACTTTAGTTAGTACTAACAATATCTATGAATGAGACTATCAATAATCAATTGAACCTCACTTCATCCACCTCACCTAACCTCACTAGCATTAGACCTAACTCCTCTTTCCCCTTTTCAGACTTCATCTAGTCAGTCTATCCTAAACCCTAAGATAGCCGCCCCACCACCATCTATCTACTATCTACTATCTAGTATCTACCCTAAAAACCTAGAGGGAAAAAAAAGAACCATGAGGCTTGAGCGAGCCACCCTAAGCAAGCAAACCACCACACGGCGCACGTATTGAAAAATTGTCCGGAAGCCGAGGTATATGGAGTCTCCAAGAAGTTCTAAGTAATGACATCGAAGTTCTCCCGTACATACTTACATATTACATACGTACTTCCACTAAATTGATCGTTCCCTTGTTCTACATCTGTAGTCTCTCAAACTAATAGCGGATGAAAAAGATTCCATGGACATGAGTCGTGTTAGTCAGGAAATTATCTTACTTCTATTACGTCTATTACTTCAAAGAAATTGATGATTGATGTGAGTAGATTTTCCGCACTCCGTAGTGTAATGTGGTAGATACTATACCATACCATACCGTTCCGCCTAGTTGTCATTCTAGTACTGTCTAATATCTAGCACTGTACCACCACACTACACTTGACCCCCAACCAAATAAAGGCTCGCTCCGAGAAGACGACCTAAAACTTGTCAGCCCGTGGTGGATGATTCTCGGATGTTATCGTTGAGACTAGGGAGCTAGGAACTAGGAAGTAGGAGCTACGGGGATGAATAATCACGAAACTTAATAATTTTGCAAGATGTGATTGATATACGCATAACTTTTTTCCGTAGCTACGAAAGACGGAATATTATTCTCGGAGTTTGTATACTTTTATAAACGTGAACTCGACAGATTCATTGATACTCTACAGATATGATGTGATATGGTCAAGGACTGGATTGTGTAGGAGAATAGGGTAAGGTGTGGAAGGTTGAAAAAAAAAGTCCGAGGATTAACGGGTGACATGTAGAAAGTAGTGCTCTTGAGGCGTTTGAAGCTAGATATGCGATCGTGCTGGTGGCAGATCTGGCGAATGTTGTGGTAAGGAAAGTTTTAGGAGAGAACGGAAGATTCAGATATTAAGGGCGTAATGCAAAGAAGAACGGCGGTTGAAAATGGTTCAGCGGCTCGTGTATCTAATCGGTAGACACGGAGGTAGATAAATTAGTATGAGATGAGTGTTTATATGACGACGATGATGATGATAAAGTGTAATCTCATCTCATACAAGGTTATGGGTTAACAAACTTCATGTTATTTATTTGTTAATGCCACGCCATGCCATGCCATGTCATGTTATGCCGGTAATGTCATTGATATCCCGTCGGTGCATGTCATGATGTGTGGTCCTCGATGGGGATGATGTGGTGCACTGTCATTGCGTTCATTCCACCAGATATTTTGATCATCATCAAGCTCATAGCTCAAGCTCAAGCTCAAGCTGCTGCTTCTAGGATTGACCGTAGTAAATAAAAAGGGACGGGATCAAAAGGAGAAACGATATGCAAAAGCAGGAGATCCCGTCTTGCAGGCGGAACAAGCTTAAAGACTGCATCGCAGTAACCTACCCAACCTATCTCACAGCGATCAAGCTTGAAAGAACAAGCCCGTCCGCCGCACAGGACAGAAGTCGGACAATTTGAATGAGCATGAAGGCGTAATGTGGCATGAGCATAAAAAATAGCCCGATAAGATTCTTTTTCCCTTTATACCCTACTATTACTTTCCTTCCCTTTCCTTCCCGCAAATAATGTACCAGGACGCAGAATCTGTGCAGAAGAGGGCACGGTGCTTTCGTCCTGTGTAAAGGGTTAAAAAGTCTGGAGTGCATTTCGGTGGTCCCCAATAATGGAATGGTTGCCATGCTCAGCCCAATTTTAACTTTTTGGGCGCAGCAACAAGATGTAAATAAAGTAGTGTGTGGTGTAGAGTGTAATGAAGTGTGTGATTATTGGTCAATGATGGTTTGAAAGGCAATCAAATAAGCAGGATCTCATTCTAGGTACAGTAAGAATACGCTTACGCCGCCGCCAGGAGGGAAAACGTCGCAGCAGGTAATGCGATGCGGGCTTGATCGGTAAAGCAAGGTTCAAATGCAAAGAAGAATGCTTGGAGTGAGCTTGGATGGCTGTTGAAGAAGGTTTTTGATCGATCCCCTGGTAAGTTGGGATGGGATGGATGGGATACGATATGATTGATATGTGAGATCCATTTGTCAAGCAAGATCATCCATCATATTCCGGATGTAGGAATAGACGAGAGGGGAAAAGGAAAGGGCTCGCCAGTCGCCACTTCCCATGTATCTACTGCTACCCATGTACCGATGGATTGATTCAATTATGAACAATCAGAATGATTGCCCCACAAGTAAATACTCGCATCAGATCATCATTACCTTTCATCGTCATCATCATCATCGCCGCTGTCCCGCGTTTACCTTGTCGTTAGTTGGATCAAACTCAAAGCGGCTTATCAATCATTGTCCTGGCCACTTTTTATGAAAGGCCAAGGTTTCATTTAGCTAGTTTCATTGAATGACTACCTACGAAGCATCAAGAAGAGATCAACCAGAAGATCTAAGGCTGTTATCTAGATAGCTATACATACGAGATGAGATATCTTTAACGCAGCCTTTACTTCACACACCCGATAATCTCATTGCCTCTTGTGCAATTCATTAATACACTATCTTGATACTGTTATTGATTCGTGTCGGATCCGGAAGAATTCAAAATAGTTTACACGTTCATTAGGAAAATAAACTTGAACACCAAGCCAAACCCCCTTCATCGGATATGTATAGAGGTAAAACAATAAGAACAACACCAACCACACCACACCACACACCATCTCCTAAATATTAAACAATCGGAAGGGAAGGTAAAAATAACTCTTCCCTCGTCTCCTCTCGTCCTTCTTGTGCTCCCTCACATTCATCCATCCATCCATCCAGTCAATTGATAACCATATGATATTTTCGAATCGGAACGGTTTGCTATCAATATCATCCAATCATTTACTTGATCGTCAGCGACCACATACTCCGTATTAACAAGACCCCCTAGCTCAATTCATTTTCTCCATTTTTCTGTATTTTTTTTTCATTGAGAACCAGTCCTTGGAATCCTTGTACCTAGTAAGGTTATCCATTGTTTTTTTTTTTGTTTCGAGCGGCCAGAACTCACTCGGCCACGGTCACAGTCACGGCCACTCTGCGACTCTGCCACTTTTGATAGATGGATTGGCCCCATACTGCCACCTCGCATCTTTCCTTCGGTCACTGTGTTTATCATATTTTATCTTTTTTATCCCAACTCCGGATTGGAGTTAGTCCTCGGTGGGTAAAGGTCGAGAGGGTTAGAGGAGGAAGAGAGGGAGAGGTAGGGATTAAGAGGGATCACGTTCACATTTTCGACATACATACCCCACGATACAAGTAGAATACAACCAACTCAGCAAAATATAGTGAAAAGTACAACAACGCAAAGCACCACGAGTAACCACGATTATGTATTGAAGAAAAGTGACGATTATACGGAGTACTGTAGTGTAGTGTGTTGGTATCTGTATCATGTATCATGTATATATGATTGATTCTTCAACCAAATCACACCCGTATAATGAATGTAACTTGAGAGATTTGAATTATATTATCTAGATATCGATTGTATCATCTGCTGGTATTGTCCGTCAGTAGTCACTCACTCGTCCCTTTCTCCACTCACCTACTCTTTTTGCCTTCTAATCCGGGTCGGACCAATCCTCGCACTATTTTGATTTAGAGTAACAATCGTGCTGTTCAACTGCCCCCGGTCCCCTGTGCAAGGTTCAAGATTTGGCGCGGCCTGCTAGGGACTAGGGATGGGAAAAGCTTTGGTCTTTTGCATTTTTACTACCCAACTAAGAAATGCTATGCTAGTAATAACTGTACGCTAACATGCGAAACACAAGAGAGATATTATTATTTCCCTTTCACCATCCTCTGCTGCTTTCTCCCCTCACCAAAATATCCTAGTTAACCTTCACTCAGGGATTAAAAAACCAGGCGATAACTACGGACCTTACGTTGCCAGCTTTCATGATAACATCTAAAACTTTTATTTATTTTGATTTTCTTCTGGGCGGAAGGCTTAAACTAAAAGTGGAAAGAAATGTCACCTTGATATCGAAGTGAATTGGATGTGAAGTTATCATCTAGACAACAGATGAAGATATGCATTTCTATTGGTAAGTAAGAATGAGATGGTATATACAAATTGCTATTGCTGTAGACAAGAAGAATAAAACATTGAATGACTGGAGATTCAAATGAATATTTAAACATCATCCAAGAATCTATCTATCTGTTCAAGCTCTACACATCACATTAGGCGCTGCATTCTAAAGCTTCACTACTATCCGCTATCCCGTCACCATCTTTTAGACTTCACTCTAGCTTAGGTACAGAAGAAGTGCATTATTTAGTTCAAGATTTAGGCTTCACAAGTTCATACTCTGTACATTCACACCTTTATATTTTACATTTCACATTTCACCAAGCTTATTAGCTTAATTCCGGAAGTAAAGCTACGGCTCAAACATCCATTTTAGACGCACCCAGCCCAAAATCAAGTTTACACCAAACCGAAGGGCATAAAAAATACCGAGAGGGAGGAGGGAAGAGAGAAGAGAAAGAGCAGTGAATATCAGCAATAACCTTGAAGAGGACGAGAGAGGGAGAAGACATTGGAGAAAAGGGAAAATAGGGCCAGGAAGAGAAAAAAAAAAAAAAAAAAAAAAAAAAAAAAAAAGAGATCCACCCCTTCACTCCACAATCAAGAGGAAACAGAAACAAGACCAAAAGAAAGAGTCTATCAACAGCTTCTTTTGGAAATTCATCCACTATCAACCACTATTATCTTACAATCCACCAAGAATCGAAGACTCTTACGCCTCTTTTTTTCACACAACCCTTCATACACATTTCCACCCGGACGCTTCCACTCTTCCTTACCGTACTACACACCCAAATCATTACGACTACAAGGGCCAGCTAAACAAGGCGAAGAAGGGGAGAGAGACAACGGAGAAGAGGAACAACAAGAACAAGAACAAGAAGAACATTGTCCTGCTTTTGCTGTTTGATCTTTTTATCCTTTTGTCCTGTTCATCAACATCAGCATCAACAGCAACATCAGCATTTATTTATTTACACCTACCCTCCCACTACTACTGCTGCTAGTCCTCCTCTTTCATCATCAACAACTAGTTAGAACAACTACTCGATATTTCAAGTTTTGTCTAATTCATTATTTATTTATTTATTTTTTATTTTATTATTTGATTATTTATTTTCACTCTATTTTACTCTTAGCCGTACTCCGTACCTCACTCTTATTACTTCATTCTGCCTCTACACTTCAGACTTAACTCTACTCCACTCACCCACTTCAATTACTACCTCACTACCTCCAAAAACATTTCCACCCATACCTTGACCTTGACCACCTTGACCACCTTGACCACCTTGACACACCTTACCTCATCCATTCAATCTATTTTCTACGGCTACGGCTACTCTTACCAAACCCAGGTCCCATACACTCTCGTTAAAAGCTAATCCCGTTCGACCAATAACCCTTTAAACTTTCCATAAACCCACCTCCACCACTTACTCACACTCACACACACATCACCGCCCAACCTCCTCCCTCGTTTCTATTCTTCTCTCCCTCCGCGCCTTTTTTTTATTCTCCAATCCACTCTCTTATCCTCCCTTTCCCGACCTCCCCCATTTCTTAAACCTCGACGAGGTGCAGGGAAAAAAAAGAAAGAAAGAAAAAAAGAGGGAAAATCCTAGAAGGTTCAAACAAAAGGTATGTACCTCATTGTTCAATGCTCAATGTTCAATGCTTCCCGCAGTCCTTCCATCCACACTCCTCCAATTATACGACCATCATATAGATTTGCGCATCGTTTCTTATTGCAATTGCTGCAGCGCTGACTGGTGTACCTGCATTAGAGCTGGCAGATATCCTCAATTCTTTTTTTGACCGACTCAAAAACCTATCCACAAGTACACATCACGCCTCTGTCAAACTAAACTCCACCGCACTTTTGCATCTTCCCTATCAGCGTCAACGAATATTTCACGACCTTCACGACTTTTACGTTCGCATCCCTCGAATCGAAGCACGGATCAGATTCCTTCCAAAGAAGCGACAAGCACAAGCATACATACCTGCAGGTTCGCGTAACTGCCAACGATCCTGTCGTGGAGCTTCAGTCGCACCTCAATTGGATTAACAAAGCTTCAAGTCCTTTTTGTAACGACTTCTACGAGCCAAACGTCTTCTTTTTCGAGTCATTTTTTTGAGGTTTTACAAGATCGTTTTGCTTCTGCGTCTTTGGCATATGCATCTTATTTCACGAAAGATAAACGATCCATTACATTTGCGCTCGTTGTAAAAAAGCAGTGATTATTTTGTTTCTTCACGTCGACGATAGTCTCTGCCATTATACCCCCAAGCCTCATTTGTTCCTGCTTGGTTCTAGCGACCTTTAACTTGCTTTACAAAAGTTCCGTCATATCCCTAAAGTCATATCTATCATCTACCCACACACACGAATAGACCACAAGTTTAACTCTTGTTGTCTGAACGTAAAACCATACCTTTCTTCTCGGAAGACCCTTTATTGAGTCTGCCAGATCATTGTCCGCTCAGGACTTGATCATTCCAACCGAAAAACTGGATCTTCCGTCGATATCGCAAGTGCAAACCCGGGGGCCTAACGAGATACCATATTACAACCATCACGCCGTGCAGCGACCACTGTATGTGAATGAAAGGTTGCCCGCTTTGCCTTTGCCACCGCCGCAACAGGCATATTCCTCTGGTACTTCGTCTCCCCGGGTTGGTTCACTCAGCTCCCTTGGATCTTCTTCAATCCTGAACGGAAGTTCCCATTCATCCTATACTACAGCGAGTTCCTCGAACGGTCCCAAGACCCCTTCCCCTACTCCAGCTAGCAGTGGTTTACCTGTTTCCCTCCCCCAGGGATCCTACAGCACTCCACCGTCGAACCCCGCATACTCTTACAGCCAAGAGCCTTATCAAAACACCATGAACCACGGTCCTCAAGATATGTATTATCCTCCACACATGTCGGCTGGACAACCTCCGCCACCTCAGACTGCTACATCAGGTGCATTGAGTCAATATCCTCAACATCAGCCACCACTGCTTCAGCCTGGTCCTGCACATTACTCACCGGCGCAACAGGCTCCATATGGCCAATATTACGGCAATGGACTTCAATCTCCACAGTCAGCTCAAATTCCGGGGTCAATGGGTGGCCAAGGTAACGTTCTACCACTTCCAGCAATGACCACTCAACCTGGGATGCCAAGCCAAGGTTATGGTGGACCACAACAATTTGACCAAACGGGCCAAGTTGCTCCACCTGGAATGAAGCCCAGAGTGACAGCAACTCTTTGGGAAGATGAAGGCAGTTTGTGTTTCCAAGTAGAGGCAAAAGGCGTTTGTGTTGCTAGACGTGAAGGTAAGCGTGGCTCTTTCGATTTGCTAAATTATGCTAACAAGTAAGACAACCACATGATTAATGGCACAAAATTATTGAACGTTGCGGGTATGACTCGCGGAAGACGAGACGGCATTCTGAAAAGCGAGAAAATGAGACATGTTGTGAAGATTGGTCCTATGCATCTAAAGGGTGTTTGGTAAGAAATACTCGTTTATATCCATCGATGTGCACATCTGACCAAGTACCAGGATTCCTTTCGAGCGTGCGTTGGATTTTGCAAACAAGGAAAAAATCACGGAATTATTGTATCCATTATTTGTTCACAACATCGGTGCTCTTTTGTACCACCCAACGAATCAGACGCGAACGAACGCAGTCATGGCAGCCGCAGAGCGTCGAAAGAATGAGCAAAACCAAATGCGGAATCCTCAAGCACCTGGTTTGCCTTCATTACACCAACATCACCATCACTCAATGACTAACTCAATTGGCGCTCCTCTTCCAGGTCCTCAACACTCCCTCGCACCTCATCCAAATGTTGGTCGACCTGCTCTCGAAAGATCACACACGTTCCCTACGCCTCCCACGAGTGCGTCCAGCGTAATGGGTAGCATGGATAATTCTAATGGCAACTTCCAATGGCCTGGGCAATCTATGGGCAATGTGCAAGGTACCAATCCCCTGTCTATTGACACAGGATTAAGTAATGCTCGCTCAATGCCAACCACTCCAGCTACTACCCCTCCAGGAACGTCGGTCCAATCGATGCAACAGTATCAACAGACTCAACAACCTTATGACTCAAGACAGATGTATTCTCAAGCACCTCCGCCTCAAAACGCTTACGCACAAGCCCCGCCTCCTCAGCAAAGCATGCCTCAATACTCGCAACAGCCAAATTCATACATCAAGAACGAGATGGGACCACCATTAGCGAGAGCACCAGATGCTGAACCTCAACATCATGAACCCAAGGACTCGAATGGAATGATTCACCATCAAGGAAACGGTCAAGTTGAAGAAGAACATGATCAAGATCATGATGGTGGTGAATACACTCATGATAGCCAGGGCAATTACGACTCAAGTCGTCGGCCATACAATTATTCAAATGGTCCCGCTGTAGGATCAATAACAGGTGAACATACTCATTTGTCACCCGAGATGACTGGCTCACCAAATCATCCAGCTTCCGGTCGAGCGACTCCTAGAACCGCGTCAGCACCACAGTCATACTATGCTCAACAGCAAGGTGGCTACAGTACCCCTCCGCGAATCCAACCACCTTCGAGTAATTTGTACAATGTAGTGAGCCAAGAACGTGGAACAGCTAATGGAAGTACAGGTGGTGATGTGTACGCGCCACAATCAGATCTCGGATCTTCAATGTCTAATGGTTATGCTGGCCAGCAAAACATCATGAATGGAGCCCAAACGAATAACAAACGTGGCAGAGATGATGATGAGGATGGTCGACCATCAAGTAGAGGTCCAGGAATGGCTGATGCTGATGGTTTGAAGAGACGGAAAACAATTCGTGAGGGATCCGTTTCTGGTCCATCTTACAACCCAGGGCTAAACCGAGCTCAATCAACCATTACACAACGACGCCGGTAACTCGGATCGATGATTTTGGACGCATCTTTTTACACTTTCTTGCAGTGATCTGATTTTTCTAATCATGGTCAACTGTCTTTTTCATTCATTCTTGGCTCGCGCCATAAAAGCATTCTCGGCAATCATAAGCACACTCTTTGAAAGAAAATTTCCTTATTTTCACGATTGTCTTTGTATTCGCCGAACATAGATTTGGCAAATTATTCGACCCTGGAATGACGACGAGTTTATGACTGAAATTTTTAGATGACCCTTAATGCGGATCATCGAAACGGCCTAACGAATTTACGCTTTGCAAACATGGGAAAGGAAATAATCTGTTGAGAAATGATCCCAAAGATACACATGCAAGCGGGATTTTATTTTGTTTTTATTTTTTTTTATTTTTTACTTGGGGGTTTTCTTTTACACTCGAGAACAAAAAACGAAGCACGCCTATTAATGACACTCTAGGCGTCGACATGAAACATCTGGGATCTTGGGCTTCTTTTGTGTTTTTCATTCATGGGAAAGGCTTAAATGATTTGTTTTTGTTCAGATGAATGACCAAAATAATGAACGGGGCCACCTTTCTCTTCGATTTTTACAACACCGAGAAACCTATCTCAATGTTCTTTTTTATGATGTCGGGAAGGATGGATAGAGAAGGAAAACTGGATCACTGAACAGGAACCTAAGAGTTTTGTTTAATGTTTTTAGTTCTTCATTCCTTAACCGGCTTCTGGTTTCTTCGTTTTGGTTGAGCTCTTTTTTAAGGCTTGACTTATTTACACACAATTTTATGATGATTTATGACCTTTTCCTTTTTATTCTGTTAGTTGTTGCAGTTGTTGGTTTCTTGGTTTCTTGTGGAGATGAGGTGGTATGAGACTCTATCTATGATGGATGATTTTGATATAAATGAAAGGGATGGATGGAATGTGTTTGTGAAAGAGTTACGAAGCTTAAAATGTTTTGTAACCCATTTTGAAATACAATTCAATGGAATGGAAATGGGGAATGGAACAGGAATTGAACGTTGAATGACTTTATGATGAAGATAGGTGGATGGTTAGGATGATGGTATGGATGGATGGAGGAAAGGATGAAAGGATGGGTCGGGGGTAATATTGGAATATTTGACTGATCAAAGATACAAAAATTTAAAAGTTGATGAATTTCTTGTGGGTTTATGTCAATGTGATGTGACTGATGTGATTTGATTTGATGTGAATGATGCGATTGATGCTATATATAGGTAGAGCATCACTTCCCACACTATCTAAGATTGATGTCTGCTACAACTATTATACATCTATCATTTATTATATATTAAGTTTCTAAAAGAATCTTTATAAAAATAATGTCTTTTTGTAGATTAAAATAAAATATTTAACATCTTTTTGAATTTCAAATAAAATCACTCTAAACTTTCAAATATAATAATAATTTATAATCAGATTTTAAAAATTATATATTTTCTTTTTAACAATTTTTATATCTAAATATTACATAATTGTATCGATCTTATCCATCTACCACTGAAAGTCTCCTTCGTCGTTAATTACCGCAGGCATACATTCAGCATCACCATTATTTTCAGCTTCATAATTACTGCTATGGCTTCTCCTCCACTAACCCCATCAAATCTAGCTCCAGCTAGATCTGAATGGCGCTTTTTTCCAGTCACAGCACCAACAGAATGGATTGAAGATTATCGTCCTGGCAAATTTCATCCTGTTCATTTTGGAGATCAGTTCAAAGACAGACGGTACAGGATTCTTAGAAAGCTGGGATACGGAGCATACTCGACTGTATGGCTAGCAAGAGATGAACAGTATGATATTGCATTTTTTCCTTGCCTGATACCTTATTCCTTCCTAAGCTTTAGGAAGCATTATTTACTGCATCAGCTAATGGTTATATATGCATAATAGAATGAAATGTTATGTTGCTCTTAAAATCCTGGCAGCCCAATCCACAGACTCCGATAATGAACCATCTATACTCAAATATTTAGCCCAGCACACACTTTCACATCCAGGAAAATATCATATCATAGTCCTCAAAGATTCCTTCAAGCACAACGGTCCCAATGGAGAGCATACGTGTCTTGTATTCACAGCCATGGGTCCGAGTACAGCGACCGTAGTGGAACATCTTCCTGAAGAATTACTCAGCAAGATAGATCCAAAGATTTGGTATCCGATCTGGATGGCTAGATCTATACTTCAACAAGCTCTTCTAGGTATTGACTTTCTACATCAAATTGGTATTGTCCATGGCGATATACAACCCGGAAATCTTCTTTTCCTAGCTACAGATTTGGCATCTGTGGAAGAGACTCGTCTTTCACAAAAAGATGTCATGCCTGAGTCAATGGTATCTATCGAAAGACAGGATGGAAAGGTTGATCGTTGGGCTCCGAAGTATCTAGTTCTTAATCAGCCTTTAATGGAGTTTGTGAAACTAGATTCTAATTTCGTCATTAAAATCTCAGATATGGGTGGAGGTGTGTTGTACTCCCTATATGACGAATTTTTATTGAACTCTCGTTAACTAGTTGATTATAGCATTTTTTAAAGACAAACCACCAAAACATCTAGTCACACCAGTTAGTCTTCGCAGTCCCGAAACCATCCTCAAAGAAGTACCCACTACCAATCAAGACATGTGGAGTTTTGGGTGTCTCATCTTCGAATTTATAACCGGAAGACCACTATTCGTAGTCGATAACGCCGGCGATGAAAATGAAACCAATGATGATCATTTCCTACAATTATTCAGCACACTCGGACCTATCCCAATGGATATCCTATCGAAATGGAGCAGAGCAAATATTTACTTTAATTCTCATGGTGAAAATATTAAAAATTATATTGGGAATCTTCTAGAGGGATTTGATATGAGTTTACTTGAGGATCAACCTACGCTAGAAGAACTCTTTGAGCAGTATAAACCAGTGGGGATGGAGCGTGAGGAGTCGAGAGAGGTGATGCGTATATTGAGATGGATTTTGCAGTATGATGCTAGTAAACGACCTTTGTCGAGTGAGCTTTTGAGGGATCCTTGGTTCGTGAGAGTGGGTGGTGGGATATCTGATTTTGTTGTTTGAGAGGGGTAGTTGGTGTTTTTTGGGGAGGGGGAAGCAAATGGTATTACGGATCTAGTAATTAGATGTGATTGAGGAAGCTATGGTGCCGAGCTCGTGTATTGTGTTTATTAGCGTAGTATAGGGTATAGAGTGAAGAATTATATCCGAGTTTTTCTATCTATTCTACTATAGCTAGCTAGCCACAGAATAGTTTTTATTATGTTCGATCATTTCCAACCAATCAGAGAATGTGATAGCTTGGCAAAGAATTGAAAAATTGAAAAATTGAAAAATGTCTAGTACCCTACTTCTCGGCCATCCCCAATCTTGTGTTACGAGGTTTGCCGTCTAGATCACGTGGAAGTGCTCTAGGCTCTCGAGGTGGTTTATAACTAGGCGTCAAGCAGGGACTTAAAGTAATGACAATAATGCAATTCGTAACTAATAGTAGAGTATACTAAATGATTGATCTTAAGCACAAAGCTCTATAATAAGGAAACTCTTTCTAGTTATATAGACCTTTGTACTATGCATCCCACTGTTTTTTATCGTCCCATCAAGGTGGGAATATTTCCTACCATAATGGGATTCCTAGGCTTGATGGGAATCCTTGATCACGTGCTTTTGATCAGATTCGATGTCTATGCTTGCTTAGGGTGGGGAGACTATATAAGTCAATTGCCATATAGTTTTGTGTGTGAATCTACTTGCTTTTCCACGTGGTCCAAGCTCGTATGGACAGATCAGCTGTTACTTCGTAACATTTGATTCATTAATTGTTAAATAATTAATAAATAAAAATTATTATTTTTGATATAAAAGAGTGACCTATATTAAGGGTAGCCCAAAAGTAGGGTATTAGACTTATATTGACATCATTGCCCAAGACTAGAATCCCCTCTCGAGTCACAAACTCTCCATTACTTGCTGTGAACGTTTTTTCTAGTGCCTAAATTGCGACCGACTCCAAACCTTTACCATAAATCATACTACTAATAGCAAATGGAGAGTCGATCGCCAAGCTTGTGTAATGGATGTGGAATGATCAGCTACTTCTTATCACAAGGATATCGAAGCGGAGAAAATTCTTAACTTCTTAGATTTATTCTCTGTCTGAGTGACCCGGCCGGTATGCAGAGCACCCATTCCTGCAAAAATATGATTCCCATTGAAAACCTGAAATTTTAAACCACAAAAGAAAATCTCTAAAATAGTGTCCCTACTCAGGGCTCGCTTAGAACCTTCAAGACCAGATTTCACTTGCAACAAGATATCCAAAAAAAAAAAAAAAAAAAAAAAAAAAAAAATAGAAATATAATCCTACAACACCATTCAATTTGTCCTAGTTACCAGCTGCTGGTTTTCCAAAAGTAATAAGTCGAATTTAGGAACACAAACAATTGCAACCACCATTTGAATCCTCAAAGCATTCACAACCCAAAGGACATCCAGTCGGTAGCGCAGGAGCACTTGAAGATGTAGAAGAGTTCAATGGTTCTGCGCTACTACTTGACACGGGTATGAATGAAGACAATCGGGAAGTGGAAGCTGAAGGACTCGATGTAATCGTTGAAGAAAGTGGTTGGGAACTGCCAGATGATAAAGAACGACTAATTGAAGTATCTGGAGTTGGAATTACCTGTGTAGAAGATATTGGTTTACTTGTACCTAAGCTTTTACTGGCGCTGGTACCGGAAGAGCTGCGTCTAAATGTTGGGGTTGGAGTAACTTCGACGGAACAAGCTTGTCGTCCATGTAACCCAGCACTTCGTTTGCGGATTGCATTCCATGTGAAAGCAGATGTATAATCCCAGGAGTAGGTACGGCCAGAATTGTAATGGCTTTCATGCGCTGTAATGAGATTATTAATATTTTTCCATTCGGGAAGATATTTGCCTGCGTTCTTCATATTTGCTCAATCAGTGCCTACATCTTTAAGTTTCTTTGCATTGGCAATGTCAGGCACAATCCTATTTTTCTTTAAATTTGTGAGATATTTAGGTGGTGCGTTTATTTGTGCGAGGATTATGTTAATCGTGAAATCTTTGTATGTTGATGCGATGCCGTCCATACCGGGGAATGCGTATTTATAAGGTGCTATATTGTTCTGCTTGATAATTTCGTCATGGGCGTTTAATCTATGAGCGGATTATCAGCAAATTAGAGATAGATATGTACATTAGATGAATCACTTACAGTTTTCCATAAATTTTATTATTCGTTTTATCGATCAAATCAAACATATTATCCGCCTTCATCTGTAGCGAACAATAAACAACTTTCTCAAAATAACTCAACATAACGACTAGAGCACCTTTTGCCGAATATTGAGTATCGGTATCTCCACTAGGCTATTTCCAACCAGTATCACCACTAGTCGCTGGAATCAACCAGTCCGAGGTTAGGTACTCTTGGGGAAATTCTTTTCTAGCGTCAGGAAAGAATATGGATTTCAATCCATTAATATACCGGGACATGATGATAAAGTCGAGGTTATTATTACTTGTAAGTCTATCGAAGACGGGTTGTAATAGTTTTTTGCAGCCAGAGGGGAAGAAAAATTGAATTAATTTCGGAACAAGTGATCTTGCCAGCTCCAATTTGATATTTGAAAGTAGTATCGAAGAACTATTTTAGCCAAGCCTTCTCGTCCGGACGAAATTTTTGTCAATACTTATTCTTCACACACATCTCATTTTCTGGGACATATACTTGCAAGCATGATCAAGACTACCATGGTTGTTATTCTTATACACCTTTCCAGAATAGTCCGTAAAGCGGGAGCATTGAAGGTTGCTACATCTAACCTAGTAGTAGTAAAGACATAGCTGATGTTGGTAGCCCGATCATATCTGAATATGGACTTATAACTCGCCGCCAACTTTCCATTGTTATCAGAATTCATTATATCTTTAGTAATCGCGGGCCAAGCAGGTCGAGTAAGACTTTTAGTCATTATGCAGCCACCGAGACTAAGGATATCGGATGTTATCCCGCGCTTGTCGAGAGGAACTCTATCGGCTATCTTACATCTTCTTAAATCAAGATCGGTTGTGACGGGCTCAGGTGTAGTATATGATGGTACGTTTTTTCCTTGGGTAGGCCCTGGAATGCAGCCACCGATGCATGCGAAAGCAGTACAAACGGAAGTAACACTAAGCACCGGTGTGATTAGTTACTATTTAAAAAGAGAGATAAATGTGGTTTAAGTTGAATGAGCAGACGAAGAAGATGTATGAGATGGAAATTCCAGGTTTTAATATCTGAAAGTGTGACTTGTGCTCACCTTGTTGTGGTTGTAGTTCCTTGGACCGAGCAGCCAGTGACTCTTGATGAGCATGCTGCAGCACACTAAATAATCAAATACTTAGCATTTCCACATTGACTTACGAAATTTAGAGGGAAGATAAAGATTTTAACGAAGCAAGTAAGTACAAGCAGAAAACGTAATCATAAAATGATTTTGAGTTGGGTCAAAAGGGTAAGCTTATGAGACTGAGAACACTTACCGAGACACTAATTAGATGTTTCACTGACGCAACTAACTAAACAATCAGATGCAGTCTTGGTGACAGTACAACTTGATGAGGAGTATGATGAGGAGCGTGAGGATGAGTTTTTCTTAGTAGTAGTGATAGAATCCGTCGTCTTTGTGGCCGACGTTGTTTTCGTCCCCTTACTAGTTGGATCACCATATCCGGCGGTGGTCCATCGCTACTTGGAGGAGATGAACAATCACCAATAGATGCCCCAAAATTCTGATACATGGCAAGTGAATCTTAGGTAGCCCAGGCAAAGAAAACTGAACATGTGGTATTGGCGGTAAATTCCAGAAAACAGCACCACGCCCTCCTACAATAACAAGAGGTAGTAATGTTGTTGTGCTGTCTGATCTTGTGGTAGTAATCCAATCATTTCCTGTATAAGACTTGGTGCCCCAAAGTGTTAGAGCCCTAACTCCTGTTGGAGCAGAGGTAATTGTACCCGTGACAGTATCGCTGGTAATTGTGGGATTTGTGGTTATACCTCTAGTTCCAGAACTGCTGATTGAGGTTGTCCTGGATTTGGTTTCTGAAGTGCTACATCTGGAATCGCTAATTGTGGTCGTTAGAGGTTCTTTCTAAGCTGCTTGTACCTTTTCCAGTCGTTATTGATCGAGATATATTTGAAATTTTAGAGGTACCAGTCCCAGTAAAGGTTAATCTACTAGAGGATGAACTTATTCCACTCGATTCACTTGTGGTTTTGGACTTTGATGATGTTAAACTCACACTGGCAGTATTTTTGGAGACAGAAATTACTGTAGAGCTAGTATTATATTTTGATGATATACTGGTGGACAAAACGGTTGATTTAGGAGACTTTGTCGATGTTGATTTTGATAAATTTTAGGAGGTGCTATTGGCAGAGCTTGTTGGAAATCCAGAAAGATCACCTTCTATAGATGTGTCAGAACAAATTTTTCGAAACATCGATTCATGAACCTACTCCTAGACTGAGCGTATGCCAATAAAGGAAAAATAAGAACGTAGAAAAGCATGGTGGAACACTGAACATGAGATTTTATCTCATCTTGTGCAAGTCTTGTACGATCACTGTCGATACACTTTACTTTGACCTTTCCCCAAGATTTTCCACCATGACAATCGATGCTCCATATAGTATTTCCACTTTTAAAGCTTTTTTACATTGTTTCATGCGTAGTTAGAGCCGAGAAAACATTCAAGTGGCACGAAATCCGTGGGATCAGAAGGAAATGAAGGAGCGTGATACACAGCTTTACAGGTATACATAATTGACACTTTGATCTAGGAATCACTTGACTAAACCAAATCAAACTCAAAAAAATTGTCTTTAATCGACAGGGTCAGCATTGCTATCACCATACCCCTCGCCGTGGCCCATTTGTTGGAATATGGATTTATCTTCATGATTCCAAGCGACATCTAGCAATAGTCGTATCATAACCGTAGACTTCATTGGGCGAACTTAGCCTCGCACCGTGACGAGTGAGATAAGATAGAGCTGGGCCATGGTTTTTTAAATCAGTGTGCATTGAAATAATGGCAATGATAGAACGCTGTGCCTTGAAGATACGGAAAGGATGAAACAAACGGCTTCCACTGTCACGTAAGGTTATGACGGTACTGTGACAACCTCCGTCAATCACATAACCTGTGCCACTTCACTGTCAGAAATAATGACTCTGAGGAATCTGTATACATCAAAGGATTGCGAGAGATAGCTTTAAAGAAGATGTTTTTCACGGTTGGTATAAATTTGGTCCTCTAGAGTTGAGGATAACGTAAGGTTTCATGTTGTGCGACCTCAGACGACGGATGAAACTTTTAATGTCCTTTCCTATTTGGATCTAGCAACAATCTATTATTTATAAGTACGAAATAAGATAGCACAGCTTCATTACTGGAATTCTAGTCATTTTAAATATCAATTGCTAGTCCCTACAGCCTCGGACGGCCTTATGATATCATATCTGCTACACGTGGGATCTTAAATTCAGGTTAGCCCTGGTTGAGGTGTATTGACCTTTCATAGAAACATAGAAATCTAGGCGCATTAATGTGCTATATAGGCAATCGAAAGCAGCTTGCAAAAACATAACATCGATATTGCTTTGGCACTTCCAACACCTACCATATTTAATTCAAGAATTTTAAATAAGTACACACGAGTTCTTTATTCTTTCTCATACATCATACCTCAAGTTTATTGCTCTCTCTGTGGAGCTCTCATACATGAGGGCGGTACTTTGTAAGTTCCAAATTCAGTCCACTTCTGCTGTTATTACCGCTTTAGCATGAACTATCTGAGGAGCTAATATTTTTCCGAGAAGAGTTCCCCATGAGCTGTTACCGAGTTATTTGCTTCCATGTCTCTAGATGTTCAAGTGCACATCCGAATCAAACTCTGTAGAAAAGTCAGTTTATTTGGAAATTAAGCCTTAGCATACGTAATTCATACACCGCTTCGCTTTATTTTATGTCCATGTTCTCTATTTCAACCATATTTGCAATCCTTTTTTTAACCACACTTCACAGAGTCGATCAACCCACCGAATGGCTCACCAAATCTCTCATCCTAACAACTGCCCACATCACTTCCTCGACTTTTATGTGTGATGCATATTTCCCCGCAATTGTCCACCTGGTACGTTCTACTCCTTCCATCTGGGACCGACACCACCCCCAGAGTCCACCAGCCATATCCTTAAAATCCCCGCTAAATACCAGGTGAATTGACGAGCTTCGATATGATTTCAGTACCTACCTTAACTTCCAATTCCGACCTATCCAACTCATCATCTACCACTTCAGAATTACATTCTACAACTGGAGAGCCGACATCACAAGGACAAACCGTCACCGCATTTGCCGTTAAAACTCAAAAGTCCACACCATCTCCCATTCAAAATAGGGGGGGGGGGGGGGGGGGGGGGGGCGAATCTCTTTTTCTCCCTTCCCCAGATTTTTAGGGGAGACCCCCCCCCCTTTTTTCACCCCGCCCCGCAAATATTTTGTTCTAAAATCTCTGAAAAAAAAAAATCCCCCGGGAAAGGGAAAG